TAAATTTCGCCATTGCAATTACTTGATTAAAATTGTAAGAATTTTAAGAAATATACATACTTTCTTATGTCCGATTTATTGATCGGAAAATTAGATCTAAATAAGGAAAAACGGGAAGAAAAGAAAGGCTCACCCCCCCCCCCCCCCCCCCCCCCCCCCCGTCGTGCGAGCCGTAAGGGTCACCGTCTGTGTATGAGGAATGTTGACAAATGTAAGATTTATCAAAGAGTAATGACCCATATCAGACGGTTATTTCTGTCTAATCGAGAGTATTCATCATTACATGTACATATCAGATCTAATATGTGGGTAGAATCTTAGAATTTATGGATAAATGCGGCTGTTATTTCTAGAAGAATTATGTGTATGTTGTGAGATTTTCAGGAAGGCGTGAATAATTAAGGGAAGAGGAGAGAAGAGGCGGAGGGGTACCGTTACCGTTAGCGTGACAGGGACAGAAAAGAAAGAGGGAAGGGAGTGAAGAGTGAAATATATCAGACAAAGATAATTAAGAGAGATAGAGAATTGAAAATTAACAGAATAAATAAAGGATCCGTAACTCCAAATAATAAAAAAATATAATAATTTTATTCATTCATAATACCAATCGGTTGACCCTGTCCCTACACATTACAAATTTTGCCACAGACCGCAAACGGCATTTTCATAAACCAGTATTATCAAAAACAAAAGCAACGCGATCTCGATCAGCCAATGTACCTCGTGGTCCACAAAGTAGTTGAAATTTGATATGTAGTGCGCGCGCTCAGGGATTCCCGGAATTGGAAAACCCCTCGATCTCGATCTCCATTTTATGACATTCAATACATGTACACATACCTGGGTTGGCAAGCTCCCGTAATCAAAATTGGAGTAATACATAAGGAAATAACAAAGAAATACACGAGGATTGAGGACAAAATATAAAATGATAGAAAGAAATCTAAGAAAAACAAAGTATTAAAACACATTTACGAAGGAATAAACCAGAAGAATGATTAATAATGATAATAATAATAATAAATAATAACGGCTTAACAAAGATCTACATATGGTAAGAAATAAGGATAAACAAAAAAAAATGATTGATCGAATTGATAGCAAGAAAAACAAGGAATTAAACAAAGGGGGGTGATTGTGCAAGGGGGTAATTCTCCTTGAACCGTAAGGAACAAGCGAAGGGAATACATACACATATTTATATTTCGAGAAAAGGTAAAACAAAGAAATAAAAAAACAGAAAAGATGATGAGGTAAAGATTTAAAAAAATGCACGCGCTTATAGTTTTCTCTCGAAGGTTCAATCATCACTACTATGATCACGTGATCTTACGGCGCGAACATGATCTGTTTATACTAACTTCTGAGATAACCACATGCTGCCCGACACCTTGACTCCAAACCCATTGTTCAGAAACACTTGAAACACAATATGAAATGTACGCAAGCTCTCTTGTCATTTAAACATTCAATTCATTGGCGAAAAAATTAGAATTTCCGATTGATGAAGTTCTCTGCTTGTTTCGTCTGTCTATTTGATTTTATTTTTAGATTTACTCTTCTTCCTTTTCCCCTCCTTCCTTTTCTTTTCTTCTCCCCTCCACCCCCCCCCCCCCCTGCGTCGCCAATGATACGAGTTTGCTTTTAAAATTATCATTTATTTTATATCCGATTGCGAAGCAGCAAACCATAAATGAATTGAATGCAACATCAGGCAAATTAATTATAAATATTATTAGCGCGAATAAACGTTAGAGGGACTAGAACAGGAGCTATTATTGTAAAAATGTCCACAAAAATAAAACACAACTTCGCGAATGATAGTGATACGGGTCTGCTTTTAAAAATAAAATCTATATCATATTCTAATGCGAAGCAGCAAAATGAATCTAAAAGGTTGAAAGGTTTGTTTTAATTCTTAATCTTAAATTGACTAACTATCTCTTAACAAATAATTGCGAATGTTAATCAAAGCCAAAGGCTGGACATACGAGTACATAATGAAATGCATCATCTTGTACTTTGAGATCACATATGGAACACAATTCTACAATTTCTAGAGGCTGACTTTAGTGACGGTCAGGTGCAGACGGCAGGGCAGCTTACTATTACCACATCGATATTTATAAAGAGATGTTCTATCACTGAAATCCAACTTTAACATATATTCTTCCAAACCGATTACCTGTTTAAAAATTCTGTAATTGAAACATGAACTTCATGAACTTCATCGTTCCAGTTTTGCAAATCAATGTCATTTAATCTACGATCCAACTTTTTTTCTTCCTTTCCAACATCCTATTTTTTAACATCGCCATCGTACAAAGTAATTATAAATGATAAAAAGAAAAAGAGGTGTGAATGACCTAGTTTTCAATCTTCGGTTAAAAATGTCATTGAATGTTATCTTTGTTATTTACGCTGTGTCAGCCGAGGGGAGCCAGCTCTCAACGCATGTGGCAGACATAATCCTACTGTTTATTTCTCAAAAGTAAATGTACGTAAATGTCTCCCTTATAGTATGATTTCGCTAGCCTGCGCTCCCATCAAACATTTTTCTTTCTCTCTCTCTCTCTATTATGTGTAGTCCCCCCCCCCCCCCCCCCCCTCGTGAAGATACTAGTGGGATTTCCTCTCGTCTCTCTTGCTCTCCAAATACGTAGGTCCATGCTCTCACCCTCTTCTTTGTCACATTTCTCCACCCATGAACGTTTTCGTCTAGTGTCGATGAATAAGGAGTGGAAGTAGAAAGGTGTGCGGAAAATAGACTAACGTATTGGTGTCTTGCCTACTTATATTTAGTCAACCCTGTTAAGTAGATAATTATCCATTTTATTTGTTTTTTTTTCCCATCCTGACCTCGATCATAACTCCTTTCCTTCTCGAATAATATCTTCATCTATCTCCAGCTCAACACTACCTCCCTCTCAATTATCTCTCTCTCTCCTACATGTTTTCCTGTTAATTCGACTCTGGTCTAATCCACACTCACAGTAATTGATCCATGCCATTTTTACAGATTTTATTATTTATCAATCATCCAATGCCGTCGACTGAAAATGTTTATTTACGCGTGTTTTGGTAACCTTGGTTACTAGTCCACCTGGCAACTTTTACGCGTGACCAGTAGGCAAGAATGTCCATGATTGGACGTTTTCTTTTTTAGGGGTGGAGACCCTTCTTACGGCAGTCTTGTCAGTGATACTGATAGGGCAAATGAAAGAATCTGATCGCGTGCGTGTTTTCTGAAGCGACGATCTTGGGAATATTTTTATTTTATTTGGTGGAGGTTGAATTGAATTGAATTTATTCACCACTTTCATGGTTGTGGAATGAGATACGCATATCTGGAGTAGGCGAACAGAAAATATGGCAGTGAAAATGAAAGGTATTGTGCTCACAATTATAATTTCAATGAATGCAAATCATGCAAGTTTTTGCAACTAGTTAGATCTACTCGTTGCTCCACCGCATCAGTACCCGATGCTTATCCGCGCCCAGTGTCAGTGATTTAGCGACGGCTTTTACTAGTATTTAACTGTGTGTAATGTTTACTCGTGAATACTTTCTATTGTGACGTAAACAAAGACACATACGGAACTGCGCGTACAAATCATACATAACAAGATTTAGCGCGCGCGATGAGCAAAGACATGCGCTTGCAGAGGACATGACTAGTTGCAAATACGCGCACCATGAAACACGATAGACTATCGGGGGATTAGGCGGGTTACACGCATCCCCCGATAGAGGAAATCATTCACTAGACCTAGTGTGCAAATTATCGTGATTTTTATCGTGATTCTATCAGTATTTCATCGATATTTTATCGTGATTTAATCGTGAAATACCCATCGGGGAAAACCCGCCCCGCAAAAACATGCCCAATAACTTCTGGGCGGTATTGTAGAGGGAAAATGTAAGTTACACTGTACACAAACATATAGTTTTGAGAAAAGAGAAGAGGTACATGTAAAAAGGAAAGCAAGATAATCATAATACATAATACTGCAGGGCAATTAAAGCTTGTCCACTTTGCATTTTTAGATCATTTATTAGCCCTCAGCACAACACAAACACAAAGCACATACCACAGATAGCACCAACCACGGAATCACTAATTTGTTGCTTCAAATATTAGGAATAGCAAAAACGATTCTGAAGTGTAGTGGTTTACTGCGGTGATGTGTTACACAAGAAAAGTTGAAAGAGAAACTTGAAACAGGACAAAAATACAGTGGTTACAGAATGATGGAGAAAGAGAGAAAAACAAAACATGAATGACAGACATGAATTAGATATCCACTAAACCACACCATTTTAACTTAACCAATATCCAGAACATTAGCCACAGCACTTCCTCTGTAAGTCCCCCACCCTTCAAATTACCAATGATTTAAATTAATTTCCTTTGTGAATTGTGCCTCTGGACAGAGCCCAGGCTACTGGTCATCCCCTCGCATTGAGGGCGCCCGTCATTTACCATTGCAGACCTCTCCATGATGTTTGAAAGGCCACCAACAAACTCCACCATGGTCCAAGTTTAAACCATGCTTTAAAGGTATAGACCAGTTCTGGTCATGTGATTGCATTGTGAAAGAAACGTTGTGGAATCGATCAGAAAAGGTTGATCTAGCATATAAGTACTGTATTGGTGTGTACTGCAAGGTTCTTTGGCCCAGTCTTGGTAAAGTTACAAGCACTGTACACAGACGGATGTACATGTATATGGGACTACGCGATATCTATCCAGGCCGTAAAGATATGATAATTTACCAAATATATCAATTAGTAGGCATTTTCCTGGCAAAATTTGTATCATCACATATTAATCAAAACATATTCTTTCACATGATTGGTAATAAGAGCTTCCGTTTCATTTTTAGAGAGAGGGGTGTTTCCAAAACTGGTCTATACCTTTAAAACCTCCTTTATAAAGACCTTGGGGCAGAGCGCTTGACATTAATCATGCGCTCCCGTTGAGGGTGCTGTTCACTTACCCTTGCAGACCTCTCCATGGTGTATGAAAGACCACTGTGGACGATGTCCTTCTCACTGGCACCCTGGATGCGATCCTTGAATTGGTCTGATGGTGTGATGGGGATGCCGCTACCATGGCGACCAAACTTCCTCTCCAAACTCTCCTGTACACTCTCTGAAGTAGAGATTTTGTAATGGAGAAATTTGTTAAATTTACCTGCTGAATTTACTCTTGGCATTTTTTCTTCTTCACAACAAGATTTATCTTTCCCACTGTAAGTAATACTGAAAATAATATAATTTTAAACCACAAACTTTTGCGTCAGTTGAAGTTTTTTGAAAAGGAATCAAAACTGGGGGGAAATTCTCTTGTTTCTTTACATAAAAGAACATCTATACTTATACAGAAATGAAAGCAAATGCTTGGATAGCAAAAATTTGTAAATGTAATCAGGAAAACACCAAAAAGTTTGGCCCAGTACCGTAAGTAGTTAAATCAGTTGTATCTACTCAATTTAATTAATCTACTTAACTTACAAGTAAAATCCATTTTATGTTGGAGCAAAAAACGTTTCACTGTAAGATGCTATTAGCTGGATAAACATTGTATGGTAGACTTTCAAAATTGCTTCTGTAACAGTCAAATTCATGTTACAGGGCTCAGAAACAGTTATACTTGAAAAAATGAAAATTAGAAAAGAACACTGGTAGTACGCACGAAGAAGATGTGTGTTGGAATCTCTCTCATATTTGAAGGTGAGACGACCGTAGCTGACATGGTTGAGGTTCTTGAGCCACTCGAAGTACGACACAGTCACACCACCGGCATTAATGAACATGTCCTATGAAAAGAATGCAAAACAGATATATAAATGACATCTTATGTGAGGTTTTCTTATTCTAGGGTGGGTTTTAAGGTCGGGTTTCAGATTAGGGTAAGCAATGAAATACATTTTCAAGGATGCTCAAACAAAAAAGAAGAGCTTCAGGGATGTAATAAATGAGACTTACATGTAAATATAAAAATCATCTGTCCAAAAAAGAAAAATTAAGTGGATTTATATAATAACTATTGTTGTTGTTGTTGTTTTTGATGCAAGGGAAAGGTTTCCAAAGCACAATATTGCAGTTTAAATGAACTCTCGTGTTTAACAAGGATATTTTTCAATTGGAAACACATTGATTCTCATTAAGATCTATACAAAAGGAACGTGCACATAAAGACAACTTCTCTCATCTTCATTGAGTGGTCTTTATATACAGGTTACACTGTACGATGGTACTCACTGGTATAACAAGCACATTCTTAGACAGCAGGATGGCATCAGCAGCAGGGGTGGTAGGTCCGTTGGCTCCCTCTGCAATGATCTGAAACAAGCACAAGACAAAACGATTCAGTGGTTTGTTCTATTGAACACTAGATTTAAAAGGGCAGGGCTTCAAACCCCAGACTGGTTGAACTGCCCCTTGGACCAGCCATGTATGATACAGTTGTCTCCCTTGATAGAGGTGCCATGTATTAATATTCCTGGGCCCCGTTGCAAAAAAATTTCCACTTGATGCTAACTTTGCCATCAATGGTAACTAAGATGTAAACCTTGATTTTGATTGGCTGTTGAGCCCTGTTACCATGGTAGTTGCCATGGATATCACACTGCGATGTCAGCAGGTTGCGAATTACATTTTATTTCTAAAGACCACCTCCCCCCCCCCCCCAAAAAAAAAAAAAAAAAAATGGGTGTCATGCAACAGCGAGAACCCTGCTCGTTCGTGTCTCCTTAGATCAAGATTAATGTACAGTTCCTTAATTAAATTAAATAAAATTAGGTTCTTCCATCGCCCGATGGCTGCCATGGCCGTCTCATTTACAAGGGCCAGGTCTTCATCTGTGCTTCCCATTCCCCCACACTGCAAGATGTGGTCCATCGTCTGAGTCTCTCCGCAGTCGCAGAGAGTATCTTCTTCATGGGCATAGCCCCATCTTGCCATGTTGGCCTTACACCCTGCTGATAGCTTACCTTGGCCTTGATGTCATGGGCATTGTCAGCTGTGATCTGTTTTTCTCCTGCGCAGGGTACCAGGATGTCGCACTGCGCTGTCAGCAGGTTTCCTTCATAGGGCTCTGCTCCAGGAAAGCCTACAATGGTGCCATGCTCCTAAACATCAACAAGAAACACATGAAAACAAGAGATAAAGATTCAATTCAATTAAAATTAGGGCTGTGCACAACAGTGTAATGAGGTACCCGAATACACTCCCAGGCTCACAAGCAAATACTCGAATATTCGGACGCCATGTTTTTTTATTATTTTTTTGAATTTTTTTGAATTTTTTTGAATTTTTTGATTTTTTGATTTTTTTGATTTTTTTGATTTTTTTGCCACTACCATACCACTCGGCAGTTTCCCAGGTCCCTCGCCGAAAACGCATGCAATTTTACTTTGAATTGCAGTTGAAGGTGCCGATTTAATTAGAATAATAACAGTAAACAATGCTGTTTTAAAAACCAAAGATTGCAGAATAATCCATTTTCCTCCAAGTCCAAACAGAAATCTGGACATTTGGTGCCAGTTTCTGAAAGGTTAGTTTGACAGTGCTTGAGTTGGGAAACATTTTAACCGACGGTACCATGCCAGCGGCTGCCGCTCTCCCTGGCACGGGTGAGCGTGGGCCTGGACATTTTTTTTTTTTATTTTATTTTTTTTTCTTTTGCGGCCGAATATTCGGGTACGAGAAATCGTACCCGAGTAGTTGTCAACTGTGCGGGTACTCGAGCATTCGACTACCCGTCGCAGCCTTAATTAAAATTAAAATGACATAATCCTACTGCACTTCATATTTTAAGATCTTACAGCACACGTATATGCGAGTACATTCAGGGAATTTACTTCATTCAAACAGCTCCTGTCTGTCTTTTCTATTCCCACTTTGCCCCCCAGAGATCTTTAAGGCAGTTCGATCCATTGTGCTTTGGCAAGACATTGATCTACATTTGCCACACTCCAACCAAGTGAAGCAAATGGGGACCTGGTAGGAATTTATTCCTTGAAACACAGAGCGTGTGACAGCTGCACTGCTAAAGCCAGGGTTATTATGCTGCATTATTGTAGAGCGCTTAGAGGCTTCTGATAAAGTAAGTGTTAGGCGCTATCTAAGCAAATATAATTATTATTATTGTGTGAACGAGGTGTTAGGGTTAATTCTTACCGTCTTGTAATCTTCCAGTTCCTTAGGATGGATGCCGGCTGGGTTGTAGATGCTACCGTCTATCTCCATCACACCTACGCACTTAGCTCCGTATCTGTGAAGGTATCTTGTGGAATGAAGACCCACGTTACCGAATCCCTAAGGGAAAAGAAAAGAAAAGAGAAAAGATTGATGGAAGGGACAAAGAATAAGAAATGAAAATGATCATGTGGCTCTGAAATATGCTACAGCTTCAGGCTTTCTTTCTTCAAAAACATAGGGTGAGGTTAAAGCCCATCTGTACTAGTTTGGCCAGGAGGGATAAGACCACCCAGCAAGGTCACTGACAGGTGGCTATCTCATCAACTCAGCTCTCAATTAACATAAGAAAAAGAGGATTATTGGGGACCAACGGCCACCAGTTTGGCATTGTTTTCTATATAGGGGGAGCAAGTAGGCTTTAAATGGTGTAATTAGGTTAGGGTTATTGTTTGAGTTACATTTAGGGTAAGGTTATCACCAGGATGAGGGTTTAACAATGAATTGAATTTTAATATTTTGTTAGTATAGGATACTAGAAAGCAAATGTTACAAGGGCAATTGTGGTACGACTAATCATGCATCTGTAGTGTAATGACCCAACATCCCATTAAACACATAGAAACAATGACACCTGAGACACTTTTAGCGGTCTATTCATCAGTTTTTCTAAAAGAATCTTAAAAGTTTGGTAGAGATCACTGTTGATACGCAATGGCTCAGTGGTAGAGCAGTGGTCTCGTGACAGGGAGTGCCTTAGGTAATATAGCCGTCGGTCACTTAGTCTCTTTCTTACATAAAGCATACACATGCTTTCTGAGCAGTCAGGCAAAACAAACAAACAAACACACAAATCAAACTAGTTTGTATCTTACCTGTACAATGAATGACTTGTCACCGAGGCCCGGAGTCAGACTAACAGCACTCATGTAGGAAGCCTCGTTGACAAAGTTCTCTACACCATGGTACACACCACGCCCGGTGGCTGAGATACGACCATGTATACCACCCTACAAGTAGAATGCATAGTATATAATGAATAGATACGAAACTATAAGTAAGGTATATATTTTGTTTAAAGTTGTTATCTCTATCCTAATCAGGGCGTCATCCCAATATGTACATCAAACAAAATTACAAATAACGAAAGAAGATTAAAAATTTAAGCAGTATAATTATACATTGTTTTTTTAAATATTCAAAAACACATGTACTTTACATTTTTCAAGTGGATTTCTGAAATAAAACTTGTAGCAGTTGACCCAGAAGCAGGCGCGTAGCCACGGGGGGGCACGGGGGGGCACGTGCCCCCCCTAAAATTTCCAGGATCGGTTGAAATTTTGTAGACCCCTTTTTTTGACCTCGATCGATTACATGTATGTGCCCCCCCAAACATCAAACTCTGGCTACGCGCCTGCCCAGAAGTACTCAGTAATGTAACTTAGGATCGCTAAGAGCTGACGAGAGAAGGAGATTTTATGGTTCCCTAAAACTGGGGTTGTTATATTTTTGCTTAACTAGGATTATAAATTGACAATTTTACATTAATTTTTCGTTATTTTTTATACCAGCGGGTAAAAGAGTCTGGAATATGAAGAATGGCAATTAAGTTATAGAAATTTGGTTTACTTTGCTAAATCATGTAAAAGTGAATTTCATCACAAGAATATACAGAATTAATGAGGTGGAATCAATACAAAATCAAGGTGCAAAAGAGCAGTCCTCACATCTGGGAGTGTTTAACAAAACTTGACATCGGTGACAAATGACAGTTTTTGTTATAAGCTAGTGAAATCCTTGCTTCTGATTGGTTATCAACAGATTTGTCACTGATTTTTGTCATTTGTCATTGAAAAGAGGGTTTGAGAAACAAGTCCCAGCAGGTGGGTCAGGAAGACAAATTTTAAGCCATACTTAATGATATAAAATAACACATCTTTGCGTTGACCGTGATTGGTTCCAACCTACCTGTGTAATAGGTTTGCCTGTAACGCAAGCATGAGCATTGATGTCTTGATAGCCGATAGTCATGGCATAGGTGTCAGCCATCCAGCTCATCTCCCTCTCTCCGGTGCCCATGTCTGGAGCAGGTACATCGATACCGGGTCCTATACGAGCAATGCAAGAATAGATGATGATTATGATGATGACGATGACAATAATAATAATAAGAATGACACTAATAATGAATAGAAGAAGAAGAATGTTGACAACAACAGCAACACATACCTGCCAACATTTGAAAAAAGAGAATTAAGAATTTTTAGCACGGTATGTCGTCGAAAATAAGAAATCTCTACCCTTAACAGGCGTTCGCACATGCAGCCGCAGTGTAACTGACAATACGCTGTAATCTGTGCCAAAAAGCGAATACAAATTCGCTGCTCAACCATGCAGCCCTTCAACGCACGGAATACGTGAACTCTCACATCGCGGCATATGATAAGACAAGCTTAATTTGGCTTAAGCAACAACAACAACAACAACAACAACAACAACAAAATCAAAATTTTGAAAATCCGGGATATCCCGCATTTTGGGGTCCTAAAAAGTCCAGAAAAACAGGATATTCCAGATTATTTGAGAGGGTTGGCAGGTATGGCAACAACATACAAAAAACAATTATGGTATTCATAATAAAAGTTTACCTTTAAACATATTATCCAAAATATACAAAGAGCTGAAAATTATCCTCACCCCCAATTTTAGCAGAACTGCTCCAGCATTCAAAGAAATTCTTTTCCTGATGGTTACCAATTTTCTTCACAAAGAGAAATCAGTACTAATTTGAGAAATAAACAAATATCTCTCTTCAGGCACTTTGAGATACGGCTAAGTAAACCAGCTAGTTTTTTGTACATGTAAATGATTGACAACTGTGTGCAACAAAGGATCAAGACTGCAAGTATTCACTAGGCTCTGTCTTATACAAATGTGGTTATCATAAAGAAAAGCGCTGCAGTTAAAGCCCCAATGCACCACCTATAGCTACACTATTTGCACCCTCTACACTGCCAACAATGTCTAAGCGGTACCCGTTGATCCCCCATGATGCCCTTTTTCTTATGTTAACTGAGAGCTGATTTGAGGAGATAACCTGTCAGTGACCTCACAGGGAGATCATAATCCCTCCATGCCAAACAAGTGCAGAGAAGCTTCAAGCAACATCATATTTGAATGGGGCTTTACTTTTTTAATACAAGGACCTACCAATAAAGCCCTTTTTGGCTAGCTCCATGCAGAACCTCCTGGTGATCTTCTCCAGCTCCCTCTCGGAGTATTTCCTTGGGTCGATCTTGATGCCGCCCTTGGCGCCACCGAAGGGGACGTCCACCACGGCACACTTGTATGTCATCAGAGAGGCCAGGGCCTTAACTTCGTCTTCGCTCACGTCCATGCTGTATCGGATACCTGAATGATCATGAGACAGGTACAGAAGATTAATACGCTGCTCAAAAAACTAAATCATGTCCTGTCAGCATGGTTAAAGGGATTGGGTATCTTTGTCTCAGATTCTAAACAAAAACCTGCATTTAGCTCATGCTGCAATCTTAATTATAAACCTTTAGGTCAGTCAGGAATCCCATGACTCTTACAAGCCAATTGCCTATCTGATTATCAAGATATTTATGATTGGAAATCAAAATTTCATTTTTTTGTTTTCCTAATAGTTTTTATAACACTGCAGTCTCTTAGGGAAAATGAGTAAGGTAAACCCGGTCACTCAAAGATTTTTACTTGTTTGAGGCACTTCATGATCATTTTTAATTATTTTTTTAGGGCTTCAATATTATACCATATCACAGACACTGATAACACGTAGGGCCATGCATCTCAGATTCAACATTGTTTAATTTTGCTCTAATCTTGTACATACCTCCTTTGCATGGTGTTCTATGTTGACTGTGCTGGGCCCTGTATGCTTGAATCATTTCAAATGAACCATCGTCCCTTAGAAGTGGAAAGTTGATGCTTAGTACATGGTTGCATGGCTTCAGTAGTCTCAAAATTCCTTGAACCTGTTCAAAGGAATGGTTATAAGAAATTACAAATGAACGGTGAGATGTTTCTGATCAAGTAGAATATTATTTGACTTGCTACAACCATAAAATCATTGACAGAAATTGAAATTACAAATTTCGCCGGTGCAAACGCCAGTGCAAATGTCGCCAGTGCAAAAGTGGCCAGAGCAAATATTTGATCACCTACCTTGAGTCTTTTTTCATTGCTTGTTTCTGGTCCCTTGAGTGTCTCAACGAGCCTGTCCTCGACCAGGGCTGCTCCACGGTCGTAAAACAGCTCCACCATCTTGAAAAAGTTTGGGTCATCCTGTGCTGTAAGGATAAACGAAAAATCAAGGAATACTCTGAATTTAGGCTATCGAAACAAACAGCAGAATTAATGAGAGAAAAATATCAATTTCAGGAAGTGGAAGATGAGAGACAAGTGCAGGATTCATTTCCTTTGTCCTATGGTGGTACATGTAAGGTCTACATGTATGCTCTTACTAATGCTATTTCGATGAGGAAATTGAATTATTAAAACAAAAAATTATCTGCAGGTTTGTCTGTGTTTGTACGGTAGTCATATTCAATGTTCCACTAAATAGATTTTGATATGGTTTTGACTTTTGAGTTTGTACAAAGAAAGTACAAGTACATGTACCCCGGCCCCCCCCCCCCCCCCCCCACTCACAGGTCGGAATGACCGCATGCGTGTTGCCAAAATGTCCGGTAAAGGGGTACTTTTCGTGCGACAAAGTCCGGCCCGAGAATTGTAAATAAAGGGGTGTATTTGAATTTTCACCCGGAGATTTCTTTAAAAAGGGGGTGTTTTTCTCCAAGGCAGGAAAAGCCCGTGAAAAGCCCGCGAAAGGGGGGTTCGGAAATGTTGGCAGTCCTCAGATAGGGGGTGCTTTCAAAAAGAGGGTACGAGCATATGCGTACCCTAAATAACACTGAGTGGGGGGGGGGGGGGGGCCGGGACATGTACATACATGTGAGCACTTTGGTCTTATCTCAAGTGTCAGTGGCATATTCTGTTTCTTACATGTAGGTAATGTGTATACTGTGAAGAATATTGCCTACCAAGCCAACAGGGTTTTATCTCATATCCTTTATCCCCAATCCGGTAAACCTTTTCTGGCTCTCAACAATCATTAAATGGCACCGTAGATGAAGTATTGTTCACAGGCAATCATCCCTAACAAGCAACAACCGCAGAATGGTTTTATAGGTCTGAAATCATACTACGTTAAACTTGAGTGCATTATGTAATACATGCACATGTACGTACTGTAGTTAGCAGTGGAAAGTAATTAATTAGGGAAAACCCTGTGTATACAGTATGTACAGTACAGTGTACATATGTGTCACCTACATGTACAGTGCATACATGTATAAAAAGTACACTTCAACTGCTTATATTGGGCAAATAATAATATGCGAGATATTATAATCCAGAATAGCTTCGCATTTAACATACGTGATCTGCATGCATGCCTTTCAATTTTAAATGGCCACTGATAAAAAAAAATGCTGAATGAGGTATAACTGTATATATCCAAAGTATTTAGTAAAAGCTGCAAGCTTGCAAGTAGAGTCTGATTGAGGTTATAGGTACAATGTACCTAATACATGTTGACAGAATTTGTGCAAATACTTCAATAATCCATTATCAATGAACTAATCACATTTAGGCTGATCGGCCAACTTTGAAAATAGATTACTGCAGGTCCAGACAGCATGCACACGTAGCCTACAATATAGGATCTACAATGTTGTACTTAACTTGTATGTCCTGTCAAAAGGACCTGCCCCGAAAAATGAAATTCCCTCATTCCTTTTTAAATACTTTGTTTACTTTCAGTGTTTTACTGTGTACTTGATTGATGATGCTGTTGTTGTTGTTACATGTGGTGTGTTGTTGTTGGGTTTTTTTTTTTTTTTGGGGGGGGGGGGGGGGTGGGCATAATTCGTAATAAGCAGTGAAGAAATATTTAAAAGATATTCAGTTACCGTATTTAACGGTGTATTAAACGCACCTTTTTTCTTTTGTTTTAAGTTTCGATTTATGCCCTTCCACCTGGCGCTATGCCTGGCAATGTCTCCCAGCTCAGTAATCGGTGTGTTGCCTCACCACTCAGAAACTAGAACAACAATCAAATTTGTCTGTCATCTTGGTTTGAAAGTAATCTTTCTAATAGATTTCAATATGTAGTTGATAAAAATAATTCCTCCAAATTTTCTTCTTTTACACGGCGTACCACAAAGTTCTATCCTAGGTCCTCTACTGTTTTTTAAGTCAGCAAAAAACGCAAAGGTGTGACTGAGGCATTAGATATCAGATTGAAAAAACATTTATGCTATCTGGAATTAGGTACCCTCACATTCTTTTACAAAAGCAAATAACTTTTAATGTCTGCTAAGAGCCAAATAGTTGAGTTATTGCCCTTCTGGCTCTCAATAAACGGATATATACTGGTATGCATACAGTATGAACCCCATGCATGGTGAAATACTATACAGTCATTAGGTCTAATACTGTTACCAGCTCTAGAATAACTTCTCTGCTGTTACACTACATCGAAACCAGACTACACTCAAGTCCAATGCATTGCTGTGGCATTCAGCCAAAGTCCAAAGGTAAAGGTTACGATCATGTATACCGATATGACTGGACAAAGAGTAGTCTTTCCAACATACATGTATGATGTAAATGTTAGTCCAACAAATGTATTTGTTTAATATATAAGGGAGGTGCATAATTAATATTGGCCTCTGGGGATTGTGATATACATGTAAGCTACATAATCTTCTGGAATATACGTTGAAATGAAACAAACAAATGTGCAAAATGGAAAATGACACATGCTAATCTGACAAAGTATGCTATCAAAACCTTGTCAGAAATTGTGCAAGATGTACATGTACCGTAGTAGACTACATGTACTCTGTATATACTGGGAGCCTGGGAGGCCTGCCCTACATACACACATCAACACATACAGTGTAAATGTATACGTACAGTTCATTGGCTATTGCAATTAACGCAGAAAAGGGATCCCTGCTAGCTAGATAAACAAACTTAAATGACTTTTACTAAAGCTTGCATCGAATGTGTTTACTTATTCTCTTTTTTATTTTAAGTGTACAAGTACATGTCATAAAACATCAAAGTACATGTAGCAATGTCACTAGTAGAGAAGGATTATTCCTAAAATAAACTCATAATAAATAAATGTACGGTATCTAAAAAGTAAAGAAAACTTGGACCACATTTTGATGCAAATTCCTCCTCTCTCCCCCCCCCCCCCCCATCATTACAGTATGTCTGAACTGAAATGCTATACTAGTCTGCACCCCCATAAGCCCTCTATCGTGTATATTTACACACATCTACTTGTTTGTTTGTTGTTGTTAACAAGGTCATACTGAACCAACCCTAATATTGATGATACTAAAGAAACCCTATATTTTGTCATATTATACCCTTTTCTAACTGGCAATTTCATTGGTGTCACACCGATAGAATGAGAATTTAATCACCTATTTCTCTTCTTTTCATCGGCTATTTAATCGCCTTTTTCTCCTCTGTTGCTTTCTAACTGGCACTTTCATCGGATGCATCCGGATGCATCCGATGAAAATCAATGCAGTTAGAAAAGGGTATAAGAGTTTGTGTTGCACAGTGTAGACTATATGCCACCCCCTCCCCCCCCCCCCCCCCCCCTCAACAGTCTGTCAAACGAAGGAAAATTGAGTCATTTGGTGCTTGTGGTTCCATATGATTACTCATATATCAAAGTTCTAATAAGATGGGCAAGTCAAGTCCAATTTTTTTAAAATGCTGATTTCTCAACACGTACCGTACATGGACATAAATATGATGATAAACAGAGTGTTGATCTACATGTACAGTGTATGTCAACCTAGCTGGCCATTTTGCAGTTTGCCAAATTAGTTTAATTGAATTTCCTAGAATGTCCTTTGTTATTGTAAACAAAATATAACTACATGTACATGTGCATGTACTGCTGTGTAAATCGTTGGTTCAAAATTGCATGTTCTTCATGTTTGATACATGTACATGTATAGTGAGTACTGACACGTATGTAAAATGCACTGATTGCATTCTACACTCTTAGACGACAGACTGTCTCAGTATACAGTATACAATGTAGATAAATCTTTAAAATGTAATCTGCAACAAACATCTTTCAATGCCTGCTGGTGACACATTACATACAAACAGCTGGTTTTTATACTACCGGCATAGTGGGCTGACTCTGCCTTCACGTGGCGTGTGGGTTGTCTAGATCAATTATCATGATTACTCGATACACAAGCACATGTACAGTAGCTGAACCTATTAGGTCAAACTCGTATTGGCTACATGTACAGGGTTACAGCATACTCATTACACAGTAAAGGTGAGATCAGACTTGTATGCATGCAATATGTATTACAAAGGCTTACAATACATGTACATGTACATGTAGATCAGTGTGACAGCCAGCAAATATGTACATGTACTTCTATTACTACTTCTATTCTGCTACTTGTCAAAGCCTGTTCAGCATCTAGACAAAGGTGATCTTCTGCCGACGGCTTGTGTGAATTTGTGCCTACCGATACTTATATGCAGGTACACACCTGACACCTGTACATGCTTCTATGGTGGTAAAAGGCTCTAGTCTAGACAAAAAGTCTAATACATGTATACACAATTCCTTTTCCCATCTTTGATCTTTGTTATAAAATATTTATAGTACTCCCAAAGCCATATATCCCCATCTGCAGTGATTTTTCCCTTTTGATCTGATATATATGAAATAAAGAAAAAAAATGTATGTATGATTAAATCTACACATTTAACCCTAATAAAATGCAACGTCAGCTTGTTTTTAGCCTCTGTGATGCAAGGACAAATGAACTTATATTTATAATGACAATTTTTATTGAAATTGACAATATGGCAATTGTGTGCCGATAAAAATATGAAATATCAATCAAAATATCACTACACCCCTCCTCCTCACCTCCAAAAAATCAAAGAAACTGCTGTAGGTCTCAATATCCTTGGCTATTAAACTTCATTGTTACATTTATTGAAGATGCATTATTGCCATATTCTTCTAAGTTCTAGAGTTGTTCAAGTACATGTGCGGGTATAAACTCTGGTACAAACTAGGCCTAGGCGAACACAAAGAACTTTTCTTTTTAAACTTTTATAGCTCTATTAATAACTTTAAAATAAAATCCAAACACTGCAACATTCAAAATTATTTAAGCCCCAAACTTGAGCCATGAACTTTGAAAGAAAAATATTTTGAAAATGTGAAATACAGCCATGATGAAAGCAAGAACAGGTTAAACGTATTTTTGTCTATTAAAACCCAACATTTTAAAAATGTGGTTGTTCATTTTTAATCAATACCACAATTTATCCTTAAATAAGCGGGTTACCGGGGGCCGGATCTTGGAAAATGAACATTGTCTTTGTTTTCTGGAACACAATGACAGTGTTTACTGCATGAGTAGATTTAAAATGGCACAATGCAAAACAAACATGCCCCATGAATCCATGATTATGATCATCATGATGATGATGATGTGTCTGCAAACACATTATTACATATTTATTCATGAATGTTCAAGTTGTCATAGATCATAGATGGAAGAGGATATTTTGAGGTTTTAAATGAAATTTGTAAAAATTTGACCTTCCCTCAGTCAATATCCTTCACCTTTGCATGATAATGCTTAGCAAATTCAAACCAATGATGGCGATGCCAAGGCAAAAAAGTCTAAAAGGCAGCTTTGCATTTGCAGGCCAATTGATTAGGCTTGAGCCAAGTTGAGGTGAGCGTCCAGACGTGCAATTCGCAGTCTTACTAAGCCTACAGGGCTTACATTAGACTGAAAATTTCTTTCTCTTGACTTTCATTCGTTGGCCTCTAATTTGGGTAGGGTCGGTTCCTCTTTTTGGTAGCGTCGGCACTTCCGTGATTGTGCTGCTTCCGTATAATGCGCTGTATGACTACATGTATGAGTGTTATTCAGCGCATTATACGGAAGCAGCACATTTACAAAGTGCCAGTCAGAGGTCATCACCATTGTGTAGAGATCGTGAATTCACACGCTACACGTGAAAAGGGAGCTAAGCTGTATCAGTCTGGTAAGAAAATTGCTTTTATTTCGTTATTTTTACCTCTGATTATGATATTCTGGATGTAATAACGGTTACAAGTCCCATACAATTTATCAAAGCCATTGTCCAATATTGGTCGGGTGCGGGAAAGTGTGATTTTGGACACATTTTAGATGTTGTTTACCTACCTCTCCGTGGGACCCTATGGGAGCAAATTAAGGCTCCCTCGAATAACATATCATAAAAATCATTTCGAGGGAGCCCTTAACCTTAAGGCTAACCCAAATCATTAATCAGAGGCTAACAAACGAAAGAGACAGACATTTTCGGTCTAGGCTTAGATCTACATCTACTTCAATTTTAAAATGTAAGGTACGGCACAGCACCAATAAAAAATACAAAAGTTAACTGTAATAGAGAAATCAGTGGTAATTCTCTCTTGCACTTGCTTGCACTTGCTTGCAGCTGCGATATATGCGCCACTTTCTCATTGCGGATATCGCCGCCTGCTTGGCAGCTTACCTTCCTCCCCGGCACCGGTACTGCATGCTGCCCCATTTTGCGATGCGGATACTTGTGGACGAACTCTCAAAAACGACTGTGCTCCAACTCCTCTCGAGCATTCCCTGTAGAGACCTGCAGCAAAATTCCTCAACATCTTGGTAGTCGTATTACCTCTTAAGCCGCAGAAAGTGTCCGTTACAGCTTAATTTCAGAAATACAAAGGTGATTTCAATTATTCTAAGTCTATTTTTTGACTACCGGCGAGTAAGAAGATCGAATCATCCGGATGTGACGCGATGCAGGAGTTCATATATGCAAATATGGGTATGGCGGAGGTGTGTCACCACGCCAACCAATGAGACCGCGTCTCTTGATGTGAAGTGTGTGACGTAATAATACGAGGGCTTATGACTAAAAAGACATGTCACCCACCGGATTAGCGGTCATTATCATAAGATTATTCGCCCTAAAATTAATGTAAGACCACTGCAATTTACGTGAGAAATGATATGTACTTCCAGGTTAAGTTTTTATGAAAACAAGTTAGACAATTTTCAAGCAAAAACATTGCTTGGTTAGTTCGATCTGGATGCTTTTGTGATGAAGCTTAGTTCAGCATTTTTGTAAAGGACAATAATAATTCTAGTCCTCTTTGTCTGTAAGTTATTGAATCAAGGAAATTATACTAAAGTTGAAGAAGAGAAGAAAATATTACGGAACTTATTTTAGTGCTTGAAGAGAAGTCAGATAGTGTCATAATTAAATACCAAACGGCGGCTGCTCTAATAAAAGCAGAAAATCGGAGCCACCGATCGGCGTTCGGCAGAGGAATGTTTTAATAAAATTATAATATTGTAAATTGAGAACACTTACTTTCATTAATCACAATTATATTAAAGAAATTGAACTATTTCCCATTTATTGTAGGACACCCCCTCCCCTCCCCCCAGAATAAAATAAAGAAAGAAAATAAAGAAAAAGTGAAATTGAAGAAAAAAAATAGGCTTATGATATATTATGCTTATGTTTACAAAATCCGACTAGGGACATTTTTATCAATTTAGTACTCTCTTAATTTCTAGGACTTATTTTAAATCCCAGGGGACTTGGGACAGTGACAATTAAAATAAGTCCGCCATTTTTTCAGTTGAACTAATTGTCATCAAAATATACAAGCTTATAAGTTAAAAGGTATAACCATTGCAAATCTAACTGATTTCATTATCATAATTGAAAGCACCCCTATATCTCAGGAGTAACAACATTTCTGAAACCCCCATTTGCGTGCTTTTCGCGGGATTGTCCTGCCTTGGAGACCCCCTTAAATCCGGAACACTGCTCAATGTAGGGTACGGCCCCCTTATCTATGATATTCAATTATTTAAAAAAAAACCTTTTTTTTGTCACGAGTCCAAAGAGAGAGAGAAAGAGAGAAGAAATGCCCCCTTTTTAATATTGTATAACCCCCTTTTTAAATTTCTCAGGAATCCAAAGAGAGAGAGAGAGAGAGAGAGAAAAAAACACCCCTTCTTAAAGAAATCTCCGGGTGAAAGTCAATTACACCCCCCTTTTTTTTTTTTTTTTACAGTTCTCGGGCCGGACTATGTCGAGCGAAAAATACCTCTTTACCAGAGATTTTGGGAACATGAATGCGGTCATACCAACACGGAGTGGGGGGGGGGGGGGGGTAGAGCCGCCACTGGCCAATGAGTTACTCGCCTCGGAACTCCTTGGATTGGCGAATTATCGACAATGATACTTTTTTTTAAAGAACCTATATTGTTTTTAACGGAGATGGCGCTGTACCAATTTCACTCGATTCCCTTGAACTTCACATTAATTTGTTGGGCCCTGTATCAAAAATCGACTTACATTCAATTATAAACGAATCTGTTGTTTCTCTAATCTTGCTGCAATTAATTGTATCTTACCATGCATTACCATGCGAAATAAAAATTAACTATCTATAGACTATACGGTTGAAAAATAAGATATAAATTAAATACTGAGAATAAGGAGATCCAATAATTAGTTGGGGGTGATGCGATCGGGATGCGATTAATCGTAACTTTTTATGATACAAGACCCAAATCTTGTAGAGAGACAAAATCAAAAACGAATCTTTAAGCATGAGTGTTTTTTGGTTTGTTGATGATGATGATGATGTAAATAATGATAAATCATGTTTCATATATAGAGGCTACTGTTATATTTTGGTCTCTTTTTCACTAATCTTTCTTTTCCCGATTCTCCGCTTCAATTTAACTTCATCCATTTTGTTGAGTGCTGTTGTTGCGGTGATGACGAGTACATGAGTTATCACAACGGAAAAGCACAGTAAAAACGGAGAGAGAGAGAGAGAGAGAGAGCGAGACAGAGAGATAGAGAGAGAGAGAGAGAGAGAGAGAGAGAGAGAGCAAGGAGGAGGGAGGATGTTAGGGCATCGGCATACATTGCAATTTTGGACTCAGGTGGTTAATATCGTTTCTTGCTGGAAAAATCAACTTTCCAGTTTATGATAATTTTATTCAACTTTCCAGTTCATGAGAATTAAGTATACAGTGTGTAAATATAAAAATGAAACTCGAATGCATGAATGTCCTGATAAATTCTTGTTATTCCTGTCATCTTCCATAATTATGAGACCAAATCACCATGCAATATAATTATAATGACTGAAATATTTCAAAGGAGTGGTGTCAAAAGCACTTTACACACCGAAGCAATGCATTTTACAGGTCACGTAGACATGTAATTAAAAAACATCAGTATGCAAAGCAACACAACAACTAAAACACAGTCACAAACCCATGATGATTGATAATGCCACTATAATGTTTCTCGGCTATTCACAAATATGCATGCAGACATGAATGAGATAAGAGTCCATAATATTAGCCCCAAACGGAAAGGGCAACCGGGGATTGAAAGACAAAAAGGAAGTGAAAGTAGAACGATTGACTTCCAATGAATAAATTGTCATTTGTTGCATTGATAAAACGAGAATATTGATAGATCACAATCTCGTGCGCCGGTGCGCAAATCAATTTTTGACCATTGCTGGTTTTTAAATTGCTATAGTTCTCTGATCCGAGGCTATACAACTAATAAGGTATCTAATTCCATTTATTATTCCATTATGCTTTACAATAAATCTAGTTACGTACATCTTATGAGATATTGCTGAATAAGGTTTATACCACATACACTTTCATTATACCTTAGCCACAAGACCGACACGAGGCGGTACTAGTACAAAACTTTACCTTACCTCCAATAAAAATATTCAAAGGCCAATAATTGGTCGGTTCAGAATCGGTGTGGAGTCGGTTAAGTAGTGTGACAGAAGTATTAGAGCGAATTTTGTACATTTTTATTGTGTATTGAAGTTTAAATTATAATTTTTCACTTTCTATGTGACTTTTTAGTTATTATTTATCTCTTTACAACATCCAGTTGTCAAGAGAAGAAAATCTAGCGCATAGAGACGTTATTTCATGACGTATTATGCGCTATACAAGAACTGAACTATTATTATTATTATTATTATTATTATTATTATTATTAATTAGATAGTGGCAGATTACTGTGTTGAGAATGTTTACTTGATTTGGGTGGCAAAGTGATATGCACCCTTTTTCCCTTTCTCTCTTCCTCTCATATCTCCTTCCCCTCTTATCGTATCTAATAATAATTCGCAAAGACCACCTCACTGCCCTAATGAATGAATTCAGGGACCTATATATTGCTCGAATATTGCGATGACAGCTGCCCAGATAATAACGCTATTGTTAGAAAAACTTCAACAAAAATGATAACTATTCGAGATGATTGGTCGTCATAGTTGAAAGAGAACTTGACAACAATATAAGGTCAGCCCACAATATTACATGCCCCGCCCCCTTTCCAGTTAACACGGCAATGTTGCCAATTTTTACAAAATCGTATTATCTTTAGATCCTTTATCATCTTCTTATTTTCCAGATTAACCATTTTAAAATGCATTTTAAGATAAAATATTGTGTAATCTATACTTTATTGTATTTAAGAGAACAAATTATATTATGTGTGAATAAAAAGATAAACCTTAGGATCTTTTGCTTAGATTGGCAGCACGTACTTTATTTGCATACAATCAACCCGCGTTGATGGTTTGCGATAAACAGCTGATCGCAAACAACTGCGGACGTCGTGCTTACTGTACATTTCGTAGCGTTTTACAACTTTCAAGACTGCGACCGAACTTGCTGTATAATTTGGTTGCTGTATGTTATTGCTGTAGCTGTAGTACTGTGGACTGCTCTCCTGAAAAACCACCTCATACAAGGTAGGCCTAATTTTCTTTCAAAATGATTCGCTGGTCGTAAGTTTGCCGTAATTTGCTGTCATCTCCCTTGTCTAAATCTGAGTTTCGTTTGAAGATGTGCATGCTCTCTTTTCAATGAGTAAAGTTACAGTAGTTTTAAGTGTTTGATAATTGATTTTTTAAATTGAGCCTTTTCAATTAGTTTTGTGGTGGATGGTAATGGTGATCACTTACATTTCAAAGGAGTCCTTCTATCTGTAATTTATGGAAGTTGTTTACAGGTAGATTTATGTTAATGATGTGCTTCAAAATATAAATAATCAAAGCCAAATTAATGATAGATCTATGATTAATGTCTACTAACTTTTCCTTGTCAAATAACAGAAATCAGAATGGGTTTTATTAAACTGTAGACCAAAAGCTTCAGTCTCTCTATATCTCCACTAGACATGGGGAATGTCAACACATGTCAGTTTTATTAAAGAAATGACCCATATCAGATGATTATTTCTGTCTAATTAAACTGTATCTTTAAATGTTCCAGAAAAATAGGGTTAGAACCTAGACTTGTAGGTGAAGCCAAGAAATAATTCCTATTTTTATGTCAGCCGGATATTTAACAAAATATTAAAAGGTGAAGGGTGTTCTTGTTCTATATATGTTACTTTAACAAAAGATTGTCTTTGATTAAACTCTCTTTCATATCCACTAGTCGATCTATATTATCTTATTTAATATTTTCTTGTTTGGTATAAACTGTACAGCCTCAAATGCACTATATCAGTTGCTGGTACACACATGTAGGCCTATATAGAGGAGGTATGTAAGCGTTCGTGTACCAAAGTATCAAATTAAGTACATGCTATTTGATGCTATGTACATGTATGACTCACTTCGAAAGGACTTTGTCAACAAGTCCACAATTCTTTATAAACCTGATTTTATTGAAGACGTTTTATAGAGTATTGATTTTAAGCCTTCGCAGTATTAGCAAACATAAAGAGCTCACAATAAGTAAAACTATCATCCTGAGACCATTTCAGTCAACTGCATGTACTAGGCCTATAGGAATAAATGTGTTTGTAACTTTCTTTTTCTGTTGTAAAGATGTAAACCTACATGTATAAACCCCCCCCCCCCCCTCACCCCCCCCCCCCAAAAAAAAAGAATATTCATGAAGCCAGTTTTTTTCCCCACATGCATGTACATGTTCTAGCAAATTTTCATTGGTCCACGTACACATGACCTAGTTATTATAATGACTGAAATTGAATCAAAGTGACCTTCACATTCATACAACAAGATTTGTACATTGATCATAGTTTTGAATGCTTATCACATTTCTATGACGAAGTGCCAGTGAATCAGTGCACAAAACACTAGTTTAACAAGGTACAATTTGATAAGGAGGGTGCATTTAGTCATGTACTCCTTTGATTGCCAAACTTGTGGCCTCTGTTATCACCCTTTGTGTCAGTTTACTTATCAGATTTAATCTCAGCCCTACTGTTCAGTGGTGGGTGTGCATTGTACAAATTTGCAATCTTGAGCCTGAGGAAGATTTCCAATGTACCCACATGTGCAATTTAGGACTGTGTTTCTGGACAGCTCTGTAGCAAATTGTAGATTTTCACTGTGTTGAATTCTGAAGCATCTTCACAATCTGTAACTGCACCTGTAACAGCGCTGGACTGTCTTGATTTTTATAGTACATCATCATTTTGACGAAGGTACATTGTAGAATTATCTGACAATTCATATTAAGATTCATGTACCTGATTTGTTTGAATGAATGTTTTTTTCTTCTGTCACACATTGCAGATTTGTAGGCTTACTTGTACCATCATTCTGATAGCCTGCAAATCTTATCATTGATGTAATATGTATTGTGCTTTGGAATGTAGCAATACATAGACATTGTGTTTTATCAACATCAATATCATCATATCCTGCTTCTCTCTTGCTCTTCTTTCTCTTCTTTCTCTTTTGTTCTATTTCCCTTTATCAATCTCTTCATCTCTTCACTTCAATATTTTCTTTTCTTTTTATTTCCTTTATTCAGTTATTGGTTGACCTTTGGCCTGTTGGTGAGAAGAAGGTAAAGAGAAAACATGATGAAGTCTGTTCATTTGCTGTCATTACTGGCATCTTTTGCCCTTTGTGTTGGTAAGTAATGTAGCAAAGAATATCATAAAAGGACCACTATTCATAATTTGAGAAAAGGGTCATTATTCATGAGGGCTGCTATTGATAATCAAAGAAGAAGAGGGTCGCTACTCATAATGTGAGAATAAGGTCGCTATTCACCCTTTTTTGTAGCATGAATAGCGGTCCTTATGAGTGGTGACCCCCAATATAAATTATGAATAGCACCCTTCTTCATGTTTTATGATTTGGCGACCCACATGTCGTATTATGAATAGCGACCCTGTTTATAAATAGTGGTCCTTATGAATAACGGTTGTTATGCCTTTATGAAAAGTGACCCCCTAAAATGCATTTTAGGAATAGCGGTCATTCACTCACAGGAAGTTGCACGCTATGAATAGCGGTCCTTATGACTAGCGAGGTTACCCCATTCTTTTTAATTGACTTTCATTGTGTGGTCAGATATAGTAGAAGGACATGCTTCAAATGAATTGAAAACTCCTGTTGCCATTTCTATTCAAAAGCCTGATAAAGTTTCCAACATTAATACAAGTGGGAAAATATAAAGAAGAAGTGATAATAAAGCGTAGGAAAAGTTATGACTTTGAGCAAGCTTCAGAGCTTTAGTGCTCCTGCGGAGTATACTGGTAGGTCGATCTCTTTTCTAGATGGTTATTACATTTTGAACATTAAGAAAGAGAATTGTGCTGTTAAAAAGTCTATACATGTATGATTGACTCGTGTGGCACTAGCTGTCACCATTTGCAAGTTGTCACTTAGCTATTGGCCAGATTAGTGCTACCATCACTGTTTTCTTTCATTCACCTTCATGCAGTGATGAAACATTTTTAGATAGGACAACATAAATGTACCTTTGAATGTTCAGACATAATTCATGTGGCATTTCATTTTCATCATTTTGTGATTTATGTAACTTAGCTATCAGCCAGATCATTGCTTCTATCCCTGTTTCTGATGCCATGTTTGGAACAATTCAAATCTTACCTTTCCTACAGTGATTCTTGTGGCAGCTTAATCATTTGTGACTTGTCATTCATCTATTGGCCAGGTCACCGATATCCTATCACTCTTTTCTTTCATTCATAAGCTCCTCAGAGCGAACGAGCAAAGCTCAAAGGTCTTGATAGACAATATCACTCGGCCATTGAGTATTGAATAATTATTTGCCTATCTTAATCAAATAGTCAGAGTTGACCTTGTGGTGTATTTCAGATTAGAATTCTACTGTTCTAAGTATCCCTTGTAGAAATGTACATGTATATGAAACCTTTGATTGGAATTAGGGTTTGAAATTATCCTGTGGTAAACCAATAGGCCTAATTAATTTCTTGATTACTAGAGGAAATTAGTTGAAACACTGCATCTATTGCAAAGAGTAAATGTGATGAATTCATCCTTTGGCCGTCTTATAAAAGAATAGATCCTTATTTTTGTATGCAAGCAAAGTCTTTAGTAGGCCTACCGGTAGATTGTGAACCTAAATCTTAAACAATGTCAATATGCTACAGCTAAAAGATATATATTATGTAAAGTTTGGAAATTGCCCTAGAGAGACTTTTTTGAAAACTTCTAGGGTATATTGCCTTTGCATGTTTCTCTATGTATGTCGTAGTACTGTACTGGTGATTGTAACTGCCATTTTAAAGCCTATTGCGTTTTAAAATCTCATGTTGATCATATATGATGACCGACCATGCATGAATGAATAAATCAATCAATAAATAAAATGTAAATGTCCTTGTGATGAGTATGCTTTTATCAATTGTGCGATCTAGCGGCTCTACCTGTATGTTAGTATTGAAGACAGTTATAATCATAGATGATAGGTAATTTTATAGTTTTGTAAACATTGAAAATTTAAATTTACTTATAATTTCAGAAATACATGATTCCAATCTCTCTTGCAATTGCAATTGCTCGACCAAGAGAAGTACGTACATGTACATGTAGGCCATGCCCCTATATGTACCGGTAAAAATATGCACATATACTTATCTTAGAAAAGAGATACCTGGTCTGTCCTTCCCATTTTCATTGAGATTAATACCATTACCTTGAGTATAGATTAAAAGTTCTTTTTTTTTTTTTAGAGTGGTAGTGTTGAATGTATTTCCTTTTGTTGGCAGGAAGGCAGGAAGTCATGTGAGCCTAAACAAAATCACTATACACTGTACATAGCTTATGAATGAGGAAAACAGAGCCATGCATACTAGCTGCCAGTTCAAGTATACGTCCAATTTGCTTCCATTCAAGTTTAAAGTTCATTTTTTGATTTACAAACCTGGCCAAGTCCAAGAGGTGGATTGTATACCCTGCATATTTGATACCTTTATTACTGAATACTAATTTAATATGAATCCTAAGTTTGTTTATAATGATCGTAATCAGACTACCTTTAAACAAAATTATTATCTGACAAAAGACATTTGCATTTTCTTGCATTGCCAACTTTAATATTCCCAAAAATGATCTTATGAACTGTTATTTGAAGTGGCCATATTAGAAATAAACTTTTGCTGTTCAAGCAATGTTATGCTGCTAGTACTACATGTACTGTACATGCAGTTATTCTGTCTTTCTGACAAACTATTCAGTATGCACACTTTTGCTTTTTAATTTCCAATGCCCCTTCTCTAGTTATTATGTACTAGTACAAATCATCAGGACATCATTAAATCAGAAGTCTGAGTTTCATTTTTTTTTTAATCAATCAGTAGGATAATTTTAGAGAGTACTATTTTTTGTTATCAGCCCATATCCATTGTCCTCAATCTCACTATACCGACTGTCATTTCATTGATAAACTCTCTAAAGAATTGGACTCGACTACACAGTCATGTGACAATGTTATTGGGAAATGAAGCCTGTTTGTGGTGACTAATTATTGTCTGTCCTTGTCAGTGTTTGAAGATTAAATGAGCAATGTAGGTCACATCTACATATATAGGAGTTCCTTAACCTTGATCATCCAGGCACTGTCATTTGAGCTGGCACGTGGTGAATAAACAGAAGAAAAGAAGAGAAAAGAACACAGAAAATGAAACAGAGATAATATGAGGTTACAGGGGATGTACTGTACAGTAAGTGATCTTCAGACATTTTAGTATCCCATTGTTTGTCATATTTGTGCCTACATGTACAGTTGTAGTACACGTGTATAATATGCGCAAATGGGATGAATTGCTTTGTCTTGCATTTATTTGCACGACAACAAGTGGCAGTAGTGGTTGGGGGGGGGGGGGGGAAGCCCCTCCCTCCACCCGAAGACAAACAATCTAAAGCACACATATATATCAATAAATGTAATAAATATTCATCTTGTTTTTATCTCCTCTTGTGTTTATAATATATGTCATACATTTTTATTTGACTTTAGAACTTTGTACATAAATTCTACATGCATTTAAACAGCTTGATTTTCTTCAGACTTTATCCTTTTCTTTGATGACCAATTTTTTAATAAAAATCTTATCGCAAAGTATAACTGATATGAAACTGCATTTCTCACAGATAAAAAAAATCTCCACAAAGATAAATTCATAGCCATCCTCTTCTTGGTAAGAAACATTTTTTTGATGTAAATTGAGTTTCCATGGAGATGGTTTTCATATGAAGGGTTTTATGGATTTTTCTAACTATTATTATTAAAATGTGATTTGATGCGAGCAACTGTGCATATTCTGCTTAACCTCTCTTTTTGCAGTCTATTATCTAGCATATGTGCGTTTGCTATGAAATGAATGCATTGTATATACAGGGAGTTTTACAGTTGCTATATGTCTACTTTAACTGGTGTATCTCTTTCTGTTTGTCCGTCTGTTTTTTTCTTCTTCTGTTTCTCTGTTTCATTTTTATTTCTCTCTCTCCCTGTACTCTTCTCTTTCTTTCTCCATCTCTTGTTCCCTCTCCCTTTTCTCTCTCTCTCCTTTCTCTCTTTCTCTCTCTTTCTCTTGATCTCTCTTTTTCCCTCTTTCTCTTGATCTCTTTCTGTTTCTCTATCCTTCTCTCCTTTTCTCTCTCTTTCTCTCTCTTTCTCTCTCTCTTTATATATCTTTCTCTCTCATTCTCCCTCTCTCTTTCTCTTTCTCTTTATATCTCTTTCTCTCTCATTCTCTCTCCTTCTCTCTCCTTTCCTCTCCTTTCCTCTCTCTTCTGTCTCAGTTTCATTTCCCCGTCTCTCTTTTCAGTACAGTTGTGTATGTTACTCTGTGTCAGTCGCTCCCTCTTTCTCTGTAAGTCTGTCTGTTATTCCCACTCTCTCTTCTGTGTACCCTTTTCACACAAATATGCCTTTTCCTCTGTATATTTCAATATGCCATTCTCGTGCTTTCCTTCAAACTGCTTTCCCTTCAGCTGCAGCTCTTGCTCTCTATAAAAAAAGAATACCGGTAACTAGTATTTTGCTTGGTGCAAATTTTATTGTGAGATCTTTGCATTTTTTTCTCTTCTGCACTTTCGCCTTTTGTCCACCTCTGGGCATTCCACTACAGATCCTGTAGGCAGACGTTTCCTTAGTATGGCTTGCATTTCTTGTGTGTTGCTCATGTTGTAATCAGGTTCAATTGTATAATGTTTCAGTTCGTGTTTCCTGCTTGTGTAGTACTTAATTCGTGGAAAGTTTGTTGACCTTCTGCAAAAAGTTTACAGGTCATATGAGTTGATTGATTTCTAATTGCTATGTGGCTTTCGTGAAATAGCAAAGTTATTTAACCTATATGAAACAGAGGAGTTTTAGACATATTAGCAGATGGTCCCCTGCTTACTTGAAAAGTGAATTGTGGTGGTGGTTGTGCCCAATCTGTTACTGTTTATTTAATGCACTATATTAAATGGTAAATTGTCATTGTAATTAATTCACCAAAGACAGAGTATGAAATTGACATGTGTATTGTAGTAGTTCATGTACATGTAGTTTACAGCATAGAAAAACTAATCAAACTAATGTCTACATTTTTCAAACAAAGAAACAAACAATTGGAAGAAAGGGATCGAAGCAATAATGAATCATAATCTTCAAAACATAACTCAAAGCAAAATATAAAGTAGATTAAGCATGTAAATGTGGTTGCGTCATTGGTTTAATCACTTGGAATAAAACAGATTAGGGTTCAAACCTTTGCTAGTTAATAATGTCCTGTGGCGAGATATACAGTAGGTATGAATGGCTACCTGGTTTGCTCAAACATTACATATTATTAAAGTTGCTGAGATATAGTTTGGTATTGCACTGTAAAGCACTTTAAGGGAAATCCAGCCCTAATAGTAAAAAAAAAAAAAACTCCAAAAGATAGCAAAAAAATCAGAGAAGTAGACTGGGGAAAGTTTGAGCGAAATCTGACAAAATATAAGAAAGTCATAGATTTTTTTAAAGTTATAACCACTATACACTGTATGTATGGAAACCTCAAATTGGTTAAATTGGTAATGCCACCATGGAGTGTTAGACAACTTTCCCATTTGTATTTGTTCCAATTAACACATGAAATGAATAAAATTCAATTTTTATCATTATGTAATTTGACAAGGATGGTCCAAGTATAGTGCCCCAAGGGTGAAGGAACTTGGGATAAAAACTGCAAGTAGAGATATTTTTGTACAAGACATATGGGAGAGTTATCCATATCACTATGTCTCTATACCTGCATGCACTGAGAAAATTGCCAATTTGAGATTCGCATAGCTGTAGTGATCTCATATTTCAAACATTCATAGCCTTCTTATTCTTGGCCTGATTTATTTCAAATTTTCGACCGGTTCTGTTTATCTTCTTTTCTGCTTTCTTTCAAAAGAACTTATTACCAAGGGTTAGATTGCCCTTCATATAAGTAAACAGTTTTCATCATGAGTGTTTATAATCATCAAATTTGAGGCTGATTGCTGAATTCAGTATTATTGAAACTTCTTTCTCTCTATCGATTCTCAAGGAGGTCGAGCGGTGTCCTATGAGACTGGAAAGACATACCGCTACAACTATGCCACCGATGTAGAAATCAGTGATCCCAGCTCGGGAGAGGACTGGAGCAGCGATGGATCCAAAGTGGGCTTCAAGCTGTCATCAGTTGTCGACTTGGCTGTCGTCTGGCAAAACCCCCAAGATGCTTATGAAAAGATCTGGAAATTGACAGTAAGTACATGTACAGTGTGTTCGAAATTTACATTGTACAAATTAGCTTGGTCCTTTTGACAATGAAAAAATAGCATGTTTCTTGTAGAGTAGACCATTGATTTTGTGTGACGACCATTAGATAAAGCTGTGGCACACTGTTGAAAATTCCCTTGATAGATGGCAAGTTCTATATAATTAAAATGTAAAATGATGACATTTAATGGCTTTTGAGATACTAGGGTTGGAATATATAAAAGGCTCTTTCATGTAATTGGGCAATTAATGCAATAAGTTATTGTAGCAAGTCACAAGACATTTTCTTGCTTTCTCAGAGATAGCTTTACATGTATGATGATTAGGGACTTAACCTAATTGCTTAGTGACATTTGCTCATGGGCCCTGTTTCATAAAAACTTATCATCAATAACAAGGTACGATAACTGTTACAAGCTACTGAAATCATGGGATTTGATTGGCTGAGAGTAAAGTTGTTACAGAAATGTTAGTATTCGTTATTGATAATAAGTTTGATGAAACAGGGCCCTGGCTTTTTTCATCAAAGATAAAGGGATATGGTTGCAATTAGGTTTTAGGTTCAGGTTAAAGATAAACTTGAGTTCTGGTAAAAAAAAGAAAATGAATTCTCACAGAATCTAATGAAACTTACACTGAATGTTCAAGATTACAAATAAATGTCATGTGCCAAACAATTTTGGAAGAAAATGTATACTGGCTGAGTAATGAGCATAGAAAGATAAGGAAATCAGGGTATAGTACTAGCCCCGACACCATGTGTGTTGTCCCATATACATCTATCTGTGTAAGTGATTGTTACTTTACCAAGACTCTGCCAAATTTATGATGATTTTGATGACTCTAGAACCTTGCATTACACACCATTACTTACATGCTATATGATCAACTTTTCTGATCCATTCCACACCTTTTCTTTCACAATGCAATCGCATTACCAGTACTCCAGTTTATCTTTAAGGTTCATTTTTGGGTATAATTTGTAGTCAAGTGTTGAAGTTAGAATTGGGTTTGTGAAGGACATTGATCACAGAGCAGTTATTGCCGGAGCATAGAATGAAAGTGGGGCATCAATTAAAACTCTTGAGAACCTTGCGCTATATTAGTTGAACACCCGTTGCTTTGTATATAATAAGTTTTAGAATTCATGCTTTCCGTTTTTATTTGGCGATCAAAGTTTGCAGACTCAAAACTGCAGACTCCTGGAGGGAGAACGGACGAGACGGACACGTTCAAAGCGGCACCTAACGTTCAAATTATTGGCGGGCAGCCTCTGTACGTCGTCACCAAGGCAGGGAAGGTAGGGTCCGTCTACGGCTCCACCAGTGACACGCCCTCCTCCCTCAACATGAAGAAGGGTGTGGCTAGCCTGTTCCAGTTCCAGTCCAACGAGGGCACTGTCACAGAGGTAAGGAATTAAATGCTGTATCTGGTTTGAATGAATCACGTGATGAAGTGCCCATCTGTTCGATTTAAAATCTAAAGTTCATTTTGGTCATATGGGATCAATCTAATCCGGATATTGGGTTTAAGCTCAGTCTCAGTCTTTTGGACAACTGCACATAAACAAATGGACATGATTAATGATCAGTACGCTCTCGCTTTCCCAAAACAGACCGAAGTTCTCGTCATGCTACATGCCCTTTAAAAAAAAAGAAGAGTATTAATCAAATATCAAATGGGCATCCAAACATACATATACGAGTAAACTTCTCAATATTGTAAGGTTCTGTTCTTTTATGGAATAGGTTGATGCATCTGGTGAGTGCCTGGTCAGGTACTCCTCAAACAATGGTAAGATCACCAAGTCAAAGGACATAGCCAGCTGCACCAGCCCCAGCTCTGTCAACGACTTCCAGCACCCCAGACACATCCTTGGTGTGAACGTCCAATCAGAGTGCTCGACAGTATATACCCTGTCTGATGATGGCTCCGTTGTCCAATCAGCAGAGGGAACAGAAAGCTATGGGATCAGTGTGAGCATTAGGGATACCATAGCATCATCTGTAAAGTCGAGGTATGTTCAGAGCCATCTGCATGTTTATACAGAGTTTGGCCAATCCGATTCTAATTCAACACAACGTGGCAACGCAGAACAAAAGAATATATGCCACATTGAGTCTAACTGTAATCATGTTGATCAAACTCTATTTATAAATGGCTATGGGTGGCAATGTGGCAAATGTTGTTTTGTTGGGCTAGCACAGAACAAAAGAATATACGCCACATTGAGTCTACATGTAACTGTAACCGAGTTGACCGACCTCTATGTATAAATGGCTATGGGTGTGATGAAGGATTTAGACGGATAGATTGATAAATTTGATGGAGGAAACATACATCATAAAGGCAAAGTGAACATTAATTGCTATTGAATTCAATAGTTCATGCCTTTAAAGTTTAAAGTCAAGTATGAGATCGGGATAGGATAAATGCTGCATTTTTCTGTCCTCTTTACTTATGTTTTTTTTCTTAGAGCCCGTCTGCACTAGTTTGGCCAGGGGGATTAGACCTCCCTGCAATGTCAATGACAGGTGGTTATCTCATCAAATCAGCTCTCAATTGACATAAGAAAAAGGGGATCATTAGGGACCAATGCACCGATTAGGCTTTGTTTGCTATATAGAGCGCGCAAGGAGCTATAAGTAGTGCAGTGGGGCTTTAAGTTATTACTGTGTTTCACTCTCTTCTCCCACTTCGAATTCCAATTTCTCTCTGTTTCTCCTATTTGCATCCATTAGCTGTTTACTATCGGCTTACTATTTGTTTTGACTACGCGTACTTCCAAAAGTCCAGTATGATATACAGTACCTGGAGCCTGTTTCATAAAACTTGGGATCTATAACAACTGCTAAATTTCTATGACAAATTTGATCTCAGCCAATCAGATGCCATGATTTCAGTAGCTTATAACAGTAGCTTGTAACTTGTTATTGATATCAAAGTTTATGAAACAGGGCCCAGATCATATTTCTTATTCCTTATCTTCCAGACAATCCCTGGTACTGCAGGGTTCCAGCGACGGTGCCACGCCTCTCCAAGGTGCTACCGTAGAGGGCGCTATTCAGAGTGCAGGCAGCTTCCTTGTGCAGTCCCTAGCCCAGGACATGGTTGATCAACAGTGCACAGAAAACTGTCAGGCGGTAAGTTCTCACCAAGCCAGCATTTACACTGTAACGCAAAATGTCTCGAGCTTGATTTGAATCCAATCCACAAAGTAGTTTTATGGCCCTTTTTGTCCTTGCGCTCCATAGGGGCTGGCTAATTATGCCTAACAAAAAAAAAAAGTTGTATTGCCCTTTGCGACCGACCCAAAAATCTTGAAATCTACGGTCAGCTTTTAAAAAAAAAAATTCTCTACCGTTTTTTTGAAAATAAATGTATTATAGCATTCAAAACTGAGAAATATCAGCCCAAAGAGGGAGTAAAAAAATTATTGAAAAAAGTTTTTAAAAAACATGTTTTGGCATTTAAAAGGCAATACAACATTTTTTGTATAGGCCTTATTAATAAAACACTTAGAAAGACCAGTTAACCCAGTAAAACCGTGTAACAGTCATGCTCTCTTACAAAAGTAGGCCTTCAAAAGTTTCTTGAACTAATTCACGGATGAAGCAGTTGTCAAGGTAGTGGGAAACATGTTCCATGACCTTGCAGCAATGGTAGGAAAAGCAATGCCTCCAGGGGGGTGTTTCACAAAGACTAAGATCAACTTCCAGTTGGACTTAACTATGGCAGGCCATTCATGCCACTGGTTGCTCTCACCATTGGTCTCTCAATTATGATCATTAAATAATATTTTGTCCTTCAATAATGAATTATCAAATAAGGTCAATTCTGTAGATTTGTGACCATGATTTGTACGTTCCTTGAGAAACCAATGCCAGTAATGGTTAGAGAAACCTATGGCATGAACGGCCTGCCATAGTTAAGTTCGACTTAAAGTCGATCTTAGTCTTTGTGAAACACCCCCCAGTAGACCTCTTGGAGAGGTGCACCGTCAACCATACAGAAGATGATGTGAAGCTTGAAAGTATTGATGATTGGTCACCCTTAATTGTGTTCATTTCCTTCATTTTCCATCCCTCCTAGGCGGCAGATGTGGTAGAGAAGTATAGGAACTCCATCAAATCAGAATTCTTGGCCAAGACAAAGTCTTCCTCAGCGTTCCTGCAGATCCTTGAAGCTTTCCGCCAGGCTGGCAAAGAGACCATTGTTGATATTGTCAATAGTGGTGCCAATGAAGAAATCAGGTAGGTCCCTAGAAAGAAATATCATCAGGGCCCTGTTAGACAAAAGTTACCATTGATGGTAACTTTGCCATCAAAGGTAACTACCATGGAAACCTTGATTTTGATTGGCTGTTGAGCCCTATTACCATGGTAGTTGCAATTGATGGCAAAATATTACTATCAGTTGTAAGTTTTATGCAATGGAGTCCTGAAGATGAAACAGTCTGGCACCCAACTGGAAGAAGAAGAAGAAGATATATGTGAGGTTGTTAGGCCGTATTGAAGGTACCAAGGCTGGATAATAATACTAATACCTAAACATCTATGTAAGACTATATTACTTGTTATAAACAATGATGATGATGATGATGCTTGTCATTACATCACCAGCATCCCATATATTTCATAGATATAGAGTTACAGACAAAGGTAGATATAAATGATTGACTGGTCTTTCAAAAAAGCTAAAGGTCAATCATTAGAAAGAGCTAATGATTCCTCTCAATCATTCATTTGACCAGGATGCACTGTTTTATCATCTACATCGTTTGTGTAGTAGGGAGAAGGAGGAAGGGGGTGGGTGACATGTTATAAAAGGGGAGATGGGAACAACAGGAGATGCAGGGGTGAAAAAGTAGAGCAGGAGAGAGCTGGGACCCATTTCAAAAAGCCTTTCTTCAATGACAAAAGTCAGTGACAAATCTGCTGATAACCAAGTAGCTTACAACAAAGACTGTCATTTGTCACTGATGGCAAGTTTTGTAAAACGTTGCCCAGGAAATGAATAGGGAGATGGGAGGAAGCTGATATTATGGTAGGGGTGAGAAAGGAGAGAGATGTGAAGGAAGGGAGACAAGGAGGAGGAGGGAAAGAGGAAAGGGGAAGAGAGGAGAGGGAGAAGAGAAAGGGAGGGAGAGACTGGTGGGAAGAGGTAGTGGGAGCGAGAAAGAAAAAGAGTCAGGGACACTGAAATGTAGCGAGTGAGAGAGGGCAAGGAAAAGGGGGGGGGGGGGGAGACAAAGGGAGGGTTTAAATGAAAGATCTGTGCTGGAAATTAAGAATAAGAATAACACATTTTGATATAATATTTATACCCAGGGCTCAACTGCTAGACATTGTAGCCGCTACTCAGACAAGCGCATCTTGGGAAGCAGCCTTAGAACTCCTGGACTTCAGCAACGACGACCAAGCTGAAACTATTGAGAAATTCTTGGTCAATGCAGCCTTTAACAGTCATCCAACTGAAGCAAAGATTCAGAAGATTTTTGTAAGTTCCCCTCCCACCTCCCAGACACTCCCCAAAACCAAAACAAACAAACAAACAAGACAAACAAAACAAAACCATCAACATCAACAAACAGTGTCTCATAGAGTCCCGAGAAGAGAGGCATGAAGGGTAGCCAAGGGAGGAAAAACGGGTGAAATAGGAAAAGATAAAAAATGAGGAATAGTCAATAGAGTAAAGTGAGTAGGAGAGGGAAATGAAAGTCAATGTTTTGAAATAAAATGTTAGGAGCTCTGTGGTATATTGGCAAAGGGTCTTGACTCTCCCATGAGAAGTCCTGGGTTCAAACCTTGCTTGGTTGGTGCTAGCATCCTTTGCCAAGTATTTACCAATATTTGTCCTTCTTAAACACAGGTTTAGTAAATAGCTACCTGTCAATGGTGGAATAATAGTTATAGCGCCATTAAGAAAACCACTATCAATCCTGATGAGGCTATTTAAACAGAACTGTATCATGTTGAGTTTTTAGAACTCATTGCTCTTTCATTAGGGGGTACCTACGCATCCCAATCGGTTACAAGTGAAGAGACCAACGGTTAATTCACACTGACAAGCACAGGTAACAATAAATTCATACCAGTAATATTCTTAATCTTCTTAATATTAAATGGGTTATGAAGCCTATGTCAAGGATAGCCGAAATAATAAGATCAGGTGAGACAAAAGAAAATTGGCAAAATGAAAAAATTGAACAAAAATAATGACATGGCATGTCCCCCTCTCATACGCACTTGCTTTTTCTTCTTCCAATATTGATATGAATATTAATAGCTTTTAGTGATAACTAGTTTTCCTATGTCTGATTGGTCAACAGGACTTGATCCAGGGCAAGCAGGTGACCAACGAAAATGTCCAGAAGACTCTGGCCTTATCCTTGGGTTCTACGGTCAAGATTTATTGCTCAATCAGTGAGGAGCAGTGTAGCTCACAGGTAAGTCTACTTCTATCCCCTACTATGTTCTTGATCACTGTAATGTGTGATCTTATACATTAATGTTACATGTTATACACACTCACCCACACAAACACACGGATAATGTTCACTGTGGTGTGAGTGTGTGTGTGCATTGTGTTTTTTACAGACGCGTATCAATCAGATATGATTATTTACGTCTGGGGACCGACCTTTAAACGTCACCATCCGAAAGACGCGACTCGGTTTTGAACCTGCGTCCTCTGCTGAATCAGTTTATAACTTCTACTGTTAGCTAGATTACAGGCGCACGCCACAGCGCCTAGTTGTGTGGTGTGAATTAACTCTTTTAAACCCAATATAACCAGGCTGGCTGGATTGAAACCTAACTCTGATCATTCTCTATGTGTCATCATTTGAGTACTAATCATACAGCTTAAGAAACCCACATTTTATGGTGGCAGCGGTGGGATTTGCCTTTCTGTAATAACTTTCCTATTGTGCTTAAGATTGGGGTTGAGTCAGGCGCCGTATTTTGTAGACGAAAGTGCTTTCTTCCTGTGAAAAAGAGATTGCGAAGTGTAAAAGACATTCTCACTTTGCTCAAACTAGTCACCTGGGATACATTGTAAGAAGTTATGGAGGTAGGAAAAGATGTTGTAAATGAACTGATAATGCTAAGAGTTACAATTTTTACTGCTTATTTCATCAAAGATTGCTTCTATCGATTGACACGTGAGACCATTTTACAGGATTGCAAATATTGTCCTACCTGCTTTTTTGAATTTTCACATGTTTACATCCCTTTTGAACTACATGTACTAAAAATTCCATCATAAATTTAAATTTTCCAATTTGTTCATGTTTGGAATGGGCCCAGACTTAGTCTACATGTAATTAATAAACTTGATTGTAATATTTTGCAATATTGTCAGTATAGAAATTTTATAGTAGTGTAATATACTTGGAGGAATTTTTTTCTCTCTTTTTGCACAGGTTGTGAAGGATGTTTTGGAGCATTTTACAAGTGGGCTTATTTCTGACAACCGTGATACGCGCCTGGTAGCCCTCTATGCTCTCAAGAATGTCGCCCGACCCTCGACGATGCCAGCTATCTTGGCCTTGGCTAAAGACGATGAGGACATGGATCTGATTGAAATCGCTACTGACGCCATGTCTCAGTTTGATGAAGAATGCTTTACCCCAGCGGTAATTATACATTGTTAATGTAAAGGAGACCAAAAGTGGAAAAGTTATCCCTCTTTATTTTAGTGTAGCACAAACAGCTCTACATATATAGTTATGTCTTCATCAGACTTCTTCTAAATTTGCATTTGCTGATTTTTAGCTGCACAATTTTGTACTGCAGTTTCTTGTGCATTTAGAATCATGTGTCTGCTATTGGTTGAGACTAGTTTCAGTCCATGAAACTTCTGATACTGTAATTGTCAGTCTTGTAGGCCTTGTGACAACTTCTGTGAGCACTTATCAGACTGACATTGTCTGTCTCATCGGATCGATCGCAACTCTTTATGAGACGAGGCTGGTGGACTACCTCAAAACTATAAAACTTTTATCATATATTCTTTGTCCATTGCAGATAAACAGAGGTCTGAACTCAATCTACCACCAAAACGATCGCCGTTATGCCAACGTGGTAAGAGTAGCGGCCGCCACCCTGATCCTTGGAAAGAACCCTTCTCTTCAAGATGTCATCAATATAGCTATCTCTATAACCTGTCAGGATTCTCATGAGTTCGCTAAGTTTGTATTCGCTAAGATGATGCTACTGAGCAAAGAGGATACTCAAGCAGCGTGAGTACCAAGATCACATGATCATTCAGAAATGGTCGAGAGAGAAGACCTTTCAGATAACCAAATACCTTCACCTTCCCTCATTCTATGATTCTTATTTCAGCCAGAAAGTATTCAAAAAAAGATACTGTACCTGGCATTATATGGGTGAAAGGCTTAAAAGGAGTTTGTAGGAGTGTTGATACTGTAAAAGAACACCACTCACTGAACCCAAGTTTCATTAAATATTTAATCATGAATGTATATCTTTGCTGTAAAGCAAATGTAAGTCAACTTGATTAAATTTACTCTGTATTGAAATTTGGACACATAATGCGGCATGATGAGGGCCTGATGCTCAGAGTCATAAAAGGTCGTATTCATGGAAAAAAGAAGAGGGGAAGACCTCGTAAAGGTTTCTAGATGATGAAATCACAGAATGTGGAGCAACAGGGTATGAAACGTTGAAACAGATGGCTCAAGACCGAGGAACTTGGAGAGACACTTGATATAGAATTTTGATTGGGTTTAATGAACCTGTCATAAACTGACAGATCACTATTGATGATGATTGAAATTTTATGCAATAGGTTCAATGCACTTTAATATATCTTCAAAGTGAAGAGTAGTTCAAAACAAACAATTTTTTTTTTTGGAGCCAGAAGGGCGTTAACTCTGTATTAATGTATTTGAGTTATCGCCCTCCTGGCTCCAGACAGAAGAAATTATAACATTTTCATTATTAATTACAATATCTAATGTTTAAAAAGAAATCTTTATCACATTCATGATGTCAACACTGCAATGATCCCCACATTTCTTCTCTGCAAGTCACTCTTCTGCTTTTTTATTTTTATTTTTTATTGTTGTATCTAAGTTGAGGGCTGCGGGCATGTCAAGCTACTTTGCTTATTCTGTAGCCCTCCTGCATCTAATGTAAGTTAATTATGCATTCAATATATTTGTTTAATTTCGTATTTTATCTGTATAGAATTATATACACTTCAAATATTTTATCGAACCATATTATGTTCATGAAAATGTATGATGAAATAAAGAGATGCAGAAACCAATAAATCAAATCAAATCAAATCAATTTGTACACAGTGCTGTGATAAATGAGGCCCTCGCTGACACGATGGTGTACAACTATGCTACGGTTCGATCTGGTGGATTCTCGAATGCGTACAGAAGTTTTTTGGCAGGTAGGTAAAAAAAGAAGACGAAAATATTAATTTTAAACCAATCACATTATGAGCTTAATCATGAGACCACTTCTTTAGGGAAGGGTGGCAGATCTGGGGGATGGGGCATATGCCTCCTCAGCCTCTTGGGCCAAAACAATTATTGTGCTATGCATGTATAAAGCCTGGTACAAATGAAACATACCCCCCCCCCCCACCACGTTTCAATTTTGTTTTAGAATTATTTGTCATTGTCATTGTTGTTGCTAGCTTGATTGTTTTTAAGAGAGTTTTGAGACCTAGCTGTGTCCCTTGGTCGGGTTCGGGTTGTATTTCACAACTCATGTAATTGGGCTGGTGGTATCACAAAAATATCTATGGGAATGTCTGTGCACCTGCCAGTTTAAGAAATAATGGTTATTTTTTTGTTAAATATATAGTATTTGATTCAAATTTTGATATCATAAATTTTGAATGAAGATATGATCTATGAGATGATTTTATTGTACACATACATGAACCTGTGTCTCGGCCGTCTGCCAACAAAAAAAATTACTGGCATATACTGTATTTGATTCAGAATTTCAGATTACAAAAATTGAATAAAGTTGTGCTCTATCAGGTCATCATTTTGTACAGGTGTATGTATACATGAACTTCAAAGTACAGATTACCATTTGATCTGTCCTTGAGTTGACTTTCAACTTCCAACTTTTCCTTCAAACACTATTTCCTAGAAATGGACACAACCACAGCACCCTTTGAACTAGACATGCAGATGACCGGATCTGGCCTGCTCAGAAAGAGTACTTTTGATGTTGGTATTGATGCTGCTAATGATTCACTGACCTTGATGGAGGTATGTTTGCAATCAGGGGGTGTTTCACAAAGACTAAGATTGACTTTAAGTTGGACTTAACTACATGTATGGCAGGCTGGTCATGCCACTGTTTGCTCTCACTCTTTACCGGCATTGGTTTCTTAAGGGAGGTACAAATCATGGTCACAAATCTGCAGAATTTACCTCTTTTGATAGTTCATTATTGAAGGAAAGAATATAAGATCATTATTGAGAGACCAATAGTGAGAGCAACCAGTGGTGTGAATTGCCTGCCATAGTTAAGTCCAACTTAAAGGTGATCTTAGGCTTTGTGAAATACCCCCAGGTTTATTTTTAATTTATATTTTCTTTTGATAAGGCTTCACTCAAAATGGCTGTAAAATCCCTAGCACTTATGTAATTTCTTCCAGTGTGCCATTATTTAGAGAGAGACTCTTTTTTTTTTGGGGGGGGGGGGGGGTAAGTAGGAGTGAAGGTAGACCCTATCTAGAAACAAGACCATCTCCATATGCGGCAACTGCCTAAGAGATAAACAGCCACAAATAAGACAGCCCACAAGACCGATAGTGCTTCTTACAACTGTTTAAAGATCGACGCATAGGAGTGGGCCCTAGGATATTTGACACCTTTTCAGTGTTTACTGTAATAGTACAGTATTAATGACTGCTTTGAGAGAAATAGTTGTTTTATTACGCTCAAGGGAAGGTTAGAATTGTGCTATTCCCCCAGGCTTGCCGAGGGGAATAGCCCAATTGTAACCTTCCCGAGAGCGTATGAAAACAACTATTTCTCGAATATTAAAGCAGTCATTAATACTTTTATATGCCGAAAAAAAATAGACTAAAAAATAAAAAATAAAAAATAATTTACATTTTTGTCGAAGCCGGGATTCGAACTCTTGCGTACAACAAGAGGTGTATCGAAAACCAACGCTTAGACCACTCGGCTATCGCGCGACGTTAACATGCTTGGCAGTTTTTTCCAATATATACATTAAAATGGATTGAAAACGGCTCCGCGTGAGGGATGCTTCGCAAAAGCTCCATGAAACGGACCCTTCTTTTACTTTTGCAATGCATATTGGCACGAACTTAGATCAAGATCTATCGGCAGATGTTGTTTTTTTGTTTTTGAGAGTTAATTTTCGTCTTCATGTCAACAATGCAAGATAAAATTGTCGGTAAGATAGATCGAGATTCAATTGTATTGAAATTGCCGACCAATTTTTCGCACACGTATGGTATCCTCCATCGCTCAAACCATTTTTTAACATGTAAACCTATGGGGTAACCATGGAGACTGACCTATTTTTTTAATAACCATGGTTATTAAAAATATTGAAATGTTTTATGCATGGTTACCGGGAATTTTACAGGAACAGTTGAAGTTTATGAATGCAATTCGACCAATCAGATGGCTGGATTTCTTAAGTGAGGTATATAACAGGTGTTGTCAATCACCAGGATTCAGTTTTATGACTAACAGGCCTTATGTAATACTTTGCATTTCCCGTCTATTCCCAACTATGGTAAAATCATTATCTTACTTTTTCCCTCACCCGATGACTCTGCGAGACTCTCCGAGAGAAGATGAGCTATTTCTTAACAGGCCTACAGGTTTGCTGTGTGCAGACTTGTACACACATTAATGGTTTTTCCACCAAGTCTGGTATCAACGAATTATGGTTTTCTGTACATGGAAGATCCCTTTAAAGGGTTTATTAGACCAGCATGCTGCTTACAAGATTTAGGATTTCTGTCTTGGTTGTTATTTCAGTGATGGAATGAATGAAGTTAACCTGAATGACCTTTAACCTTTGTTCATCAGGTCTTGATCTTCTCCCGAGGTCTCGAGAGTTTCTTTGGAGAGGATACCGGCGATGAAGGAGAAGCGACGGCAGGTATCGCCGTTCAGCTCCTTGGCGTTACACTTCGTCCAATCGTCTTCTTCTCCGGGTCAGGTGACCTGATGAGCATGGCGTGGAGCTTAGGCTCCTCCTCCTCTGACGACTCAGGCTACTCTGCCGTCGCAGGTCTCATCCTTCTCCAAGACCATGCTCAGGTATGAAGCCAATGGTCCAAACTTTGCTATGTCTAATAAAAGACCAAGAAATTTATTACCTCACCTGCAAGACGTTTCACAGAGACTAAGATCAATTTTAAGTTGGACTTAACTATGGCAGGAAGCTCATACCACTAGTTGCTCTCATCATTATGATTTTTAGATAATATTTTTTCCTTCAATAATGACTATTCAAAAAATGTAAATTCTATAGATTTGTGACCATGATTTGTACGTCCCTTGAGAGACCAATGCCAGTAAATGGTGAGAGCAAACAGTGGCCTAAACGGCCTGCCATAGTTAAGTCCAACTTAAAATTGATCTTAGTCTTTGCGAAACCCCCCCCCCCCCCCCCCCCCGATCGAACGGTAACATTGCATGTTCTCAAAAGAAACATGATGTAGCATGAGTAAATTACAATGTTACATTCCTGCATTATCTATTCTCCTTTTTGTAGTAGTAAAGTCTCATCACAATGAAGTGTACAAATCTTTTCATTGCTTGAGACTGACCGAATCCTCTTTGTATTAATCCAAATGACACTCTTATGATACTCATTATAATGCTTCCTATTTATTAAGTTGTTATATTAAAAGAATTTCAATATTTAGCTTTTCTTATTTCATCTATATCTAGGAATATCCATAACTCCTCAGTCCTTACTATGTTGTAAATTTAGTTTATTTTTTAATATAAAATTATATGTTCTTTTAATGCCCTGCATTTTCCAGTAAAATGAAAATGTCCTGGGCTATTGTATCTTATCCTTTGTTGTGCAAGCTAGTTTGAACAATAAAGTAATGTTTTTTTTTTTAATGACGGTACTCATGTAAGAGTGATATCCTGATGATGTGCATTAAAGGGAAAGTCCACCCCCAAAATAAGTTTGTTTCGATAGAGGCAGAATAATAAGAAAATCAGGTGAGTGAAAGTTTGAGCAAATTCTGAATGAAAATAAGAAAGTTATGAATTATTGAAGTTGTGATCAATCAAATACAAATTGGCAACTCTGTGACTTATTATACGAGCTCTCCTTCATTTGCTTTGTGCATAATATTCCATAAAATCATGTTTTCTTTGTTATTGATGACGGAATATATATTTGTTCCTTGCAGGGGGAGTATAGAAACATATTTGCAATTATTATATTTAGGGTGCATGTATGGTTGAAATTTTTCTTGAGGGAAAATGAAAATTCTAGATTTTTTTAGTATTGAGCAAATGGAAGTTGAGCTCGCATGATACGTCATAGAGTTGCCAATTTGTGTTTGATTGATCACAACTTCAAAAATCCTAACTTCCTTATTTTTAATCGGAATTTGCTCAAACTTTCACTGACTTGTTTCTCTCATTTTTCTACTCCTATTAAAACTAACTTAATTTCAGGGTGGACTTCCCCTTTTTAAGAAAGGTACACAAGAAGAACAATACCAAGATGAAGACAGGTGCAGAGGAAGCTTGGTTTAAAGAGGTCTCATTTTAACAAAGCAACTTTGCAGCTCCATCTTTTTGTTGCATTCTTTTTAAGGCTTGATACAGTGTATAACAGGATATTAATATACAAATTTAATTTCCTTGGTCCAAAAGAGTTTGTTGAAACAAGATTCCTTGTTATATAAATGTAATGCTTCCTTCAAATCTGGTCCCAAGATTTTTTCTGACTTGTTTTTCAATTACAGATCGATCAATCGATCTTATTTACTGGGTGTAAGCCACAAATATTTTTTAATAAAGATTCCTTGTAAAACAAAGTCGTCATGTATTTCCAAGGTACCCTTCAGCATCCTTGCTCAATTTTTCTGCAAATTTAAAAAAGCCTTTTACCCCCCTCACCAACAGAGTATCTCTCTACAATCCGGGCTGGAGGTCGAAGCCAATCTCCAGGGTGGTCTATCAATTGACGTTGGGGGCGCTCTTGACTTCAGCCTTTGGCATAGAACATCAACAACGACAGTCTACAACAGGTTTGTGTTGATTTGTTAGTTTTGTTTTGTTCTTGAGTCCGTGTCGTCCTATATGTACATGTATATAATTAATTTTGTTCTTGATCCCTCACTATTCAAAATAAAGCACATCGTCGCCTGGCTGGCAGAAGAGTGTTAGCTCGAATTTCAGGTAAAAAATGAAGCGCTAAGCAGAAGGGCGTACGTTAGCACTAATTCGCCTCAAACTTTTATAAAACTGACTTATTTCCGAGAAAATTTGTGGCCGTGTTCTACTATAAAATTTCAATTAGTCTTTTAAGGTTTAAACCAATTTTCGAGACGTAAAGCAGTTTAAATATGCAATAAATTTTTACATGCGAATAATTCGAAAAGTAGTTTTCGAGTCACTCGCGTGCTAACGCCCTTCTGTTAGCCGGGGGACGACGTGTTCTCTCTTTGTTTATGATCTATAATGTTGACATGATGTTTGTTTGAAAGATCCATCTGTATGCATACATGAATAGCTGCATGTTGTATGCTTTAAAATGCAATTCATAATTTTATTATAATTGAATATTAAACCCTTCTGTGCTATGGGCCGCAAATCTCACAAAAGAATTTGAGTGATGAACAATGAATTTGGATTATTTAATGTTAATATCTTACCTACAGAAACAGAAACGGTTGGCTCTATTTTGGAGTTCATATCCAGGGAAGCTATCTTATAGCGAACCTGCTATCAGGGAAACAAAGCATTTTTTTCAAAATTTCACTCTTTACATTTACTTATGACAAATGTTTTTAAAAAATGGTTCAGAAGGGATGAACATGGTTTTGGCGTGCTTTATTTGCCCTTATTATTACATTTCTTTTTCTTTCTTTTTTCATTTCATTTATTTTCATATTTCTCATGTTACATTTAAATTTCAAAATAAATATTTTTGTGTGATAAAACAAAAAATTAATACTACATAATGAATAACATAAAGATAAGTGGTCAATATAGAGTACTGCTTTAACTGAGAAAAATATGACTGGACCTACATGAAAGCAATGGCTCATTACTGCAAGCAATTAAGAAGTATATCGCTACCTTACATGTACATGATATTCTTGGAGTCCAGTAAGCCTATCTACAAAGCTCTTGTCACGTAAAACAATGCAAACAAAATCACAAAACTTTTTCATCCAACTCTCTCCTGCAGCGGTGCTCTGTCGATACGAGGCTCGACACGTTTAGTTAGTCCGTTCTTGAACGCCGGTATAAGCTATGGAGCCGATGCGTCGGGCCACATCGACTTCATCACAACCGTCAAGTTCTCTTCTCTACCTCCATCTTTCTGCTTGCAGATGATGCAAGAACCTCTATCATACAAGTAAGTGATTTTAATAATAATATAATAATAATCCGCTTTTCTATTTCACTTAATACAAATTACAGATATTCTATTACCCCAGTCATTGGATTCAATACTTGCCCGCACACAATGTGTGCATAATCTTCACTTTCTGGGGAGCATTCCAGCCAGGCATTACTTGACGCTCAAAAATTGTTTGACGATTGCAGTGATGGAATTTATTACTCATAGTTCAAGTTCATTTGTTTGATGGTTTGTTTTTACCTGGCTATTTAGGAAGCAATTAAGTATATGCTTTTAAGACTTAAAGCAAGCAGGGGACAGACGGTTTTAAATCCTCTCTGAGGGGACTTGGTAGTGAGGAATCGTGCTTTACCAAAAGGCCCCAATGCATCGACTTGGTTTCGAACCCGGGACCTCTCGTTTATGAGACCTCTGATCTACCATTGAGCCATCGCGTCTCCATTTGGTTTGACAGTCTTTGTAAAACCACAGTTTGTTCTCATGTCTTGGTTTTAAAAAAGATTTAGAATAAAGGTCTAAATTTGTCCTTTAAAAACCCCACAAAAAACAGTCACATGGAATAAGAATTTTTTGATCAAGTTTCCATTTAAAGTGCATATAAATGTACTTCAGTCTTCTTCTCTCATTCAAAATTCTCTTCATCTCTGACTTTTCTACGTTCTATTATGGTCTTCCTCCCCCTCCCACTCTCTACCCGTATGTCTCTGTCTGTCCGTCTGTCTGTCTCTCTCTCTCTCTCACACTTTATTTCACTGACTCTTACTTCCTCCCTCTCCCTCTCCCTCTTTCCGCTCCTCTCTCTCTCTCTTTCTCTCTCTCTCTCTCTCTCTGTCCGTCTCTCCCTCCTCTTTCTCCCTCTCCCTCCCCCTCCCCCTCTCTCGCTTTCCCATTTTCATCCTCCAAATTCCCCCTTTTCTCTCGTCCTGTAATATTTCTTCTCTCTCTCTCTCTACTATTTTCCCCCTCACAGGCAATTTGTCAATAAATTTGAGCAGCTGGAGAAATCACCAAAGAAGTTTGATGTCTCGTATTCCCGTAAGACGAAGGTTCTCCCGTCATCGTTCAAACTCTTCAACGAGAACTCACCGATGTGTCATGAAATGTTCGGCAAAGAAGAGGAAGAAGCCTCATCAAGTTGGTGGTAAAGACTAGGTCACTTTCTGTTCTGTCAATTTTGATATGTTTGTACTAAAGAGGATAATATTTTGATGCATGTCAATCAAATTTGGTGCCTTAAGAAGGTAGAACTGCCCAAGCGTTTCCAATATTTTCAGACAAATGGAAGCATATCTTGAAAATTACAATGGGTTTCCTTAGGCAGGTAGAAATGCCCAAATGTTTCTAATATTTTCAGACAAATATATCTTTGACATCGCAATGTGTTTTGCGTTATGATAAGTTTGAGTTTCATGGGATGATGTTTGATTCAAGGTGAACAATAAGACAAAGCACTACATTGTATGATGCACAACTTGTTTCAAAACAGCATATTAGTGATACAAGGGTTAATATTTGTTTGCAATTTACTCTAAAATCTTTGAAAGAAACCAAAGGAACATACTGCATATGATGAGTTTATTTGATTGGATTTTTTTTCTTCTTCATTATTCATTTTTCTCTTTGCAATGCCAATTTAAATCGTTTGTTTGCACTATCAAGTATTGTGATAATCAGTTAATTGTTTATCTGTGTTAATTTGAGAGATATGAGATGTTATTTATGCATAAAATATGTAGAGTGTGAAAGGAATGTACTTGATTATTACCTATACAAGGCATTTAAGCCGCTGAATAAAAAGTCGTATTTTGCACGCTGCTCCGAACATGAAACCGGAGCGTGAATGTTTGCCATATTGCCCTCTTCGATTTTCCTCCGTAGACCACTGTACTAAACTAGAGGGCAATATTGAGCCACATTCCACTCTTTCTTATCAGTGCGCTTTACACGCAGTATCGTGTAGGCGTTTAAGTGTACGCGCGGTAACAATCAGATGGACCGGCAAACAGACGGGAATAAAATAATTTGTTAAAAAATGCCTTGTTTAGGTAATAATAAATATATGGACAGGGCTTCTTTCGGGGTACATCAGAAATATTGACTCGGGGCAATATGATCTTAGCGTGGTCAATATTTCTGATATACCCCTCAAACCCATTCATTTATTATCATATGATATTTGTTTTGTAATAATGCACATAATTGTAGGTAGATAGATAATTGCATATTTACATTTAGGTAGAATATTAATTCTGAAATGTCTTGACAACATTTTCAAGAAATTGGAAAGAGAACATGTTTTCACAAAACTTTAATTGGGGCTATTTACAGTACGAGTACCATACATGAAAGTGAGATGATGTCAAAGTTGATAAACATGTAAGGCAATGGAAATTGCATAATCAGTATTATGATTCTAATAGCTGGTAATTGGACATTTAAGTTGTGTGTGGATGATTTGTATGTGATTTAACACTACAGTGTACTTAGAAGAGTGCCTTCGTGTAAAGGTTTCGGGAGGGAAAGTGTTAACGATTTCATGTACATGTATGTCATCTGTTCTAATGGCAAAATGATTCAGGGGCATCTAAAAAGTTGGACAAGTCTATGTGTGTGAAAATTATAGTCTCTCTTGTACATTTTCAAACAGATATTTAGTAACCTTCAATGTAGTTCATTGTAAGTCATCAATAGGCGTAGTCATCACAACGAGTAGAAAACTCAAACTGCAATTGAAAATGAATTTTATCCCAATTGTATTAATTACATGTTTATGTTTCTTCCTTGTAAACATTCCAATTAGTGACACAATGTTTCAGTATTTATTTCCTTTGTTGGAAAATCGTGAACATCAGCAAATACCAGGTGATGTTACATTTGTATGAGTTACAGCTAATTGGACAGCTTTTCAATATGCACATTATCACAAGGAATGCTTTTAATGTACTTGTATCTGTGAGTATTATTAACATAGAGACATGTACATATACGTTTAGGGTAAGCATGACATTCTTTGTACACACTGTAGTTAGAAACTCAGCCCTGATTTTGGAAGGATTTAAGCCCCACTGTCCTAATTGTAGCTATTTGCTCCCTCTATATAGAAAACAATGCCTAATCTGTGACTGGTCCCCATGATCCTCTTTTTCTTATGATAATTGAGAGTCGGGTTGATGAGATAACCACTTGTTAGTGACCTCCCTGGGTGGTCTAATCCCTACAAGCCAAACTAGTACAGACTGCCTTTAAGTGAAGTACTTAGGATAAGAAGAAACTTTTTTCATGATCTTGGGATAATATTTGTTTCCTTCCCTACAAGTTCTCCTATTACCTCACTCTTATGGTGATTGGGGAAACGTTACTAGCTTTGCACGTACACTGTACTCCGTCTGCCTGTGAATCGTAACGCCAACTCGTCTACATAAATTTGTGATGCAACTTGTCATGTAGGACATTCAATGTCAATCTTAATATGAGTATTAAATGTATGTACTTAATTTTATTGAATGAATATCTGCCCAGAACCAGAAGGGCACTAATTCATATCAGTTAGCACAAAGTTAACGCCCTTCTGGCTCTCAACCGACTATTTTTGTTTTTTTGCTTCCACTATAGATCAGTATTGAATTAACAGTGCAAATTGATTTGAACAGCCCTCCGAATTGAACATCTCATAGAGTTTATATATATATATATATATATATGTCTTTTGATACTTTTCTAATCATGACACAGTTTTGTAATAAGTTGATGTTTTATGCAAATGCCAACACAGAATTATGGAAATATAATTATGAGATTCAAGATACTTTTGCTTTGTGTCATTTTTAAATATTTGTCTTTCTCTTACACATACATTAATTACGCTAATCGCCCCCACATATATATCCATCTTCAAGTAAGTTTCAGCGCTGCTGGGAGTATTGCCTACCGGTACTGTTTTTTTTAAAATAATTACCGGTATGAATATTTCAATATTATGCAAATGCCAACCAAGAATGATAGAAATTCAAGACGCTTTAATTTGCTTTGTTTCATTTCTTTCAAATAACTTCTTCCTCTGCTCTTTACATTTACAGCTCTACATTAATTTATCGATTGATGTCACTTTGAGAACAGGCCTGTCTTAAAGAGTTGCGATTGATCACAAGTTATTTGCGATTGATATTTAACTTAATTTGAATAATATTAATCTCCTGCAATGTTGGAAGAAACAAATAGCAACTTCAGATATATGTTATACAGTAGGCTTGCGGGTGCACCATGTGAGAGAGAGGGAGGATTGAGGAGTCCTGAAAAGGACTCTCGGTAATCTTTCTTGAGGGTTTGTAGTCCTGAAAAGGACTGTTGGTTATCTTTCTTAGCTTATAGTTTCTAAGGAGAACTATAGCGCTTGGAGAGGACGAGTGGCGGGAGTGGCTCGACGTTTCGAACAGGTTGACTATCTGTCGTCAGGAGTGGAGAATAGCTGGCATGCGTGAGCTTATATGTTGTCTTGTCAAAAGCATTTGGAAACTTAATAACTCATTTTCTCAAAACTGCTGTAAAGCTACATTATAAGTTCTTGGATATCCCATAGAAATGCATTTTAATACAACTAGCATGTTTTTTTGATAGAGAACCTTAGTGCTAAAGTCACATTCCCTCATCATCCAGGTTACTGCTTCCAAACTACAGAGCCTGCGCATGAGGTTCACCTCAAAATCATTCAGGCAACAGGGATAATTCGGTGTTTGGCGCTGGTGGGATCACAATGCTGTTGTTTAGCACATAATATTTTGGAACCAGCGACCTTTACAACTTGGCCAGTATGACTTCACACTCCGGTACTCTATTGGATTTCAATAAACTTGGACTTTTTTGACAGTTTTGAGAAAGCAGCCCCTGGACCTTGAATCCTCAGTCAAGACTTCAAACCACTCAGTAAAGTTGACCCATTATTTCTGTGTAGTAAAATAAACTCACGAGTCCAAGGAAGAAAAGATATTCATGATACAATTTTTGTTATATGCACATTTAATAGATTTTTGTGAAAGACATTTCTGAATTGGTACATGTATGCAGCCTCTTTAAACACTGCACAGCTTAAAATACAAGAAACAATAATACAACTTAATTTATAGTGAAACATATATGTATTTCAGAATGAAGCCCAATTTTTTTCTCCTCCAGGCCAGGGCTCTTAACCCTTACTGTACTGGGCTATTTTTAGCACCACGTGACTGGGGGGGGGGGGGGCCTGGGAGGCCCCCCCCCCTATGATCTCGGCCATCGAAAGTCCGATGAACGCGAAAATTTGCATGTTTGTAGATATTTAAGTAAGGGACAAGATGGTGTAATTAGTTTTTTCCTAATATGCAAATTTTTGTTGTTATAGCCTAATTAATTATGCAAACTGCTAATTTTATGCATTTTACAGAAAACTCTACATATTTGTCTGTAGACTTGTGAAGAATGTTGAAAATGTATTGAATAAATGTTTCCTTCATCTCAAATTTATGAGGTTACATTATTTTCATGATATTTGAAAATGCATAGGTTAATTTGCATAAATTTGCATAAATTGTAGCATATTTTTGATGACATGGGCATACTAATTGTTATGCAACACCTTACAGGTATATCCGATTTTGACGAAAATGGTATCAAAATGTGCGTAAGACTTGAGGGGGAAAGTCATGAAACTACAATTCAAAATTGCAAGTGGTTGCGGCGCAATCTCCAAAAATTTCGAGGGAGGGGGGGGGGGGGGGCCTCCCAGACACTGAAAACACGTACATGTGGGGCCGTGCATCTCAGATTTAACATGTTAAACGATGCCTTTAAGCATATCTACTACACTTTGCATATGTCCAACAAGAAAGTGAGAGACAATGAAGAGTTATATAGGGGAACCTGATCACCTCATCACAACTGTGAAAAGAAAACAACTACAGTGGTTTGAGCTTGTAACTAGATGAAAGAACAGCTTGGCAAGCACCATCTTGGAAAGACAAACTGACGGGAGTAGAAGGAGGGGCAGACTAACTAGGACATGGACTGATTACATCTATATCGAAAGGTTTTATTGAACAAATTCCATCGTCGCAGTCTTACAACTGAATTGCCATTGGAATACAATTGAAAAGTACACGTATTTACAAGTTAAAAGTACAATAGTCTTAGAACTATGACATAATATATACATGTATAAAAAATATAATATTAAAACTCTATATCAAAATTCAATGAGTATGGAAAGAAAGAAGGGATGAATGAGGAATAGGAGCAAGAATCAACAAAGGTGAGAAAAGAATGGAAGGAAAAGAAAGGAAGGGTAAGTAAGAGGAATATATCAAGAAAGATGAGGTGAAAAACATGTGTAATGAGCCTTCTGTTAATTAGCTTTAAATTTTCAGATCCTCATGGCTTGTACAAACTTTCTCAGGGATACATTGTGACTCCTTTGTACCATTTCTTCATTTTGTCAACAATAACAAACAATATTAAATAAAAATAAAAAGTGTATACTTTGCCCATCTACAGTGATAAGAAAGAAATATAAATCCCATTTATCTTGACAAAATAATAAGTGATGTTTTTTAGAGTGTAGATTTGAATTCTTCATTGAATGACCGTCCAATGACAAGTCTTCTGATTTCGCTGGTCCCTGCTCCAATCTCAGCGAGCTTGGCATCACGGAGCAGCCGACCGGTAGGATAGTCATTGATGTATCCATTACCCCCTGAGAAAACAGAAAGTGGAAAAAGAAGGAAAAAAATTGTTACCATGAAAGATATGGGTCGGATACATATTTAGTTTGGGGAGCTATAAAATGACATGATGCCTCTCCAGTTTATAAGGCCTAAAATAAAAACTTGTTGTATTGTCCTTTGTGACCGATCCAAAAATCTACGGCCGGCATTTTAAAAAAGTTTTTTTTTTTACCGTTTTTTTTAGATTTTTTTTTTATTAATGAATAACAAAATATGTATTTTTTTTTAGTTTAATTAAATTAGATATAAATGCATAAAATCAAATTATGAAGAAAAAAAGAAAAAAAAAATTTAAAATAGAATAATATCGGCCCAAAGAGGGCGACAAAAAAAAAAATATCTGATATGAACAATCAAACATGTAAATTTTTGAATGTTGAGTTCTAAATAGTTATATGAATATTGGGGAATTGCAAGATTCCCAATTGGCTCCAAAATCGCAGTGACATCATACCAGTCGTGTGATTTTCTACATCCATATTGTGAATGACTTACCGGTACACCATTTTTCTTCAATGAATTAATAGTGTAGTTATCAATGCAGGACTTTGTATCTTCCTACCATCCCCATCTCTAAAGATGTAGCAAGGGCCCTTTTTTTAAAGGGATTGGATAACTTTGTCTCAGATTCTGAAACAAAATCCTGGATTTAGCTCATGCTGCAATCGTAATTATAAACCTTAAGGTCAGACAAGCCGATCGCCTGTCTGCTTATTAAGATATTTATGATTGGAAATCGAAATCAAATTTTGCGTTTTCCTAATGGTTTTAATAACACTACAGTCTATTGGGAAAAAAGAGTACCCGGTATGGTAAAACCGGTCACTAAAAGATTTTTACTTTTTTGAGGCACTGCTTGATCATTTTGAAGCGTAATTTGGCTTCAATATTACACCATATCACAGACACTGATAACACGTAGGACAATGCATCTCAGATTTAAATTGTTAAACGATGCCTTTAAATCGAGATGCGACATACCTAAACACTGAATGGCATCTAAGCAGACCTGTGTTGCCGTCTCGGCGGCTACAAGAATCACCCCTGCGCAATCCCTGGCGCTCACGTGACCCCGATCCGCAGCACGAGCAACGTTGTAGACGTACGACCTGACTGAATTTAACCTCGTGACCATATCAGCCATCTTCCCTTGCATTAACTGAAAATAGAAAAGCATATCTTTGTAGAATTATCAACAAATAGATCTTTAGATGTTACAAAAAGCTTCATGTTTAGTATGTTATATGAAGAAATACAGTCCACATCTTGGTTTATCATAAGTAAGAAATCTGTTTCAATATGCTCAAAGCAATCAAAATCATTTCAGAGACATCTTCCCCCCCCCCCTTGTCCCTCTCTTTTCTCTCTCTCTCTCTCTTTCTCTCTCTCTCTCTCTTTTTCTCTCTCTCTCTCTCTCTCTCACACTTATGCTTGAGTCCACCTGCACATCTTCACTGATGTTGTTATATGCAAAGATCCCACGCCCTCCATTGACAATTGTTAACAAGAAAAAAAATCTTTAAAAATAATTGAAAACTTTATTGCACGATGAATATTTTCAACAATTTCATTATGAATTCTGCAATCTCCAACTTTAAAAATTCCAAACTTTTATCCCTGATAATAGTTGTAACTTTTAAGTTATTATCAATCAATGTCAAACAAATTTTCTTTCCACATTTAGTACAAATGATGCGTGCAAATACGTTCATTATATGATATATCCATACTCAAGCTGAGGCTGTATGCAGCTGAGTAAGTGCATAACAGCCTCAGCAAGAGTGGATAGATCATGTAAGGAACAAATGAAAACATGCACCATTGGTTTTACACAACAAAACTCCTAGATCCTTGTTATTTGATGTAAAAAGAATTAATATCAAGATTGTTAGGTGGCATTATCGCTGGCAAATAAATAAATAAATCCTAAGTTTAATGGGCTTACTTTGGCCTGCACACAGAGATAAGTGCACTAAATACCTCTACGCGCACTGCTTAAAAAGTACCGGATAGAACCGGAAGCTATAACATGCTTCACCATTCAAAAACTTGGGACAGTCTCAGTGAATGGATCACACGTGACCTTGTTCAACCAATCATTTGATTAGGATCTAGGAGTGAGTTGTATAACATGAACTACATGTCTCTCTCTCTCTCTAAGTGCCACATCGTTTGACTTTGGCGATCATGCTGTTCCACAACCCTCGGCTCCTAGCCTTCTGTATTAATACCACCCCCAGTTCTTTCATTCGTCTCTCTTCCAACAATTTCTGCAGACTGTCCATCCAAAGTATCCTCCATCTTCCCCTACTCCTTCTTCCCACAATTTTCCCTACATGTATCTTACCTGAAACTCTCCGATAGGTCGACCAAACTGCTTTCTTTGATGAAGGTATGGGAATGCTACATCACAAGCTGCTTGCATTAAACTGTGACAAAAAACAAAAAACAAAGTTACCAGATCAAATTAGATACTGGGATTTCTGGAAGATATTGGTTTATCAAATGTATATATGCATCAAGCTTACTTTTATATATACGATAGGGGGGGGGGGGTGTTTAACAAAACAGTTGTTGTTGTTTTTTGTTGTAATGGCAATCAGTCAAGACCTGACTATTATCACCAACGCCTTTCTTTTTAATATTAATTTCTTTCTTTCTCTTTTTTTTTAAATAAGAGTATCAAAAAATATAACTTAAAATATAGGCTTCTCTCTTTTTTTTTTTTTTTTTTTTTTTTTTTCCCCCTTAAAATGAAATGAAAGAGAAAATAGATGAAGAATTTTTTTTTTTTTAAATACGACAAAATGTAGATTTTTGTATCCTGTAGGTTACCGCGTAGTCCTGTCCGTTCTAAGACACCGTCCAGACACCGTCCTGTCTCTCGGGTGTAGACAGGGGGCTCCCTTTGGGATACATTAATAATCTGGAAACTCGAAAGAAGAAAGGAATTGATCAACAATTTTAAAATCAAGAGGGTACTTTTCCGGGGAAATTGGCTTTGAGCGACCTCGCAGACTTTAATGAATCTTCGATCAAAAGAAAAACAATTTTGTGATAGAGTGGTGTTTATAATACATGTTGCATTGGATAATTAAACTTTTTAGGGGAAACAAACAAAATGTGGGCTTTTGTGAGTGGTGGTGCAAAAAAAAAATTAAAAAAAAAAAAAAAAAATGCTCGATTATTACATAAATCCTTCTTCTGGATTGTATGAAAAATATTCATCAAATAGCACTATTATACTATCATGATTATTTGTCCTTTAGAATATTTTCCAACATAAGTGTTAGAAGATTTATGAAATATTGTGTGTGAACTTCTTCAAGTTGCCTGGGAGGCCCCCCCCCCCCCCCCCCTATGATCTCGGCCGTCGAATGTCCAATGAACACGAAAATGTGAATGTTTGTAGATACATGTATTTATGTAAGCAACAAGATGGTATAATAAGTTCTTTCCTCATATGCAAATTTTTGTCGTTATAGCCTCATTAATTATGCAAAATGCAAATTTTATGCATTTTACAGAAAAATCTTCATATTTGTCTGTAGACTTGTGAATAATCTTGAAAATGTAATGAATAAATGTTTCCTTCATCTCAAATTCATGAGGTTTCATTAGTTTTATGATATTTGAACTTACGCATTCATGAATATTAAATCTGGAAATATACAGGGAACTAGAATCATTACAAAAATTGTCAGACTCCACTTTTTGAATGTTCAAACTCATTATTTTCTAACACACTTTTTAAAGTAGTTATTTAGATGTAATTGATAATGATAATTTATGCAAATTTGATGCGATTTTCAAATATTTATTTTTTTATAATAATAATAATAATAGTGGGTTCTTGTATAGCGCTCATGTCAGTCAGATTTGACCCTCCTGGCGCTCCCGATTATTACCCTGGCTTTAGCACGGCTGCCATACGGCGCTCTAGCATTTCAAGGAATAAATTCCTACCAGGTACCCATTTACTTCACCTGGGTGGAGTGTGGCAAATGTAGATCAATGTCTTGCCAAAGGACATTAGTGCGGCGGCGGGACTCGAACCACGGACCTTGTGATCGACAGTCCGGCGACGTATTCACTCGACCACAACACCTCTTGTATTTTATGTATTTTATGTATTTTATTGTTTTTTATTTCTTATTATGTGTATTGTTTTATTTCTAATGTATTCTTTTGTTCTGGAATACATCAAGTTACTTTGAGAAACATATAAACGCAATTTGATATCAGTTCATATCTCCCACTTAGGAAGAAATACATCTAAACCTGTATTTATATAGCACTTTTTGATGACATGCCCATACTAATTGTTATGTAAAACCTTACAGGTATATCCAATTTCGACGAAAATGGTATCAAAATGTGCGTAAGACTTGAGGAAAAAAAGTCATGAAACGACAATTTGAAATTTCAAGCGGTTGCGGCGCAATCTCCAAAAATGTCGAGGGGGGGGGCCTCCCAGCCCCCCCCCCCAGTACAGTAAGGGTTAAAGGGATAGTTGAGTTCTGTTGCAGAGGGCGCTACACAAAATAATTTTTTTGTTAGATAATAATTTCTTGTTATGTGAATTTCTTGCTATGTGAAATTATGAGGAAGGAAATAAAATATCATTTAAAACAAAAAAATCTACACTTTAAACCTTCCTCTACTGTTATTTTGATTATACACTGTTACATGCAAGATTTTTTTTTTCCTTTTTTTTCTATGTTCATTGAGTGATGTAACTCATGAAGTGTCTTGTATCAAAGATCTTGTTTTATATTGCTTAATTTGATAATTTCTTGTTATGTGAATTTCTTGTTATGTGAAATTATGAGGAAGGAAATAAAATATCATTTAAAACAAAAACAAAAAATAAAAAATAATGAAAACTGAGTGTTAAATTTGAAAGAACATAATATTTAAATGACAAAATCATCTTTTCTGTTTGATCAAAATCGGTTCAGAGACGGCTGAAATATAACGATTTCTAATACTTGTGCACCACCACAAATATTAGTTATTTTGAAAAATTTGAAAAAACTGTTGAGAAACCCGAAATAACGCATTTTACGTCGTATTTTATTCAATGCCGATGTTGGCTTTTTTGTTGGCTTTTTTGTGTTGCTTATATTACTCACAATTAACCGGCTCATGTATTGTTATTTGTAATTAAATAATAAATTCACCGTCACCGTGTTTTTTTGAAAGTGGAGCTGAATTGGTATGATCGTATTGGCTAAATTTCACACATTTTGGGGTCTAAAATTACCTTCATAGCAACTTTAGGTTATAAAAGGGCACTGTAAATGTCATAGATAAGAATAAGAGCAATAACCATGCCCTTTCAAGGCTTTTGCGGTCTGAAAAAAGAACTCAACTATCCCTTTAAGGCTGCCAATGGCTCTCCATAATATTTAAGTCCAACTTAGAGTTAAGGTTGATTTGGGATCTTTGTGAAACACCCCCCCTCCCCCTCCCCTCCCCCCTCCCCCCCCCCCTCCCCCCCCCCCCTCCCCCCCCCCCCCCCTCCAGGACAACTACGTTAGTGTTTGGGACTGAAGCAGACTCTTACCCGATTGGTCCACCAGCCAGAACCAGCCTCTCCAGATCCAGACCACTCATCAAGACATAGACTCCTTTGTTCAGGGACCCCATCACATTCTCAACTGCTCAAATAAAGACAAGTTTGGTCAGCATTCACATGTATACATTGCTAAACAGGTATTTACTATTTTACTTGTATATGTAGTGTAATGCTACATGATTTTATAAATGATGCAAACTCATGCATCATTACATTGTGTCCACTGTCAAAGGTCCGCGGTTCGAGTCCCGCCGCCGCACTTATATCCTTTGGCAAGACATTGATCTTCATTTGCCACACCCCACCCAGGTGAGGTAAATGGGTACCTGGTAGGAATTTATTCCTTGAAATGCTAGAGCGCCGTATGGCAGCCATGCTAAAGCCAGGGTAAAAAAAAACTAAAGATTTGGTCTTACATGTTAATGCCTATGAGGAAGTATGTTGAGCATATCTAACTCTTCTTATGTTACTCTAGATCCACCTTTCCTTCTTAATCTTTCTTACAGCACATAGAGACATATTGTGATATGCGCGATATAAGTATGGTATATTATTGTTATTAAGATCAGTCCACTTGTGAAGGTAAAATTTTACCTGGAACTCAACAATCTTCAAAGACCAATTCTGATAAGGCTATCTCCAAACTTTTTTCAGAATTTTTTCAATCTTAATTTCATCTGGAAATTGAAAAAACCTTTGAAGGCTACTTCATCTATTCACTTTTTTTTCTCTATGGTACTTTACCCTTCTAAAGACCAGGGACTTGTATCACAAAGCCTTTTTTCAAAGACAAATGACAAAAATCAGTGACAAATCTGCTATTAACCAATCAGAAGCAAGGATTTCACTAGCTTATAACAATAACTGTCATTTGTCACTCATGACAAGTTTTGTGAAATGGGGCCCAGCTCATATGTGAGAGACACCATTGAAACTATCACTTACCCGGAACTTTACAATCTTCAAAGACCAGTTCGCACGTGTCACACCCTCTCATACCCAGCTTGTCGAGCTTCTGTGCGGTGCTGAATCCATCCATGCCCTAATGAATATATTAAAACATTAGATTCAAGGTACAAGACGTTTAATTTAACCTCAATCATAAAAACGTACAAACAGTAGTACAAAATACATCATGGAATATGGAAAGGACCAAAAGAAAAGGAAATATTGAGAGGAATGGCGCTGAAAGAAAGTGAAAAAACAACAAAACAAATACCAAGTAAATACAGATGTACGGGTTTACGATCAAACTTTGCCATGATAAGGATTTTCTGTGGTCAAAGGTATCATTTTACTTTATATAGAGGAGTTACAAGTTATTGTAGAAAGTGAAACACTGTAGATAGAAACACAGATGAGGGAAAGGATACGGAAGGGTGAAAATAGAAAAGATTGAAAGAGAAAATCTAATGAAGGATAAAAACAGAGGACTTGCTTATATAGATGAGAAAAAAAAGAGAAGAATTGGAAGAAAAAGGAGCATTATATTCAATGAATGCTGCTGCGGCTACTACTACTACTAGATAAAAAGGTCCATAAATAAATAAAAATCTAGAGCAATACCTTTTCGATGAGGAATGTTGTGATGCCTTGGCTTGGTTCTACACCAAGGTCTGTTTTGGCGTAGACTACCAGTACATCTGCATCGGGTCCATTGGTAATCCAGAATTTGCTGCCATTCAACAAATAGTGGTCATCTAAATGTACCATGGTCACAGAAATTTGAAAGGTGTTAAAGGTGTTTAAAGGTGTTTAAATCTCCGTGTATAAGGCGCACTTTTTTGCCGCCGAAAAAATTTGAAAGTCGGGTGTGCGTCTTATACACAGGTACACAAAATTTTTTTTTTATTTTTTAGTTTCGATTTATGGCGCTATGCCTGGCAATGTCTCCCAGCTCAGTAATCAGTGTGTTGACTCACCACTCGGAAACTACAACAACACTCAAATTTGTCTGTCATCTTGGTTTGAAAGTAATCTTTCTAATAGATCTCAATATGTAGTTTATAACAATAATTCCTCAATTTTTTTGTCTATTCATATCATGCATGACTATTGATGTTTGGCATAGAACACAGTGCTTCTGCTAGGTGATGTGATGAGGCTGGTGTGGGACACTTGGTATCATGAAGCCTTAGAGTCTGGACCTGTTTTTAATTTACATTAATGATCTTACACATTCGTCTACAACGACATTGTTACAACTTGAACTGCACCTCGATGTAAAATGAAGGTCCTTCCCCGCGTGGTTTTTTCGGCAACAAAACATCAACATCAACAAAACAAAAAACAATTTTTTGTTTTTGTTTTTTTGTTTTTTGTTTTTTTTTGTTTTTGTTGTTGTTTGCCCCCAAAATAGGGGTGCGCCTTATACACAGAGATTTACGGTACCTTTTCGTTCTGCCTTGAGCTTCATGGAAACAACATCAGATCCACTTCCAGATTCACTCATTGCTAGGGCTCCAATGTGCTCTCCACTGATAAGCTACATCATGAGACAAATATTCAAAACATGAATTTGACAATTAAATGATATCTCCTTTAAAGATAAAGACCAGTTATGGTCATGCAATTGCATTGTGAAAGAAACGTGAAATCGATCAGAAAAGGTTGATCATCTAGCATAGATGTACTGCAAGGATCTGGAATCATCAAAATGATAAGAAATTTGGCCCAGTCTTCATAAAGTTACAAGCACTGTAGACAGAAAGATGTATAAGGGACTACGCACACGTGCACGACACATGCGTTTTTATCTCTCACACACCAATAGATAAACTAATTTACCAAATATATCAATTAGTAGGCGGTTTCCCAGCAAATTTTTTATAGGAGCTTCCATTTCATTTTTAGAAATTGGGGCGTTTCCAAAACTGGTCTTTACCTTTAACCCTTTCAGGACAGGATTTATTTGAAGGGCTAAATTGATCATGTGTTTTTCTTCAAATTGGCAACAATAATACTTTTCTTTTATCACTACAATGATAGATGAAATGCAATGTTTCTGACAACGATATATACACGGGCGAGAGTGTTGTCAATTTTTTTTTTAAATGGCCAGTTTTTATAGAAAATCATTGATTGTTAATCTCTCATGTGCTGCCAATTTAAGGACTTTAAAACTCATTTTCCTTTTCAGCTTTCAAGCATCACATGCAATATAGTCATGAAACAAAAAATGGGTGCAGCGTGTGCAGAAACAAGGGCTCTGAGTCAAACCTCAAAATGTGGCATAATTGTTGAGAAGGTTGTAAAACATATGTTCAGTGTCAATTGCTCTGTGCTCAATTTCCTAAATTTCAAAAAAAGATTCTTACTTCAACCCTGTACTCGATACTATACTTAAATCCAAACTTAAACTTAAAGTTCATTGAACTTTAAGCCTATCCCTTCATCTTTAAAATAAAGTCACACTATGAACATGAGTGACAAAGAAAGCGGACAAAATAAACAGTTCCTCAGGTAGACAAAGAAACATCCCTTCACTGCTATTATGTAAAAGTGTGTAGAACAAGTGTCACATGCATATTCCCCTTTTTACATAATAGCAGTGAAGGGATGTTACTTTGTCTACCTGAGGAACTGTATATTTTGTCCGCTCTCTTTGTCTATCATGTTCATAGTGTCAACAACATATCATCCCTGATAAATTGAATTAAACATAAATCCTCATGCTACATGTATATTCACAATATTACATGCTAAAGAGCCCCCCCCCCCCCCCCCCTCCAAAAAAAATAAATAAATAAAAAAAAAAAAAAAATAATAATAATAATAATAAAATCAATAAATAATAATAATAATAATAATAATAATAATATAAATTAATAAATAAATAAATAAATAATAATAAATTAATTAATTAATTTAAAAAAAAAAAAAAAAAAAAAAAAAACATGTGGCGAAAATGAAATAGTACATGTATAAAGTTCTTCACATTTCTGCCTCTTAGAAAAAACAGTTAAGTGCGTACACGTAGGGTTATTTTTTGCATCAGTTACCATTTTTCTCCATTTTTTCCATTTTTGTTTAAAGCAGCACTTATTTGTTCAGCAGTTTCATATGTGTCTTATATAGGTTCACACATCATTATAAGGATTATAAGTAGAGCTTTTTTTCTATTTTATAGTAAACCCACCTTGGGCAGATATTTTGCCTTCTGGTCCTCGTTCCCATTCCTTACAAGCTGATTGACACAGAGGTTGGAATGGGCTCCGTAACTCATACCTATACTTCCAGACGCTCTCGATAATTCCTCCATGATGACCACATGATCAGTGTAACTTCCTCCCAATCCTCCATACTCCTCTGCAAAAACAATAACAAATGTCCTTTGGCAAGACATTGATCTACATTTACCACACTCAAACCAGGTGATCTAAATGGGTACCTGGCAGGAATTAATTCCTTGAAATGCTAGAGCGCCGTGATGGCCGCCTTGCTAAAGCCAGTGTAATGATCGGGAGGCGCCAGGAGCGTCACGACGTGGCGGACATGTGCGCTATATAAGAAGCCATTATTATTTTCATTATTATAAAAAAAAACATAATTATTTGAATCCCTGCCATGGCATGACCATTTTTTGGCAAGACATTGATTTTTGGGGCCTCACTTCACCCAAGTGAGGTTAGTGGATACACTATAAAGAAGAACTTGGCTTGAACTGGAGTAAGAGTCAAAATCACTTTGTAAATTAATAAAGCAATGATAAATGTGTAGAACCGAGTATCCTTTGGTATTAACGGATCTAAAATACGAGATGAAAATTATTAGAATCACTGCAATGGCACTACTGTCCTTTCGCAAGAGCTGCAAGACAGTAATCTACATTTGCCACACTCGACCCAGGGGAATTAGAAGAGCGGTTCTCATCCCAATAGAAGAGCAATGTATTTGCAGGTTGAATGTGGACAGCTTTGATACAAGGGTGTGAAGAAGGGAATCTGCCTACCGTAGACCGAGTTTGAGGCTCAATCGACGGACGTATTCAGATTGTCTAAAAGAAGATTTATATACATGTGTGTATACATACATGTACAGTATATCATACCTGGTGCAGTGATTCCAAGGAAACCCATACTGCCCATCTTCTTAAAGAATTCCTAAGGAAAATAAACACATTTAAAGAAGCAAAAATGAAGGAAAATAAGTCAACCATTTACAAAGAAACCTGATTTTGTAAGACTTTGTTGTTGACTACATGTACATGTACATTGTACATATTTGCACTGTCAAGAAATGATTTTTAAAAGTAATTGAAATTTAAAAACAGATTGTTGACCATTAAGAAGAAGGAAAAATATATTTATATAAAGGAAGAGACAGTAACATTAATCATTTATTAGCTTCCATGTTAAATTTAAATTCGTTATTACCGGTATTCAAACCAATATATTTTTGCTATTACTTTGTGTTTTATATCATGCAATAACAAAATGTTGTCACTTTCAGTATCAAAGCATGTGATTGAGCTAGGTGAATGAAAAGTTTGAAAATAACCGTCAGCAGTATGAAACTATTAATTCCATAATAGGTTTGATAGATGATATTAATCTGCTATATCAATGCAGATAATTACACTTATTACTTGTATAAGGTGCCAAATCCACTTGAAATCAAGAATGAAAATCACAAGAAATTACAACATGTGTAGGATAATAGAACATTATAGCAAGAAACATACAGAGGTACCGGTACGATTATAGAACAAATCAAAGAGTTTTTATGATTTACTGTGACAATGCTTTCCTAAACTTACCCTCAAGTTATCAAATGTATTTTTGGCATCGATTTCAGCCGCATAGGGTGCCAACTCCTGCTGGGCAAATTTGAATACAGTTTCTCGGAGCTACATTGAAAAGGAAATTAAATGAAGAACGTTTAATAGATGGGACTATATAGTCTGGATGGTTGGTTAGATCATTGACTTTCTCGTGTTCAGTAACCTTTGAAGATGGTGGATCAATGATCAATCCCTGGTGCAGTATACTCAAAGTTTAAATTCGCACTATGTGCTGTGCTCTGTGTTCCACTATGTACATCGTGATCACAATACTGTGCAGTGCTGGTGAGTGTATTTAAAAATCCATCTCCTAATTGACTAGTGGTCGCCGACTCCTCCATCGTGATGAAAAGTCCGCTTTATTACCTTTCCGCCTCGTATTACAAGGTTCTCTTCACCCCTTTCAATTATCTCCTTCAGAACATTTCTTAGTCTCTTGTGTTCCTCTCTCTCGGCCTTTGTGCAAGTCTCTGGCGATCTGTACTGATCCTGACTTGAGCCTGGAGACCTAGCTCCCCTTAAAACTTTCTCTGTAGCAGCTCCATTATCCATAACAACTTTCGATGGTATTGGTCTAGCTAAATCAGACTTTTTAGTATTACCAAGGCGGTACAAAGATCTTACATGACTGACATCTGCTTTCAGATTGAGGTCTTTGTGAAAGATAGAGTTTATCTGGTCACGATATTCCTTTTTTCTAACTTCGGCATCCTGACTCTGAGATTCAGGAATGCCATATACAATAATATTGTTCTTCCTTCTCTCTCTTTCCACAAAATCTAGTTTGAATACAAATTATACGTTCAGATCTAAATACCATCTTCTTTAATACGCTTTCATTTCTCTACATTTTTCTCTTTTGAAAATCCTCTTCTTCTCCAAGCTTTGTCTCCATTTGAATTAACGCCAGGGACCTGTATTGTAAATTAGGCCTAGACCTAGGCTATAATAAATCTGTTCCACTTACCAACTTAACTGAAATAATCTGTTTAATGGTCCCTTTTTAGGAAATTATGGGTCAACATCGAAATACATGTTGAAAATCTTGCAAGACGTATTTTAACTCTCGCTGCGCATGACGTTATCTGAATCTCATCTCTTCTAGTCTATGCCGAAGGCAAAATGATTATGAAGGAAAAACTGTGTGCGAGCTACACGTTCGTAAGGGCGTTATCAGGGGAAAAAATACTTTAACAATTTCGGGGGCTACTTTCAAGCTTGTTTGCATGAAAATAACAGTCTTTATTTTGTTTTGCATTGGACTTTATGCAATTTTGGGGGGCTCTTTTATGACTTTCGGGGGCTCTTTTTGGCATTTAGGGGCTAATTCGCCCCGAGCCCTCGTGCATTTTTTTCCCTGGGCGTTATCACAGTTTTTCTTCATAATCATTTTATCTTCGGCGTAGACTAGAAGGGATGAGATGAGATTTAGATGACGTCATGCGCAGCACGTTAAGAACCCATTGCACTATTCGTAGAAGAGTAGGGGGTAACCCCGGTGTAATGGTCCACCTGCATACCCCAACCAGGCCCAGTATACGGCATCTGCAAGAATCTTCAGTAGACCAGGAGGCAGATTGAAGAAGAAGAAAAAATCAAAACAAATGTCTACCTATGGCTATGGGACTACACATATTAGAGATGTATTTCATAAACCTAACCTGCTGTTGCTCCTCTGTGAGTCCTGATACAACATCATCAACTGGTACATAGTTTCCTTGGTTCCTAGATGGTTGTCTTAGTTCTTTTAGTTTTAGTGCTGAAACACCGCAAATCCTAGGGGAAATCCCCGAAAAGAGTAGCCGTCCAAATGTGCAAGGAGAAAGAGCCATGTTTCGCGATATGTAGCATCTATGCATCACGTATGAGAATTTTTCGGTAGAATTCGGACCCCAACCCTGGAAAGCTCGAGACAATTTTCTAATATTCATTTCATGTACATGACTTGTATAATATCGCACAATTGCTTTTCTCTGGATCTAATCCTGGTCGGTACCCATATTTTTTTTTTACACAACTGTTTAGCCATTTTCGCGGGAAAATTCCAAGAAGTGCTCTAGTGAAAGAGTCTAAGTCGTCAGCGCACTATATACATGTGTATTTGCAAGTACGTACACCCAGGGAAGGGAAGATGATAGAAAGGGGAAAACAAGGATAGTGGAGAGGATATGGAGAATGAAAAACAAGGAAATACATAAGGAAAAAGAAGAGAATATATAAGTCAAAGGAAGAACATAGAAATACATAATTGAAGAGCTATAAGAGGATCATAGATCTAGACTAAGGAAAAACAGGGTAATACATAAAGAAGGAGAAAGGGAATTTATCAGATTAAAACAAAGAAATAGATGACGAAGGAGAAAAGGATAGATTGAAGGAGAAACAAAGAAATATATAAAACGAAAGGTTAGAGGTTAGAATAAAGGAGAACAAAAGAAATACATAACGAAGCAGAACTGGGGATATAGATTGAAAGAAAAACAAAAAACTATGTAACGAACATGCGCGTAGCCAGGGGGGGGGGCGTGGTTGCGGCCCCCCCCCCCCCCCCACCAAAAAAAAAAAAAAAAAAACGCCGGCCAAAAACAAACTAAAAAAGAGAAAGAAAGAAGAAAGAAAGAGGACGTAGGAAGATAAAGGATTAAGAGTCGAGAACGGTACAACGAATCGACTTCTTTCTCTAATAATTTAATGAAACGTTAAGACTTCCGCGCTTCGCGGCGCGGGAGGGGCGGGGGGAAACTGAATTCAGATGAGGATTAAGAGTCGAGAACGGTACAACGAATCGTCTTCTTTCTCGAATAATTTTAATGAAACGTCAAAGCTTAGGGGGGCAAACTGAATTCAGACAATGATTATGAGTCGAGAATGGCACAACGAATCGTCTTCTTTCTTTTATAATTTAATGAAACGTCAGAGGAAGGGGAACTTGATTCAAACAAGGATTAAGAGTCGAGAACGAATTAATCGTCTTCTAATAAGTTAATGAAACGTCAATAGAAACTGGATTTAGACAAGGATTAAGAGTCGAGAACGGTACAACGAATCGCCTTCTTTCTGCACCCACCCCCCTAGGGATCGCGCTACGCGCGCTCTGTAAGTGATTTGCACGCTTTGCGTGCTCACTACCGCTCCCCCGGCCCCCCCCCGGCTAAAATAAAATCCTGGCAAGCGCGTAGCCAGGATTTTATTTTAGGGGAGGGGGGGGGGCGGTAGTGAGCACGCGAATCGTGCGAATCACTTAAAGAGCGCGCAAAGCGCGCTCCCTATAGGGGGTGGGTGCGAAGCGCGGAAGCTTTGAAAGAAGACGATTCGTTGTACCTTTCTCGACTCATAATCCTTGTCTGAATTCAGTCCCTCCCCTCTCTCGCGCCAAGCTTTGACGTTTCATTAAATTATTAGAGAAAGAAGACGATTCGTTGTACCTCTCTCGACTCTTAATCCTTATCTGTATTCAGTCCCTCCCCTTTCTCACGAGAAGCTTTGACGTTTCATTAAATTATTAGAGAAAGAAGACGATTCGTTGTATATTTTTCCCGACTCATATTTCTTAATTTGAACTGCATGAGTTTCCCCCTTCCCGCGCGAAGCGCGGAAGCTTTGACGATTCGTTGTACCGTTCTCGACTCCTTTTCCCTCTTCCTACGTCCTCTTTCTTTTTTTCTTCTCTTTCTCTCTCTTTTTTTTATTTGGCCGGCGTTTTATTTTTTGTGGGGCGACCGCCCCCACCGCCCCCCCCCCTGGATACGCGCCCGAATCCTGGCTATGCGCTTGCATGGTAACGAAGGAGAAAAAGGAGAGATTGAAGAAGAATAAAAAGAAATACATGGCAAAAGAGAAGAGGATAGTTTGAAGGAAAACACAGAAATACATATTGAAAGAGAAGAGAAGAGAGGATAGATTTAACCTGAAACAAATAACGAGTATGCATGTACAGCTCCAGCAATCCCACAAAACTGCTAAGGGTATGCTAGACTCTGTATCTATTCGTTTGCACAGATTTTGACTGAAGTGGCTAAACAGTTGTGTAAAAAAAATGCGAACCCGGGGTAGGTAGTTTCATTTATGTTTAATTACCCCTGGAAATATTCTACCGCAAAAGGGATCACCCTTTGCGGGCTGCGGCTTGGTGTACAGAACCTATGGAAATGTTATTTTTCCTATGAAATGTGAATTTTATGACCTTATTTGCATAAATTACCAGAAACATTAATGAGTGAATTTAATTTTTTTTAATTCTAAACACAATAATAATAATAATAATAATAATAATAATAATAATAATAATAATAATAATAATAATAATAATAATAATAATAATAATAATAATAATAATAATAATAATAATAATAATAATAATAATAATAATAATAATAATAATAATAATAATAATAATAATAATAATAATAATAATAATAATAATAATAATAATAATAATAATAATAATAATAATAATAATAATAATAATAATAATAATAATAATAATAATAATAATAATAATAAATAGCCTAATAGTTCACTCCTAATTTTATTAAACCGAAACGGAAATTCTTTTTGCCAAATTGATCGTGAGCCCGGCAGCCACTGAGCAGCGCCAGATCGACGTTGCTCTATCCCTTATTGTTGAACGCCAAACAAGGTAGCAACAACCCCCATCTTTTAACATCTCCCCCCCCCCCCACACTTCCAAACGTTTTTGCTCATTACGTCACTGCCCTGGAAGGTGAGCCCCCTGAAATGTTTGCCCCATCCATCCCCCCCCCCCCCCATCCCAAACTGCTTCCGGCGCGCCTGGGTATGGGCATTTAATTACGGTTATAGATGAGCATATTTTTATACTTTATTCATGACACTCGCAGGTTATTAATTGGCGTGGGGTCAAGGGAGCTTGAGCCCTATAAAACTCAGGGATTTGAGTCGTTTAAGCGCGAAGCGCGGAAGCTTTGGCGTTTCATTAAATTATTAGAGCAAGAAGACGATTCGTTGTACCGTTCTCGACTCTTAATCCTTGTTTGAATCAAGCTATTCCCCAACCCGCGCGTAGTGCGGAAGCTCTGAAGTTTCATTAAATGATTAAAGAAAGAAGACGATTCATTGTACCGTTCTCGACTCTAAGTCCTTGTCTGAATTCAGTTTCCCCCCCCCCCCCCTCCCGCGCGAAGCGCGGAAGCTTTGACGTTTCATCAAATTATTAGAGAAAGAAGACGATTCGTCCTCTTCCATTTTTCTTTCTCTCTTTTATTGGGGGCCGGCGTTTTAGGGGGTGACTGCCCCCACCGCCCCCCCCCCCCCTTACGCGCCTGGCAAATGTCCAAATGCATGCACGAGGAAAATCTAATGTCAGTATGAAATGAAGATTTCTGCCTTAGTGAGCTTAATTAGTAGTGCTCTACTAGAATTAAAAAACACTGCTCCAGGGAAGGATGGCATTCATTCCAAGATAAGCAATCTCCCGGAAGAAATTATCAAAATAATCTTAGAACTATATGAAAAAACCAAAAAACGGCCTAAAAACCCTCCATCCGTCAGGCGGAGGGCGATGACTTGTCCAAATAAAGAATAAAATTTTTAAAAAAAATAAAAAAACGGGTTAGTAGTGCTTTACTAGAATTAAAAAAACACTGCTCCAGGGAAGGATGGCATTCATTCAAAGATGATAAGCATTCTCCAGGAAGAAATTATGAAAATAATCTTAGAACTATATGTATATGACACTATTATAAAACGAAATTTGACAAGAAAATTGTCTCGAGCTATCCAGGGTTGGGGTCCGAATTCTACTGAAAAATTGTCATACGCGATGCATAGATGCTACATATTGCGAAACATGGCTCTTTCTCCTTGCACGGTTGGACGGCTACGTCATTGCTTTTCGGGGATTTTCCCTAGGATTTGCGGTGTTTCAGCACTTAAAGGACTAAAACAACCATCTAGGAACCAAGGAAATTATGTACCAGTTGATGATGTTGTATCAGGACTCACAGAGGAGCAAAAACAGGTTAGAATTATGAAATACATCTCTAATATGTAGTCCCATAGGTAGACATTTGTGTACTGAATTCCGAAACTGCGAAAGTGGCTTGCTTTTTCTAAATCTAGACTAGATCTATTCAAAGTTAGATCGGTTTTAATTAAGATCTAAACATCAGTGGCAGTTCTGATATTATCATTAATTATAATACTAGTTGTTCTAGTACTAGACTACAATCTATTATTAATTATTAGATCTAGACCCTATTAATTATTATTATTTTTCAATTTATTGTCGTCATCATCATCTTTATCATCATCATGATCATCATCAATTCATCAGCATTGTCGTCATCAGATAATCTCTATTATCCCTGGAGCTCCCTGGAGTTAATTCAAATAGAGATAAAGGAGAGGAAGAGGATTTTCAAAGGAAAAAATGTAGAGAGATGAAATCAAATAAAGAGAGCGTAAGAAGATGGTATTTAGATTCGAACGTAGAATAGAATTAGAATTTTTATTCAACAGTAGGGCCCTAGGGGCGCTGGTCCGAGAATAAGGATCGTCTTCGTAAACACGGACCGATGCGTCCTCAAAAATAAGGACCGTCTGCATTTTTGCAGACGTTTCATATTTTTGATCGGTGCATTGGCCATGCAAAAAAACGGATTCTGCAATGATTTTCTTGATGCATTTTACATTGACATTGTACAGAGACTTTCACATTATAAGCAATAAATCCTTGGGAAGACGGACAACCCATAAAAGTAGACGGTGAACTAGGGTTATTTTCCCCCGGGGAATCCATTTTTGGCATCGCCAGCAGGCCGTTCTGTAACATGAAACCCCCAGAGCGCCAATGAAAAAAAACGTCCTCAAAAATGCAGACAACCCTTATTTTTGAGGACGCATTTTGTCCTCGTTTATGAGGATATCCTTGTTTATGAGGACGATCCTCATTCTTGGACCAGCGCCCCTACTGTTCAAAGCTTTCACATCTATTGAACGTTCTTCATTTAATTTCCTTTTCAACGTAGCTCCGAGAAACTGTATTCAAATTTGCCCAACAGGAGTTGGCACCCTATGCAGCCGAAATCGATGCCAAAAATACATTTGATAACTTGAGGGTAAGTTAAGGAAAGCTTTGTTATGTACAGTACATCATAAAAACTCTTCTATGATCTATCTCTTTGATTTGTTCTATAATCGTACCGGTACCTCTTTATGATTTTTGTTATAATGTTCTATTATCCTACACACATTGTACTTTCTTGAGATTTTCATCCTTTGCTCATGGGCATTGATTTCAAACGGATATGGCACCAGACCTCTCGCCAAGAAATTAAAAACGTGTGGCGCGACCCGAGGGAAAATTTGACCCCCCCCCCCCCCCCAAAAAAAAAAAGAAAAAAAAAAAGAAGTAAAAATTTGATTTTTTTTTTTTTTTTTTTTTTTTAATTTAAATTTATTTTTTACAAGTATTACAAGTAATTTGATGAATTTTTAATACCATACCTGCCAACCCTTACGAATAATTTCATGTATGGCACCTTATAAATGTAATTAGTGTAAAAGCAGATTGATATCATCAAGTAAACATAATATGTACAGTAGACTATAATATGGAATTAATAGTTTCATACTGCTGATTATTATTTTCAAACTTTTCATTCACGTAGCTCACTCACATGCTTTGATTCTGATAGTGACAACATTTTGTTATTTCATGATATAAAACACAACAAAATAAAAAAATTATTGGTTTGAAAAATAATGAATTTTAATTTAACATGGAAGCTTATAAATGATTATTGTTACTGTCTCTTTCTTTATCTAAATATATTTGTCCTTCTTTTTATTTGTCAGAAATCTGTTTTTTAAATTTTAATAATTTTGTATTTTAATTCTTTTAAAAATTCTTTTTGTGACAGTGCAAATATATGGTCTACAACAAAGTCTTACAATCAGGTCTCTTTGCAAATGGTTGACTTGTTTTCCTTCATTTTTGCTTCTTTAAATTTGTTTGTTTTCCTTAGGAATTCTTTAAGAAGATGGGCAGTATGGGTTTCCTTGGAATCACTGCACCAGGTATGTTATACATGTTGTATATATATACACTCTTTTAGACAATCTGAATACGTTTGTCGATTGAGCTTCAAACTCAGTCAAGGCAGATTCACTTCTTCACACCCTTGTGTCATAGCTTTTCTCATTCAACCTGCAAATACATTGCTATGCTACATGTATATAGGGATTAGTTTTGCTCTTCCAAGGAAACTCCCCCGGGTCGAGTGTGGCAAATGTATGTGGCAAATGTAGGTTACTGTCTTGCAGCTCTTGCGAAAGGACAGTAGTGTCATTGCAGGGATTCTAATAATTTTCATATCGTATTTTGGATCCATTGATAACAATTGGATACTCGGTTTGACATATTTATAATTGCTTTATGCATTTACATAGTGATTTCTATTATTATCCCAGCTGTAGCCGAGTTCTTCTTTATAGTGTATCCACTTACCTCACCTGGGTGAAGTGAGGCCCCAAAAATCAATGCCAAAGGATGGTAATGCCATGGCAGGGATTCAAATAATCATGTTTTTTAATCTACCGTATGTTTGATTGTTTTTGTTTTTCCAGAGAAGTATGGAGGAATGGGAGGAAGTTACACTGATCATGTGATCATCATGGAGGAATTATCGAGAGCGTCCGGGGGAATAGCTCTCAGTTACGGAGCCCATTCCAACCTCTGTGTCAATCAGCTTGTAAGGAATGGGAACGAGGACCAGAAGGCAAAATATCTGCCCAAGGTGAGTTTACAAAGAAAAAAAGTTCTACTCACAATCCTGATAATGATGTGTGAATTTTAACGTATTAAAGCTCGCCTGCAAGGTCATTGACAGATGTTTATCTCATGAAATCAGCTCTCAATTAAGAAAACGGGGACCATGGGGGACCATGGGGGACCAATGGTCACCGATTAGGCATTGTTTGCTATGTAGAGGGCGCAAGTAGCTATAAGAAGTGCAGTGGGGCTTTAAAGGTACTATGTCCCATTTGCAGGCCAAAAAAATGAAAAGGTTAAATTTCAACGGCATTTGAAAGACAATACTAATTTAGAACTTCCCTAAAAAAAAGGGGGGCTTGAAAATGTCTTTAAGTGGGAAAATAACGACTATTAGTTGTCGAATCGACTTCAGAGCTATACATACATACATACATATTGGTATTTATATAGCGCCTTTACATGAACATGCTCAAGGCGCTATACATTTTAAAATAAAAACAATAGTTATCACTATGAATATGACTGACAAAGAAAGCGGACAAAATATACAGTTCCTCAGGTAGACAAAGGAACATCCCTTCACTGCTATTATGTACAAATGTGTAGAACAGGTGTCACATGCATATTCACCTTTTTACATAATAGCAGTGAAGGGATGTTCCTTTGTCTACCTGATGAACTGTATATTTTGTCCGCTTTCTTTGTCAGTCATGTTCATAGTGTATATACCCTCCAAGTGCATTGCACTCTAAAAAATAACAATTACAAAGAAAACAAATGAGTTTTTGAATTTCTCTTAAATGATACGACAGAGGTGCAGGAACAAATGCTTAAACGGAGACTATTCCGATTAGTGGGACCAGAAAAAATTATATTTTGTTGACCCTTCTTCGAATTGATGCGGGGGATTTGCAGAAAAAGGGGGTCTGACCTTGAACGTAATGGATATCTTGATTGCTGGATGGGACAAAACAGACTAGAAATATAGGATGGGATAAGGTTATACATGGATTTATAAACAAATAGTGAAACTTGATACAATATTCTCTTATGAACAGGTTACCAGTGTAGTTGTTTTAACAAGGGAGACACATGATCATATTTTCTTGCATTTGAAATAATACGGGCTGCACGATTCTGGATTCGTTGAAGTCTATCGATATCCGAAACATTTATATTAATCAGGAGGGGATTGGCATTATCAAGACGGCTTAAAACAAGAGAGCGAATATCATGATGGCATGCCTCATCAGTTAGCATCCTTCTGACCCTAGATATGTTATACAAATGAAAATTTAAAGACTTAGCTATAGAGCCAGTAAGTAACAGTCTGATTTTTCAGACCATTGTACCGAATGGTTTTACGTTTTATGCTGCGATAAGAATCAATCAGTTTAATTTTGGCCATTAAACAAATGCTCATGTACCCTTTACAGCTCATTTTAATATGTATGTTATTTAATATCAAAGATGAAAAAAGCCAGTCAGTCACTCAATAGTGTCTGGCAGTGAAGTCTAGCAAGTAAACAGGATTCGTTGCATAATTTGAATATTAGGACACTGCTAACGTTTAAATTTCACAGATAGGACATACATGAAATGAAATATTCATAATTTCTGCAAAGTTCTACAGATTTTGATGTTGGCTGCAAAAGGGACATACTGTAGTATCTTTAAAGGAGTCAGAGCTGCTAACCATTCCGTTTTTGCCGGAATTACTCCGTTTTTCCCTCCAAATTACGGCATTACGTTTTTTCTTCATAAAATATGTTTTTTAATTTTTTTAAAATTTTTATTTATTTATTTTTTTTAATTTTTTTTTTTTTTTTACATACCGCACGTCAAACAACTGCCCTTAAATGGTGATTTGATCACAAATTCAATAGAAAACTAAATTTAAAACATACTTGAAAAGAAAAAGAATGAAATGCCGATAATACCAAAATAACCACCAAAAAAATTCCTCCTTGTATGGAAAAAACAGCATGATGAATGAACGTTTCTGCATTGAAAGTGTGTCGCGCGTCGTTGTAAGTTTCGTTTTTATGAATTCCTTTTTTTGGCTTGAAATTCCTTTTTTTTGCCATCATGATTCCTTTTTTGGTCGCACAAGGTTGGCAGCTCTGAGATGTCATGTAATCATCAAATTCATGTTTTGAATATTTGTCTCATGATGTAGCTTATCAGTGGAGAGTACATTGGAGCCCTAGCAATGAGTGAATCTGGAAGTGGATCTGATGTTGTTTCCATGAAGCTCAAGGCAGAACGAAAAGGTAAATCATTTTAAACTTCTGCAAGTGCTTGTAGAATTAAAAAGAGTAGATTGTTGAACAAATTGAAAATAACATTTTGTTTATAAACTATTTGGGAAACACATTTTGTCATGCATCACATCACGAATGGCAAAATTGCCAAAGCTAGTACCGGTATACAAATATTGACTGCTTTGAAGGACATGGTGAAAACTATTGCCCAAGGGGATATTGAAACTGTTCTGTGCCCCAAGGGGATGTCGAGGGGCCTAGTGCAGTCTCGAGATCACAGAGGAGCTATAGTTTTAATTGTGACATAAAAAATAAGCACTAAATTTTTGTTTTATATACCCCATCCCCCCTTTCAGAAAGAGATATCTTTACAACAAATGCCAGGCAAAGTGTACCGTAATTAACGTTGTATAAACCGCCCTCGTGTATTAACCGCACCCCTCTTTTTCGTCCGCAGGAAGAAAAAAAACTCTGTTAAAGTTGTTAATGTTACCGGCTTTTATGACAAAAAGTGAGCCAAGGGAATGAAAGAAATGAATGAACAAAATAAATGGCAGTATCGCCGGCGCTTGAGAAAAAAAAAGAGAGATAGATCGGGGGAGAGAGAGAAGCGAAAACAATTACTTTATTTCTCAATGTGCATAAATTCACTTGCAACCATTGCATCGTTGCATTACATGTATACGCGCAAGTAGAACAATGCCCGGTCAATTAGCTTTCCATGTATGTTAACACCTTTCAAATTGTTGTGTCCATGGTACATGTAGGTGACTACTATTTATTGAATGGCAGCAAATTCTGGATTACCAATGGGCCTGATGCAGATGTACTGGTAGTCTACGCCAAAACAGACCTTGGTGTAGAACCAAGCCATGGCATCACAACGTTCCTCATCGAAAAGGTATTAAACTAGATTTGTATTTATTTATTGACCTGTTTATCTATTAGTATGATTAGTAGTGGTAGCAGTAGTGGTCTTTGTAGACAAGTGGTCACTAAAGCAGGTTTGACTGTAGTAGTAGTAGTAGTAGTAGTAGTAGTAGTAGTGATGGTGGTAGTAGTAGTAGAGAAATCGTACCCGAGTAGTTGTCAACCGTGCGGGTACTCGAGCATTTGACTACCGGTACCCGTCGCAGCCTTAGTAGTAGTAGTAGTAGTAGTAGTCTCTATGTTCTTCCAATTCTTCTCCTTTTTTCTCATCTGTGTACTGTGTACTTAAAGTCCTCTGTTTTTTGTCCTTCATTAGATTTGATCTTTCAATGTTTTCTATTTTTCACCCTTCCATCTCCTTTCCCTCGTCTTTGTTTCTATCTACAGTGTTTCACTTTCTACAATAACTTGTAACACCTCTATTGTAAAGTAATAATGATACCTTTGACCACAAGAAATCCTTATCATGGTACATTTTGATCGTAAACCTGTACATATGTATCTACTTGGTATTTCTTTTCTTGTATTTATTACTACTGTTTGTATGTTTTTATGGTTGAGGTTAAATAAAATGTCTTGAACCTTAAATCTTTTGTTTTAATATCTTCATTAGGGCATGGATGGATTCAGCACCGCACAGAAGCTTGACAAGCTGGGTATGAGAGGGTCTAACACATGTGAACTGGTCTTTGAAGATTGTAAAGTTCCGGGTAAGTGATAGTTTCAATGTTGTCTTTCACATATGAGCTGGGCCCCATTTCACAAAACTTGTCATGAGTGACACATGACAGTTTTTGTTATAAACTAGTGAAATCCTTGCTTCCGATTGGTTATCAGCAGATTTGTCACTGATTTTTGTCATTTGTCATTGAAAAAAGGCTTTGTGAAGCAGGTTCCTGGTCTTAAGAGATAGTAAAGTTCCGGGGAAAAGAAGAAAAAATTGAATAGATAAAGTAGCCTTCAGAGGTTTTCAATTTGCGGATGAAATTAAGATTCCAAATTTTCTGACAAGGCTGTGGAGAGGGCCTAACGCCTTACTCATGAGAATTGGTGTTTGAAGATTGTTAAGTTCCAGGTAAAATTATACTTTTACAAGTGAACTGGTCTTAATAACAAATTATCATAGGCATTAATACGTGACACCTGAATTGTAGTTTTGCCTTTTAAATATTTTTGAGAAAAAAAGGAAGAAAAAATGCTTGTTTAAAAAAGATCTTTTCAGCTGACTTTTTCTTTTAAGTGCAAACTTCTTCATGTGTAAGTTTTCATGAACATTTGGTAGTGGCACATTGTAATAATGCATGAGTTTGCATCATTTAAATCATGTAGCATTACACTCCATGTACAAGTACATATCTGTTTAGCAATGTATATAGTGTGAGTCAAAAAAAAGTTTACACCTAGAAAATTGCTAGTTATTCTAAAAATCATCTATGAACAGTACATTATTACCGTATACATCTTATGAAAGAGTATTTTATCCCAAATCATTTGGTATCATTTGTGGGTGGCATTTTTGCATTTTTGCACTCTCGCAAACAATGCCCCCTCTTCATCCAAGCGTGAACACATACCACACAAAAATGATACCAAACGATTTTTGATATAACACATGTACGATAACCATTCGTTCATAGCTGACTTTTAAAATAAATGACAATTTTGTGAGTGTAAACTTTTTTTGACTCACACAATGTATGTGAATGCTGACCAAACTTGTCTTTATTTTGAGCAGTTGAGAATGTGATGGGGTCCCTGAACAAAGGAGTCTATGTCTTGATGAGTGGTCTGGATCTGGAGAGGCTGGTTCTGGCCGCTGGACCGATCGGGTAAGAGTCTGCCTTCAGTCCCAAGCACTCACGTAACTGTGCAGGGGGGTGTTTCACAAAGATCCTAAGTTGTACTTATCTCTAAGTTGGACTTTAATATTATAGAAAAGCCATTAGTAGCATTAAAATAAAATACATTCATATGCAAATATTCAAGTATTTTAGACTTTTCATAAATTCCACATCAAGAACAAGAAATGTCCTTGATAATAGAAAATATGAATGATTTAAATCAACATTTATGCCTTTTAAACTAACTTTTACAAAATATTTTCAAAGATGGTAATGGCTTTCCATGATTTTTAAGTCCAACTTTAATAGAGAAAAGTTCAACTTAGGATCTTTGTGAAACACCCCCCCCCTCCAGGACTTTAGGACAGTGAAACTTTGCGATAAAAAATTCATTGGTACCAAGGTGCCTTGCTACATTGCAATTTATTATAATCATCAGGGGTAAAAAAAAATAATAGAATACAAAGAAGTGGAACAGCAAACCTGTAGAAAAGGGAAATAACTTGAATGAATTATTAATTAAATGCAATATTCAAGATGTGTATTGAAAAATATAAAATAGCTTAATTTGTTCATTCTTATACCCAGAGGTTGTGTGTCTGGACAGGTTGTGTATCCAGACAGTTGATTTAAAGCAAGCAACATGAAGTAGTTTACACACAATATTTCATAAATCTTCTAGCACTTATGTTGGACAATATTCTAAAGGACAAATAATCATGTTAGTGCTATTTGATAAATATTTTTCATACAATCCAAAAGAAGGCTTTATGTTTTGTTAAAATTCCAACCCCACATCTTATATCAAAGTGAGCTTGTCGCATATATATATATATATATATATACATTTGATACACCAATATCTTCCTGAAATCCTGGTATCTAATTTGATCTGGTAACTTTGTGTTTTTTTGGTCACAGTTTAATGCAAGCAGCTTGTGATGTAGCATTCCCATATCTTCATCAAAGAAAGCAGTTTGGTCGACCTATCGGAGAGTTTCAGGTAAGAACATGTAGGGAAAATTGTGGGAAGGAGTAGGGGAAGAAGGAGGATACTTTGGATGGACAGTCTGCAGAAATTGTTGGAAGAGAGAGGAGTGAAAGAACTGGGAGTGGTATGTAGTATTGATATATTGACTGCTTTGAGAGGCATTGCTGTTTCTTTAGGCTCAAGGGGACGTCATTTCAGGATATAACGTCCCCATGAACCAGTATAGTAACAGCTCTGCTTCAAATATTAAAGCAAACAAACAGATCTACAAAGAATTCTCACCTTATTCTTTTCTCGAGTAAAGACTCGTTAAGATATCACAACAAATCTGGGACACTTTCCGTAAATTTTCGATGGAAAGTTGCCTGAATGTAGCGATCAGTAGGGAATCTCGGACAAAAGGGAGGGGGAGGGGAAGGGGAGAGGGAGAGAAAGGGATAGAGAAAGAAAGAAAGAGAATGAGAACAGAAGAGAAGAGAACAGAACGGAAGAGTAGAGAAGGGGAGAGAGAGAAAAGAGAGAGACAGAAGAGGGGGGGGGGGGGGGGGGGGAGATGTCTCTGGAATGATTTTGTTTGCTTTGAGTATATTTAAATAGATTTCTTACTTACATGTATGATAAACCAATATGTGGACTGTATTTTCTTACTAAACATGAAGCTTTCTGTAAGATCTAAAGATCTATTTGTAGATAATTATACAAAGATATGCTCTTCTATTTTCAGTTAATGCAAGGGAAGATGGCTGATATGTTCACGAGGTTAAATTCAATCAGGTCGTACGTCTACAACGTTGCTCGTGCTGCGGATCGGGGTCATGTGAGCGCCAGGGATTGCGCAGGGGTGATTCTTGTAGCCGCCGAGACTGCAACACAGGTCTGCTTAGATGCCATTCAGTGTTTAGGTACGTCGCATCTTCATTTTTTTTAAAGGGCGTTTGCTACATCTTTAGAGATGGGGATAGTAAGAAAATACAAAGTCCTGCATTGATAACCACATTATTTATTCATTGAAGAAAAATGGTTTAAGTCATTCACAAACCGATGTAGGAGATCACAGGACTGGTCTGATGTCACTCTGATTTGAAGCCAATTCGACTTTGCCTCCTAACGGAATCTTACAATTCCCAAAGATTCATATTACTATTCAGCACTCAACATTCAGAAATTTACATGTTCGATTGTTCATATCAGATATTATTGGAAACTCTTAGTCTTACAAAACCGGATCTTAGTCTTAATGTACAACATGCATTGGTCTTTACTGTACTTCAAGACAGATTTTAATGCCATCCTAACCTTGAACTGGTGACGTACAAATTATTTGTTTTAATTTATTATTATTATTATCATTATGAACTGGAGAGGCATCATGTCATCTTATAACTCCCAAAACTAAATTTGTATCAGACACATGTTCATTTAATGTCAACAAATATTTTTCTTAATTTTCCACTTTCTGTTTTGTCAGGGGGTAATGGATACATCAATGACTATCCTACCGGTCGGCTGCTCCGAGATGCCAAGCTCTACGAGATTGGAGCAGGGACCAGCGAAGTCAGGAGACTCATCATCGGACGGTCGTTCAATGAAGAATTCAAATCTACACTCTAAAAATCATCACTTATTATTTTGTCAAGATAAATAGGATTTATATTTCTTTCTTGTCACATAAAAAGGCAAGGAATACAGTTTTTATTTTGATGTCATATTGTTTGTTATTGTTTGTGATGAAAAAATGAAGAAATGGTACAGAGGAGTCACAATGTATCCCTGAGAAATTTGGTGATGTACTGTCAGACTTGAATGCGTTAAGGCTCATTCACATAAACTGGTTTACCGCAGCGTTTTTTTTTAATTGTTGGTGTTTGTACTAAAGGAATGGCAAGTGGGGATCAAAAAAGTATCTGCATGCAAGATTGGTCTTATGGGTACTCACTTATCTGTGTATTAAGATACAAAAATTGTTAAGCACAGTTGTGAATGCCCCGCAGTGGTTCACCACAACCTATGCGAATAAACCCTTGTTTTTAGAAATCAACTTTTCCTAGTCTATTTTTACCCTTGTGATGGGGGAACAAAGATTAGGATGTTTTCCCGTACTTCTTGAAGTCAGTAAAGAATGCAGTTTTTGGCTTTATACACTGGTTAAGAATTTGATATTGTCAATCATGTTCTGGTTGATTGTATATTGCATTGGTTGAAGAGATGCAGGGCAGGCTTTAATAGCATAATATATGCATTATTCACAGAATTGCCCAGATAATCTTTCCTGTAACCCGATTGCGTTTTTCTTGCGACACCTGTCATCATTACATGTACATAAAATGCAATAAAAATGTAACGCGAGCATCCAAAGAGTATAGTTTTCTCAGAAGAAGGAATATCAGCATTGATACATGTATGTGCAGAGAGAAAAAATATTGAATCAAATTTCTAATGTATGTAGCCTTTAGCTCAGGAGTTTATAATGTTTATAACTTACAAGGGAACTGCTCGTACATTAATGTTTACAGATCAATGTTACATTGTACACAAAACATGTAATACCAAAATCAAATGACATATGACCATGTCATGTGTAGGAGGAGAGATTTCTCAAAATTAGATAATCAGTCTCAGAGAAAAGTTTTGTATTTTAAAGGTGCCTCTTTGTTTGACTAATGACATGAAAATGATATTCTGTAGAATATAATTCTTCTTCTTCTGTAGAAGTACAGGCCACCGTGTTGTCAGTGTATCTTTGTACTCTTAAACTTGTGCAGTTACATGTACAGTGCTGTGGAAGATCTAATCTATGTGCGGTTAAAAAGAACAAGCGCAATCCTAGCGCAACTGTGTATAATGCACCTCAGTCTTAAAGCTGGCAACTGAGGTGCAGGCGATTGTACTTGCAGGGAGACGTCCCACAGTCTGATGGTGGCATCTATCTATTTATCAATGTCCCGTAGCTTGGAAGCCGTTGGGGCAGCAATGAAATTGTATTGAGACACTGGTTCTCTATAACCTTCTGTCTTCACCTGTTCAAGTTAGCTGCTCAAATGACATGCCCGTCCACTGCTCGATGTTATCAGTCCATGTCCTAGTTAGTCTGCACCTCCTTCTACTTCCATCAGTTCCTCCTTGCAAGATGGTGTTTGCCAAGCTACTCTTCCATCTAGGTACATGCTCAAACCACTGTAGCTGTCTTCTTTTCACAGTTGTGATGAGGGAATCATGTTCCCCTATATAGCTCTCTGTTATCTCTCTCACTTTCTTGTTGGACGTATGCAAAGTGCAGCGGATATGCTCGAGTGAATACTCAGGACTTCTGTAACTTATCAGGTTATTTATCAGATTATAAAGCCATGCAATGCATAACATTGAGCTGTATTGAGTGTTACATACGTACACTGTGACAGTGTATAAAGGAAAGCTATGAATATATAATGATATTTTTGATGGTGTGCTATTGTACAAATTATTGATAAGAATGGTGTTGTGGTAATATCTTAATCTTTATGACTTTCCTATAATTTGGTGGTTATGGCCTTCTTCATACATGTATGTGACATGGTTAATGCAGTCTGTCATAAGAAAATCACACAAAGAGCGCTCCCAACAAGACAATAAAATCATGAATGGAGGTTCATTAGTGTAAATTGTTGAGGTTTGACCGGCAATGATTTTCAATGCCCTTAACAGTGGAAACTCGTTATAATGAGAAAATTGGGACCATGAATATTACCATGTTAGTATATCAGGTGTTAAAGAATACCCCCCCCCCAAAAAAAAGAGAGCTTGACCGGCGAAATCACCTTCATATGAATGTATATCTTGTTGTATCGGAGCTCTTCCAAATGAGTTTCCATTGTGAAAAAAAGGAATAGAAAAAAAAATATCTTTCTTCATAGTGGGTACTCTTACAATAAACATGTATAGACATGTGTGCATGTAGGTTGTTTGGTGGGTAATTTAATCAATTAATTAAATGCTGCCTTGTTTTGGTCCTATAATTTGATAATTGTTAGGGTTGTTTTGATATGTCAGGGTTAAACTTTGTCTAGGGTATATTTAATTCCTGTGTCCCAGACAGATCTATGTGTCCATTTAAAATCATGTACTATATAAGTGGGCTCAGAGTGATGTCTTCCCCGCGAAATAGCTTGTGCATTTTTCTTATTTTTTTGTTTTTTTGTTTCTTGAAAGCAAAGTGTCTTTTCTGTGAAGAGACCTGGCCTGGTGGAGTCAAAATTAGGTTTCGACCTGAAATACACCTATGTTTCACTATGAAATAGTTGTATTCTTGTTTCTTGTAATTCAAGCTGTGATGCTAAGAGGCTACATACTAAACAAAAATCTATTAAATGAGAATATAAGAAAAATTGTATCATGAAAATCTTTTCTTCATTGGACTCTGAGTTTAATTAGTTTACGACACAGAAATAATGGGTCAACTTTACTGAGTGGTTTTAAGTCTTGACTGAGTATATTTAAGGTCCAGGGGCTGCTTTCTCAGTTCATTGGAATCCAATAGAGTACTGGAGTGTGAAGTCATAATGGCCAAGTTGTAAAGGTCGCTGGTTCCAAAATATTATGTGCTAAACAATGGCATTGTGATCCCACCAGCGCCAAACACCGAATTATCCCTGTTGCCTGAATGATTTTGAGGTGAACCTCATGCGCAGGCTCTGTAGTTTGGAAGCAGTAACCTGGACGATGAGGGAATGTTACTTTAGCACTAAGGTTCTCTATCAAAAAAACATGCTAGTTGTATTAATATGTATTTCTATGGGATATCCAAGAACTTATAAAGTAGCTTTACGGCAGAAACTGAGTTATTCAGTTTCCAAATGCCTTTGAAAAGAATATTCGTTTCTTTAAAGCCCCACTGCACTGCTTATAGTTACTAGCGCCCTCTATTTAGCAAACAATGCAACCCATGATCCTCTTTTTCTTATGTTAATTGAGACCTGATTTGATGAGATATAACCACCTGTCGGTGACCTTGCAGGGAGGTCTAATCCCTCCTGGCCAAACTAGTACAGATGAGCTTTCAACATTGTATAGGAGACTTATATTATTAAAATTATATTGAATATCAATCGCAACTCTCTTTTGAAGACGGGCCTGTTTTCAAAGTGACATCCATTGATATAGCTGTTAATGTAAAGGGCAGAAGAAGAAGTTATTTGAAAGAAATGACACAAAGCAATATAGCGTCTTGAATTTTCATCGTTCTTGGTTGGCATTTGCATTATATTGAAATATTTATAATTGAAAAATTAACAAAAATAAAATATTGCAATGGGCAATACTTCCAGCTAGAGCACTCCTAAGCTCACTAAGGCGGAAATCTTCATTTCATACATTTTCCTCGTACTTTATGGCAGGCGAATTGTCACCGTCTAATTATCTATAGAAGGACCCAATCATAATAACGGCGAGTCAGAACAACATCTACATGGCAAGTTTAGCGCAGAGAGTTATCCGGGCAAGTCCAACAATATTGCCCAAATTCTGCCGTGCTGCATCTCCGTTGACGACATCATGTGGCAGAAAATCATCAAGTGGTGTTAGCACCTTCTTCGAAATCGACGATGTCGTATCCGGGCTCACAGAAGAAGAGATACAGGTCAGTGCAATGAAGATCATGCTGTCCAGTAGAGGTAAGGGGAAAGGGGTGTGGCGTGGCGGAAAGTCCCCCAGAGTTGCGGGGAGATCGAAACCTGCCGTCCGGTGGATTTGTACTCGCCCGCGGGTGTAGGCGAGGTCATATAGTTCTCGAGTCAATATCTAAGTGATACTGATAGACCTAAGTGCACTTTGAACTCTGAATAAATACGTGTTGCTTGAGCCTTGATTTATTATATAGTTTATCATGATTATGGTTTGGATCAGGTGCACAGGAAGCTCAGTGGTTAAGACATTTAAATTATGGTCAGATAGGCTAGACCCAAGCATATTTAAAGGTAATACAAAGTTTTGGTAAATTTTTGAAATTGGGTGGGTAGTGAATCTTTACAATTTTGATATATTTGGATGCCCCTGTGGATGTATTATAAGCACTAAAAAAAATAGCCCCTAAAAAATGTCTGTTTTCGAGAAAAATTGAATATAAAAATTTACCGGTGCTCCCGGTAAATTTTGATAAATTTCAAAAAGCGCCTATGGCCGTATATTGGTAGCTGCGACCATGAAAATCTCAGAATATGAAGTTGGGATATATAATTTCCAAACGGGAATATCTAATCGCTCGATTTTAGTCAAGAAACATTGTTTCATAGGTATATTAATATCTTGACCTTGAGAGGGAGCTATACAACATAAAGAGTTTATTATTTATAATTTCATAACTTTAGACTCGATTTCAACCGCGACAACGATCAATGTATATTGTAGGAACGCATATGCTTCCAATATGTTAATTTGAACCAAATTCATGACCCCATACCAAAACTTTGTAATACCTTTAATATTAACCTTTTTTTTTTGGAAGCTCAGGAGTTTTAGGTATTTAATTACAGTCAGATGAGCATCCAGGGGCCCTCATTAGGGCCCCTGGGGCAGAGCCCCCAGAAGCTCAAGGGTTTTAGGTAATTAAATAACAGTCAGATGAGCATCCTTCTAAAGGGCCCTTGATGGGGTCCAGGGGGCAGAACCCTTGGAAGCTCAAGGGTTTTATGCATTTAACTACGGTCAGATGAGAATCCAGGGGCCCTCATTAGGGCCTCTGGGGCAGAGCCCCCGGAAGCTCAAGGGTTTTAGGTAATTAAATAACAGTCAGATGAGCATCGATCCTTAGGGCCCTTGATGGGGTCCAGGAGACAGAGCCCTTGGAAGCTCGAGGGTTTTATGCATTTAATTACGGTCAGATGAGCATCCGGCCGGGGCCCTCCTTAGGGCCCCTGGGGCAGAGCCCCCGGAAGCTCATGGGTTTTAGGTATTTAAGTAGTCAGATGAGCATCCAGGGGCCCCCCGTGGGGCCCTTAGTGTGGTCCAGAGCCCTGTAAGCTCAGGGGTTTTACGCATTTAATTACGGTCAGATGAGCATATTTTGATACCCCATTTTTGACACTGGTAGGTAACTCATTTTATTTCTCTTTCTTTGAAAAAAGAGTGAGGGGGTGAGTGTTCGAGCCCCCGAGCCCCGCCGTTTGGCAGGCCATGACATGAAGGCTTATAAATACACATATTTTTGGCCTGAATGTAAATTTGGGAATTTCTAATTTTCCAACAAACGCATAAAAAAGTATAATTTACAAAAAAAAAAGAGAAAAGAATTAGAAATACGCCACGTTCAGTGGCTCATGTCTTCTCACCCCTATAATAAAAATCAAAAAACGCTTTCACAATATTTTGATGATATGCGCGTATGGCTTTTATAAAATCCTCCATTGATTAATAAAGGCCATGCGGAAGGTTACGAAATTTAATTCCTGTTTGCTCTCCTTTTCTTTGAACTGTATATCATTTTTATGTTATTCAATTCAGGTTTTATTTTAGACTGTTACAGTGCATGAAGGAAGATGATGACATCATCCATCAACTACCCTTCAAAGAGTTTAGAAATATGGACGGATTTGAAACTCTTCTCTTTTGAATACATGTAGTAGTGGAGATAAGAAGTGAAAAATATAGTAGACTTGCCGAATGATAAAGCTTGACACTATTGAGGATTAAGTCCTAAAAAAATGATAGACAAGAGAAAAGGCTTTTACATTCATGTACATTGTACATATTTTTGTACGAGTATGTAACGTTAGTAACAAGTAAGATATAATCGATAATTGTTACATTTTGAATATTAATTAAGCCCCTAAAATCACACTCAGCACAGTCACGAGGATATAGAGGATTAGCAATTACTTGTTCATTATCTCATTATCAGATAAAGTTGACCAAAGGTTAGCGATATCAACTTCAACAAACAGCTTTGTCAATGTAAAGGCTATCTAAAGTGGTAAGGTAAGGGCACTTTTTTCTGAAACGTATTTTACAATAAATGAAATTGGAAATGTATTACGACATCCAAATGTATAAGTATGTGTACATTGTAGGGTACCAAAGTGCTACATCACATTTGCTCCTTCTCCCTTGTACAAACTTTTTCTTTGCCATCTGTAAAGTTGTGGGTATGATTTCAAGATATAGGGTGCCGAGTTTTCATAACCAAGTTGTCATAATCAGTGATCACACCAGCCCCAAACACAAAATTTGCCTGTTGCTTGATTGATTTTGCATTGAACCTCATGTGCAGGCTCAATGTTAACTTGGACGAGAAGCGAATATGACCTTAGCACTATGGTACTCTGTACGGCTAATGATAAATTTCCATCACTTTTAATAGTGATATAGTAGCAGGCTAAACATGTTCCACATTATGAGAGGTTTTCTTTTTAAAAACATAGAATTTAAAACAATCAGTTGAACAGTATTTCACTGGCCATCCCCTGTAAAAAGTATCACATGCAATTGTACAGGTACACAGTTTGTTCCCTACCTAGTAGAAGAAAATTTCCAACCCAAAAGAAGTTGCTTCAAAGCCAAAAAATCGGAGAAATAAATAATTAAAAAGGAAATGATATTTCCTAAGAAATGATGTGGGATCTTGTGTTTTAACATACTTGTTAAAGTTCATTCATAAGAGATTGATAAATTGGAATGTACATTTAACAAGTGGATTATGTACACTATCAATGAGACTTGTTCTAAACGGTGATTATATTTTACCAGTTTTTTTATTCTCATTGATTTTTCTATGTTCTACTTTGCAGTTGAGGGAGACTGTGTTCAAATTCGCTAAGGAGCATGTCTATCCCATCGCCGCCGAGTTGGATAAGACAGACAATTTTGTCGGAATGAGGGTGAGTATGATGAATATACAGTGCGTCCCAGAAAAAAAGGAAACCATGAATTATCGATGTTTTATCATAACTTAATCACAATTATAATTAATAAATGACACATATTTGTAAAGCTTAGATCCTCATCTTTCATGTGATGCAACTTATATTATTTATATTTCATGCATGAGTGATTAAAATTAATTTGAAGAGAGGGTACACCTAAAAGTCATTTTGCAGGTGGTATCTGAATTTCAAAGAGAAAATCATATTTCTAAAAAGTTCATTTTCTGCCCTTTCATATGACACCTCAATGAGGAAAAATGAGCCAGGAATAACAAAGTTCAGTTTGTTTAAAGAAATGCTTGCATTTCCATAATTTGATTAAACAAATTTGTTTTCACTGGCTGCCTGCCGTAGCAACAAACATAGTTGACAAAAGACTTAACTCTGTTTCGTTGACGATCAGCCATGCATCATGACTTTAGTCTTCTTTGTGAAAGAGGAGGATCTAAGCTTTACAAATAGGTGTCATTTATTAATTATAATTGTGATTAAGTTATGATAAAACATCAATAATTCTTGGTTTCATTTTTTTTCTGGGACGCAATGTAAAAGAAAATCGCATCAATTGAAATTTGGGTGTACAGGGCAATGATGAGAATACCATGGATTGATTTGAAAACTATCTGAGAAACTTTGCATATGGCAGGTCTTAAAGATAAAGGCCATTTATGGTTATGCGATTAAACTGTGAAAGAAACGTTGTGAAATCAGTCAGAAAAGGTTGATCATCTAGCATATAAGTATTGGTGTGTAGGCCTACTGCAAGGTTCTGGAATCACCAAAATGATAAGAAATTTGGCGCAGTCTTAGTAAAGTTACAAGCACTGTACATAGAAAGATGTATATGTGACTACACGACATGTGCGCGATATCTATCAGGTCCAAAGATATAATAATTTACCAAATATATCAATTAGTAGGCGGTTTCTCTGCAAAATTTGTATCATCACGTATTAGTCAAAACATATTCTTTCACATGATTGGTTATAAGAGCTTCCATTTAATTTTTTGAGAGGGGGGCGTTTCCAAAACTGGTCTTTACCTTTAACTGAACTGTCCTAAAAGGACTAGTTTGGCAAACATCATGTTGCCAGGAGGGTCTGATGGGAGAGGAAAGGATATGGACTGAAACACCAAGCAGTGGAGAAAATGGCATTTGAGCAGCTACCTATAAAAAAGCTGAAAACAGGAAGTTATGGAGAACCTTTGTCTCAAGGTCCATTTCAATGACACCCCAATAGCCTCCAAGCTATATGGGAGAAATCTAGATACCGGTAGATAATAGTAAGATTAAACGAGAACTTACCGTTTGAAGTTTGATCTTTATTTTATGAATATTTAGGAGGAAGTTATTACATGAGATCCCGCCAAGCGCATGCGCAGTCAATATTCAAAGCTACAAATGTGGCTACTCTCAATAGTAAGGAACAGGGAACTTACACTTAAGTTTGAAGTTTGGGTGGGTGAGGAGGGCATGTAATAACTTCCTCCTAAATATTCATAAAATAAAGATCAAACTTCAAACGGTAAGTTCTCGTTTAATCTTACTATTTTATTTCATATTTCGTCGTTCGAAATTACATGAGATTTTGAAGCATAGTAGTCACATTTGGAACAACCAACATGTACGGAAAAGTGAACACTGATTATGCAGATTGAATTGAATGCTTCTAATCAATGACTCACTATATTTGACAGTTATTGTAGTCTGTTCATACATGTGGCAAAACATTTCACATACAAGACGTCCATATATAAGATGTCATAATGTTGCAAAAACATTGTTCGTTTCTGTATCTAGTTTATTCTAGCCATCTGGTTTCTTAATCCCAGTTCTATTAAATAGACAGCTGGTCTCTTAATGCCAGTTCTATTGAAAAGCCTTCTGATGCAGTTCTTAAAGCAGTGTGCTATCTTGTAAGACTGCCTGGGTAAAGTTTCTCTTGTTTTCAAAAGGTTTCCTGTAGAACTTCCTAAACGTTTTCTCTGAAGACCATCCTGCTCGGGCTAGGATCTGGTCCATTGGAAGTGCTGCCTTGGCAGCTGCTGAAGTTGATGCTGCCCGCGTTGAATGAGCCTTATAAACGTTTGTATCCACACCTGCTCTTTGCAAGCAGGTCTTGATCCAGCGAGATAAGGTTTGAGTTGTTACTCTATTATGAGGTCTGGTGTAACTTACAAAGAATGAGTTCTCATTCCCACGAAGTGGTCCTGTGCGCTGGACATAATGTTTCACATATTTTACAATACACAATCTTCTATCAGGTGGATATGCTTCCAATTTAAAATTAAAATCGGTATTTCCTGGTTTGCTTTGCTTCAAGTGTTCATCCAAATGAAAAACCACAAAGCCCCCTTTCAGGGTCATCTTGTTAGTCTTCAATATATGCAAGGTTTGCACTCTCTGTGCCGATACAAGAGCCATTAGCATACATACTTTGAGTGTTAAATCTCTGAGGTTTAAGGAGTTTACTGGAGACAATTTTCTTAGAAAATTGAGGACTGGACTAATATTCCATATTTCTGTCTAGGTACGACAGGTCTGAGTTGAAAAACACCTCTCATCAGTCTGGTGATAAGTGGGTGAGTACTTATTGTCTGATTACTGTCAATGAGAATCAGAAAAGTGGATAAAGCGCTACGAGCTGTATTGATCGCACTGTAGCTAAGGTTCCTGTCATGAAATAAACTACTAAGGAATTCTAGTACCGTTTCCACCTCTGCTTGGAGGTAACTCGTATTCCTGCTGTGGCAAAATCTTCGCCACTGTGTGATGTACACTTGGTACTGCTTGCAGGTTGATGCTCTCCATGAGGCTGTAATGATATCCACTGTTCGTCTGCTTAGTCCCCGATTCTCAAAATGTTGCCGCATAACCTGCAACATAAGAGGTCAATATTAGCATTAAGAGGGTGGGTGGTGTTTAACACAGGAAGGAGTAGCAAATCTTCTTGCCTCTGGATAAACAGTGGCTCTCCTTCCATCATGCTAACCAACTGAGGGAACCACGCCTGAGTAGGCCAATTAGGGACCAGAAGTAACCCTCTAGCTTTATCCTCTCTGATTTTTTGCAAGCATTTGGGGATCATACAGAACGGTGGGAATGCATAGAATGCAAAAGGTTTCCAATCTAGCGTAAATGCGTCAACTGCAAAAGCCCCAGGGTCTGGGTGCCAAGTGACATATTTCTCTACTTGAGCATTTAGTCTCGAGGCGAACAGGTCTATTTCTGGTATACCAAAGTGGGAAACTATTCTATCGAACACTTGTCTGTTTAGTTTCCATTCTGTTCGATCATTAAATTTCCTGGATCTTTCATCTGCTATAGTATTGAGCCGACCAGGTACATGGGCTGCGGAGACCCAAATATTTCGAGAAATGCACCACTGCCAAATTTCTCTCGTCATCTTGTCACACATTGCGGACTTGCAGCCTCCCATGTGATTTAAATAAGCCACTGCAGTGGTATTATCTATTCTTACCATCACATGAACGTTACGCTTATTCATGCAAAAGGATTTTATCCCCAACCCAGCGGCTAGGGTTTCCAGGAAATTTATTTCATTGTTTCTTGCCCTTTCTGCCTCAAATTCATTCCAACGACCCCCTGTTTGCTTCTGGAGGTCAGTAGCTCCCCATCCAAGGCCACTGGCATCTGTGTGCAATTCTAAGTCAGGTTTTTTCCTAACAATTGGGGAGGAGGCCATAGAAACATTGTTCATCCACCACTTTAACTCCTCTTTTGCCTCAAGGGACAACTTCATCTTTCTGTCAAAATGACCCCTGTTTTGTCTGAGGGCTGCAATTTTGTCCCTTTCCATTGATCTATAGTATAAGGGGCCATACTCAACCGCAGGGAAAGTTGCTATGACCTTCCCAATCACTCGTGCTACCATTCGTATTGATGGGAGGTACGTGCCCATTAATTCACGGCATAAATCTTTCACTTCTTGTGCCTTTGTTTGAGGCAATTTAACAATCATACTCTCAGTGTTAAGAATGAAGCCAAGAAAGGCTAGTTCACGTGTTGGGATGAGCACTGATTTTTTAGTGTGAATGAGGAATCCTAATTCTGAGAGGATCTTGGTTGTTGCACTCACACTCTCTTTCAGCTTTTCTTTTGTTTCACCAATAATTATGGTGTCGTCCAAATATCCTATGACTGTATGACCTGCTTGTCGCAGTTCGGCAAAGACTGGCTTCAGCAATTTTGTGAACAGTCTGGGGGCTGTGCTGAGCCCATTAGGTAAGGCTGCAAATTGCCAGCGCTCACCCTGCCACATGAACCTCAAGTATTTTCTACTATTTGGGTCTACTGGAATGGAGTAATAAGCATCTTGGAGGTCGATTGATGCAAGATAACAGTGCGGAGAAATCAAGTGCTTGGCAGTGTGGATGTTATCCATCTTAAAGTGTTGTACATTCAGACTTTGATTAAGCTCTGATAAGTCTAAGATCATACGAGTACCCCCATCTTTCTTGGGTCTCGTGAAGATGTTTGAGAGGAATTCTCCCTCTTCAAATGAGCAAGGTTCTATTACGTTTTTTGCTTGTAGAGCCAAGATTTCTTTAGTAATCTGATTTATTTCTAAAGGGCTCTTTTTGTAACCGTAGAGGGGCTTATTTCTTGAGGGAACCCCTTTCGAATAATCAAATTCGATCTCATAGCCTCGCACTGCCGATAGCAGAAATAGATCTGACGTTAATTCACGCCATCTACGATAGAAATATATCAATCGACCTCCAACAGGCACATTTGAGATGCATTCTTGTTGTAATGTACATGAAGTAGAAGGAGCATTAATCTTAACATTCTCACAATATTCATATGTGCTACTTACCTCTTTGGGTAATGGTGTAGCTATTTCCTCCTTGCTGCCTGTGGCCGCTGGAAGGATTGGGTCTGTTTTCCCATGCTCATCGTCTGGGTGTGAGGCGGAGCTCTGTATGGTCTGCCTCGTTGGGTTCGCTGGCCTAAAAAAGGCGTGTTGTAGTTCCCACTTGCGGGCCTGCTACTTGGAAAAGTTTGTGATGTGCCGGTGGCACGGTTCCATCCTTGTCTGCGGTATTAAGAAATTCTGGACGCTTGCGTCCTGTACGGATGGTACTGGGGGCGGGGTGTACGTTGTCCACGCACCACGCCAGATGCAGCTTTTTGTTGTTCTGTAAGATCTTTGACTCTCTTTGTTAAGTCATCGCCAAATAAGTACTGACTCACTGGTGTGGCAGGTTTGCAAAGATGTGCGTACTTGGCATTTAAGTCTGGCTTAATCTGATCTTTGCGTAAGCAGTTGATTTCAAAGTTTGTGTTACACAGCAATGCCAATGCATCCTGTTGTGTCTCAGATAGGCTATCGGGGGACAGAGTTTGAATAAAAGCTGTGAGTCCCCTTGTCAAAGGCTTTTGGATTCTTTGCAGTTTCAAATCACGGCTTCTCGTTTGCGAGGATAGGTTTTCCCATATTGCTGCATTCACTTTGGGGCAACACAGTGGAGTACAATTGCTTGGAGGAGGGTATTTCCCTCCAGCTTCCTCCAACACATTTTCCTCTAGCTGGTGGGACATGAGGTACATGGCAGACTTTGCTAAATCATCGTGGATCGCGCCACCTACCCCAGTGGGGATAGCAAATTTCTGAGCCAGGGCAGGAACTTTGTCCTCATTCTCCTGGTCTAAACCTGGTGCAACAGTTTCGTTGACATCACCCTCATCCATGCTGCCAATGTCATATGACGTAGGGCATTGGCCCATGTTTCCAGTGTCAATATGCTCAGAATCATCATCATCATGTTCAACTTCACGAAATCTCACGTTCGTCGCAGCTGTATATGCTGTCGGTGGTGTATCCCCTGTGGGGCGAGTTGCAGATTGACAAGGCAAAAAATCCACCATTCTCTCCATTAAGGATTCCAATTTGTCAAGTCTTCCTCGTAAATCCGTGAAGTCCTCCTTTTCTTCAGGCTTTTTGCCCTTCTTTTTAGGCCCAGAGTTCTTAGACTCATTCAAGGCAGGCTTTGCCAAGACACTTTTGCGTTTCGTATCGGAGGATTTCACTGCCGATGAGCGCTTTGGCTCAGGCTTCGTAGAGGGGCCCGTGGCGGTTTCGCCCGGGGAAGTTCCAGCTTTAGCCGTGCTCAGCGTTTCGCTGGTTTTCTGCTTGGTTTTCTGCCTGACGGAGACGCCATCGTGTACGTGGAAATCGGAACAAAACTTCGATTTTGATATAAAAACAGCACAGATTCTCAAAAGTCTTCCAAAAACATGAAAAAGGAGAGTTTCTCTCCCTAATGAAGTATTTTTTCGAAACCGCTGGTCCGAAAAAACGCCGAAAATTAGGTATATTTGACTGCTGAGGGAAAGTTACTTTCCCTGTAAAATTCAATTGCGCGGCGAATTGGCTGCGCATGCGCTTGGCGGGATCTCATGTAATTTCGAACGACGAAATATGAAATAAAATAATAATAATTATAATAATAACTAGATTTGTAATACTTGTTTGGAACAAGTATAGGTGGGCTGGTCCAACTAAAATTTGAGACAAAATGAAGGGCACATTTGAGATATCTTATTGTCTCAGCTACAACAAACTCGAAGTACAGCGTAAACGAAGCTAAAACGACGTAGATATTGCTCGCGAAAGACGGGAATGTAGAACCGAGTTTTGAGAAAAAGTCATGTCCCTTAGAGAATACACGCTAAATGTGAAAAATTGACATGCCTCCTTTAATCGCAAAAATACGCCATGATGCCTTTGTCAAAATAAAGAATAATTGCAACTGCATCTGTAGAAAATTGTCTCAGCTAGAACGTATCAAAATTTGGAAGAAAATCGATCAATATTTACAGAGATACAATCAATTTTCTATAAATATGCTGACGTCATAATATGCAAATTTGAATTTTGAGTTCGGAGGCCATTATGATGACGTCATGAGTTAATTGAGGATCAAATGAGACATGAACAAATATCTCCGCATCATACTCTATTAAAATATGAAAAAAATTGGCGTCACCTTGCATTCTAAAGAGCTACAATGGATTTTGTATAGGCATGTTTTTGCCCATATATGCTATGTATTACAAGAGCTCGCGCGCACGGAAATTTTGTTTAACGGTCGATCATTCCGTTTTTAATAGTCATAAAGAAACAACCATGGCATCTATTTGTTTGTAAAAATATGTAGAATATTATGAAGAAAAAAAAATGGCGATTCTATGTTGTGTAATAGTTTTACGCGCGAAAACGCGCGCGCATGTGCGTGTGCGCGGTTTTTATAAAATGCTTAAAATGACCTCAAACGTATGCAAAATGATTTTGAGACGATTTTGAGCATTTTAAAATTTTGCTCGCGCATTGACGCGCGGACGTACGCGCACGCGCGCGTTCTTTGACCTGAAATTGACCGGACGGATATTGACCTTGATCATGATAAATATGAATGAGAAATAACTTTTGGTTATGAAGATATGATCATGAGTTGATTTTCGTAAAATTTTACAAAATGGCGCCTAGATGACGTCAACAGTGAAGGTCAATGTTGAAAACGTTATTGTGCTTTGTACATATGCCTATACATATGTGTGCTAAATTTCAAGGCTTTTGATTGAGCCATTTTCAAGTTATCCTGCCAACAAAAAAGTGGTTAGAAATAAGAAAAATAAATAATAAATAAATAAATAAATAAAGGCAATTCTAACGAAATTATAAGGTGGTCTGTACGTTATACAGCCCACCTGATAATAATAATAATGGGTTCTTGTATAGCACTTGTGTCAGTCAGATTTGACCCTCTTGGCGCTCCCGATCAGATAGATAGATAGATAGTAAGCTTGATATAGATATATATACACTGTAGATAGATAAGACTAGTTAAAAAGAAACCTTACATGTATGTAGTGTACACTTACTTGATTACACAAAATTAACGGCCCTGTTGCCATCTCCGTATTACATACATGTATGATTGAATTTTAAAACTCCCTTCCCTCATTCTACAAGCATGCACTGCTTCCAAATGAATGTATTTTGTATTTGGCAGCAGTCATTTTAGTTAGTGTCCTTAGAGAAAAAATATATATGTTAAAGCCCATCTGTACTAGTGAACAGGAAGGATGAGACCACCCTGCAAGGTCACTGGACAGGTGGTTATCTCATCAAATCAGCTCTCAATTAACATAAGAAAAAGAGGATCATGGGGGACCAATGGTCACCGATTATGCATTGTTTGTTATAGAGGGAGCAAGTGGCTATCACTAGTGCAGTGTGGCTTTAAGAGTTAAACAAATTATATGTTGAGCTTCTTGGTTATATGATATCTCTCTTTCCTTTCTTTAATGCTTGTACATGTATCCTATCTTCTTGGTGTTTAATCAGGAATTCTGGAAGAAGGCAGGAGAAATGGGTTTCCATGGCATTACAGCACCAGGTAAACAACAGCAGTGAAATCTACTTATTGCTATTTAATTTTTTGTTTGTAGGTGTCAAATAGCAAGTCTTTTACTGATACACTATAGGTTGTCCAGTTAACTGAGTTAGTTGTGATGGAGCAGGTTCAAGGCTCTTTTCGTAATGTTCATACCGTATAATACCTACCTGGTACACCCGGGGCCCGTTTCACAAAACTTCTTATCAGTGACAAATGACAGTTTATGTTATAAGCTACTGAAATCCTTGCTTCTGATTGGTTATCAGCAGATTTGTCACTGACTTTTGTCATTTGTCATTGAAACAAGGCTTTGTGAAACGGGCCCCAGGTTGGGCAGTGACCAGATTGGTTCATCGATATACAGTACATGTACATGTACATGTAGCAGAGTGGACGTTGAGTTGGTAATCATTAGCTGTTGTATAGAGTACCGAAGCTGTGACATCATAGAAATCGATTTTTTTTTTTTTTTTTAAATTTCTCAATTCTGTCTTCATTTTCCGAAAGAGCATTAAAAATAATTGTCTGAATGTCGAAAACCAATTGAATAGGTTTTGGCTGAGATATGATGACCATCTGAATAAATAGATTTCCTATAGGAACTCAATATTGCTCTGGTAAACATTACGTGGAGCAATATAACACTGAGTTCCTATAGGACACCTATTTATTCAGATGGTCATATCTCAGCCAATACTTAATATATTCAATCGGTTTTCGACATTTGGACATTATTTGTTATGCTCTTTCAGAAAATGAAGAAAAAATTGAGAAATTCAAAAAATATATTTTTGATGATGTCACACTTCACCACTCTATAATTGTTGTACAATTGCATAGTTTCATCTTCATCTTCTCTTTGCAGTTGAGTATGGTGGAGTGGGAGGCTCCTACATGGACCAAGTCCTCATCCTGGAAGAGATCTCCCGGGCGTCGGCTTCGGTTGCACTCTCCATGGGGGCACACTCCAATCTCTGCATCAACCAAATGGTGCGCAATGCCAGCGCTGAGCAGAAAGAGAAATACCTACCGGGCGTGAGTACAGGGTATACATTTTGTAAAGATTTGTTAATGTTAAAGTTAATATGATTACATTATAATAATACTGGTTCCTTTATAGCACTTTATCATTAACTGACCAAAGCCTTACATTACTCTTACCCCGGTTACTTGATTCAATTACTATTCTGCTTATTACAGTGCACATTCTACACTTCCTAGGGAGCATTCCACCTGGTTGCCTTTTTTATGAGTGCGTACATGCGTATCCAGAGAGGGGGGAGAGAGAGAGAAGAAGAGAGAGGGGGGGGGGGGGGGGGGGGGGGGGGGTGGGGGGGGGTGGGGGGGGGGGGGGGGGGGGGGGGGGGGGGGGGAGAAAGAGAGAGACCAAGGCTCGACATTCCAAACAGGTTGACTGTTCATAATCTGGAGACTGATTACAAACTTTTCATACAGAAAACTTTGATAGGCGGGGTAATCATAATAACATGAAGTTTCAGCTTCTACCAACCTTAAAATTTTGTAAGCGAGCTTTTGTCAACTCCTATGGACTTTCTCAAGCCAAGTGATTATTCACACGGTTTCTTGCTGCCTACTTGACATTTATTAATTGTTTTGTTTGAATTGTAGCTGATACGAGGGGACCAGATAGGAGCGTTGGCAATGAGCGAGTCTGGAAGTGGATCAGATGTTCTCTCAATGAGATTGAAAGCTGAGAAAAAAGGTACAGGGGAGTGTTTCACAAAGACTAAGACCGACTTTAAGTTGGACTTAAACTATGGCAGGTTGTTCATGCCACTAGTTCCAATAACCATTCCTGGCATTGGTTTCTCAAGGGACGTACAAATCATGGTCACAAATCTGCAGAATTTTCTCCTTCTTTTTTGTTCATAATCGAAGGAAAAAATATTATCTAAAGATCATAATTGAGAGACCAACAGTGAGAGCAAACAGTGGTATGAATGGCCTGCCATAGATAAGTCCAACTTAAAGTCGATCTTAGTCTTTGTGAAACACTTCCCAGGTCATGCGATTTTACTGCTACATTTAAACTGTGTAGAATGCTTACCCTATTGGTAAACTATACAAATTGGCTTCCAGTTTACACTGACAGAATGCGATATCAGTTACTTGTTCACACTTATAAGTCTATGTCAACCACACTCCTTCTACATCTTCTCACACTTTCAGCAACAGAGGGCATCATATTTACTTCAATCTACATAAGCTCTCCTCCCTTTTTTTAACTCCCAAATCCTGAAAACTGGCTGGCTTCAAACTATGCAATAAACTCCCTGCATTTTTTAATTAAAAAATCCACTTCTGAAAAACCTACTTCTACAAATCTTAATTTGTTTATAGACTATAAAGGAGAAGCACTTTGTATTCTCTGGAAAAGGCACTATATAAATCCAGTTAATATTGTTACTAATATTGTTAGTAATATTGTTAGAAGTCTTTTGAGTAGCAGATTGTGTAGTACATGTAGATAGGGTCAATTTTGGTATTGTTGGGTCTATAATCTTTAAAAGTTTAAAGACACTATCCATTGAAAATACAACTTTATATCAATAGAAATCTGAATGAACATGAAAATACAAATAAAGAAGGACCACAAATATTTTTCCTTTCAGTATTGCACAAAAACAAATTAAAACCTCATTTTCCTCCCCCTCCAAATCGCTAGTCAACAGGGGACAAATTTGCCGCAGTTACAGTGACTTCATTACAGGTGGACCAGATCAGCCTATATAGCTGAGCTGATGAGCCGTGTTTAAAGGTAAAGACCAGTTATGGTCATGCGATTGCATTGTGAAAGAAACGTTGTGGAATCCATCAGAAAAGGTTGATCATTTAGCATCTAGCATCTGCAAGCTTCTGGAATCATCAAAATGATAAGAAATTTGGCCCATTCTCATAAAGTTACAAGCACTATACACAGAAAGATGTATATGGGACTACCCTATATCTCTCACAGACCATGAGAGAAACAAATTTACCAAATATATGAATTAGTAGGCGGTTTCCCGGCAAATTTTTTATCATCATGTATTAGTCAAAACATATTCTTTCACATGATCGGTAATGAGAGCTTCCATTTCATTTTTTGAAATTGGGGCGTTTCCAATACTGGTCTTTACCTAACTAATCTGTCCTAAAAGGGCTAGTTTGGCAAACATCATCTTGCCAGAGGGTCTGATGGGAGAAGAAAAGGATATGGACTGAAACACCAAGCAGTGGAGAAAACATCATTTGAGCAGCTACCCATAAAAAAGCTGAAAACAGGAAGTTATGGAGAACCTTTTTCTCAAGGTCCATTTCATTGTCGCCCCAACGGCCTCCAAGCTATATGGGAGAAATCTAGATAAATAGATAGATAGATAGATAGATAGTAAGCTTAATATAGATATATAGATATATAAGACTAGTTAAAAAGAAACCTTACATGTATGTAGTGTATACACTTACTTGATTACACAAAATTAACGGCCCTGTTGCCATCTTCGTAGACAAACATGTATGATTAAAGCTCCCTTCCCTCATGCTACAAGCATGTACTGTAATGCAATTTATTGTGAATATGCATACTCCACATACAATGATGTCATCGATGATCAAGTCGATAGCTGGTTTTTAGGTCGACAGCTTCCGATTTGCAAAGCTTTAGATTTTGAGTTGTCAGAGAGCTGTTAATCCTCTGACAGATACTAAAATGGCATATAATTGATATTGTTGTTGTCTGTGGCTTATTAGCTTTCCGTTGATAGATAATTCATCCATTTCTTTTTTCCCTTTCTGACAGGGTCATTAAAGGTATAGACCAGTTTTGGAAATGCCCCCCTCTCAAAAACTGAAATGGAAGCTCTTATTACCTAACGTGTGAAAGAATACATTTTGACTAATACGTGATGATACAAATTTTGCCGGGAAACCGCCTACTAATTGATATATTTGGTAAATTATTATATCTATCCAGACTGGATAGATATCACGTAGTCCCATATACATCTTTCTGTGTACAGTGCTTATAACAAGGCTGGGCCAAATGTCTTATCATTTTGATGATTCCAGAACCTTGCAGTACACACCAATACTTATATGCTAGATGATCAACTTTTTCTGATCGATTCCACAATGTTTCTTTCACAGTTCAAAAATGCATTTTCATGATTTTCTCAAAAGAGTTCACTTCACGATTGTTTCCCTCCCTCCCACCTGCTTGTATCTTTAAGGTGATTACTACGTCCTGAATGGGAACAAGTTCTGGATCACAAATGGATGCGATGCCGATGTTCTTCTGGTCTACGCAAAGACAGACTTCAGCGCAGAAGCAAAGGATGGGGTCACAACATTCATCATTGAAAAGGTTGATTAAACAAATTCCTATATGTTTTGATTGTTGTTTGTCCAAAAATACATCCCCACCTGTTTAAAGTCCTTATTCCTTTATAAGCATTGACTATATCTTAACACTGACCCATTGGTAGGTTTAACGCACCTTTTCCCTACACAACAGCCCAAATTATCTTGAGCTTAATATGAGTTCCATGTAATATCTACTTGTAGTTCCTGCAAAACACATTCAATGCGATAAACGATTTGATTTTATGGAAGTATTTTGGACTAATTCAGAATCTCACTTCGGTTAGTGCTAGGACCAGGGGTGATAGTGAGCACTAAAATTTTTTTTTGTTTTCCCCTCAACCACACACCTCTTGAGTAAAAAAAAAAAATAGGATTCGCGGGGAAAAAATGGCATCTAACAACATTCCCCCCCTTTTGAGTAAAAAAATTGGGCAAAAATAGGGCAAAATAGAGAAGAATAGAGAAAATAAGAGGGAAACCAGGAAAATCAGGATCAAATAGGGAAGAAAAAAGAAATTGGGAAAAAATCGGGAAAAATCAAAAAAATCAGGAAACCGATGTAAATCAGGTTTTTATCAGGCCTGGCTAGGACAAGCAAAGAGAGTCTGAAGTCTTACTGGAAGTGGTGTTTGTAGATGGAGGGGAGGGGAGGGGGGGGGGGAATTAAAGCAATGTTTAATTTCCATTTTTACAAAAAGCTATTTTTTGCCACTTTACCAGTACTTAGTAAGTAATGTCCAATCTACCATCATTTTAATTCCAAGATGTGTAAAACTCCTTATCTTTGAATCCCAGATTCACTTAATTTTCATTATTTCTTCACATGTTTTCTGAGATCTAATAGCAAACAGAGTGGTATCACTCGAAGTTAAGCCCAAATAACAATATGCAGGGTACTGCCCTTGACCTCGACATCTAAAGGGGCAAACAGAAGTCCTATTATTTCTTTTATATTTGATCTGTATGTTTAGGGAATGGAGGGGTTCCGTTCAGCTCAAAAGGTAGACAAACTTGGCATGAGAGGGTCCAGCACATGTGAACTGGTCTTTGAAGATTGTAAAATACCAGGTAAGAGGTTGAAAAAATAAAACTTTCTCATATTACAAGCAGGACAGCTTAAAGATATATAAAAGTGGAGTTTCATAGGAATTTGGCACCTTTGGTATTTACCCAATAACTTGTGTCGTCAAGCACCACGATTAGCCTGAAGTTTTATGACCAACAAGCTTTATAAGATGATGAGGTGGATCCTAATTAAATGATTGGTTGAGAGCGTACACGTGACCATGCATTTATTTTGCCTAACACGTAATTTTGATAATGAACGGTCATTATCCAATACTAATGACCGGTCGTTAGTAAAAACATGTTATAAAACATCATCTTATATAACAAATAAAACATATTCTTATAAAACAAATAAAACGCAGCATTTTGTTCGGGCATTAGTAAAATTACCAACACTCGGTACCTTCAAAAACAATCCAAACACGCTCGGCTACCGCCTCGGGCATGTTAGACTGTTCCAAAGGTACCTTGTATAGGTAATTCTTACTAATGCCCTCACTGCTGTGTATTATTTGTATATTATTTAATGCGCTGTCTTTTCCCAACATGGTAAAGTCTTTATCTGACATCTGCACGACCCAGAGACTTTCCGAGAGACGAGGGGGTGTTTGTTGAGTGGACAACGAGTTTGCTGTGTGCAGACTTGTACACCCATTAATGTTTTTTCCATCAAGTCTGGTGTCAGATAAAGTGACTTGAATTTTCTAGTACATTGTATCTTATTTTATATATATACTGGTTCTGGTTTAAAGTTTCGATGAGGGTCTATTGAAAATTTGCAGAACATCAAGATATAAACATATCTAAAAAGTGTAACATACTTGTATTTGAATATTGTGGGTTTCAGTTTAGCTATTATGGATAGAAGCAGACATCATCTCATGAATGTGTTCTTTTTTCTTTTCTTTTGTTCAGTGGAAAATGTTTTAGGAGGAGTCAACAGAGGGGTGAATATTCTCATGAGTGGACTCAACATAGAAAGACTCATTATTGCAACGGCACCCATTGGGTGAGTCAGCTGTGCACATGACGTTACCTTTTCAAACACCCTCTTTGTCTTTCCCTTCTTATATCCTTCCTTTCCCTCTCCTTCCCTTCGGAATCCCCCTTTCTCCTCCACTGTACACCCCATCCCCCTCCTGCCCTTTCCCATCTCCTCTTCCCCTGCCCTGCTCTCCCTCTTCCCTCTCCCCGTCTTCCCTCTCCTGCTCCTTTCCCTCTACCCTATCCCTTCCTATATGTATATACCCTTCCTTTCCCTCTCCTTCCCTTCTGAATTCCCCCTTTCTCCTCCACTGTACACCCCATCCCCCTCCTGTCCTCTCCCAACTCCTCTTCTCCTGCCTTGGCCGTTCTCTTCCCTTGCCTCTTTCTTTCTCTCTGCCCTCTTCCTTCCAACACCCTTCCCTTCCCTCTCCGGCCATTCTGAATCCAACCTTTCTCTCTCCTCTCCCCACTGCCCCTCCCTTCCCATTCCATCTTCCTCTTCCCTCTCCCCTTCCATCTTCCCTTCCCTCTCCCCTCTCCAAACCCTTTACATCCCCTCTTTCCTCCCCCTCTCTCTCCACTTTCTCTTCTGCCCTTCTACACCCTCTCCCTCTCCCCCTTTTCTTCCCTCTCTCCCTTCCGTTCCCTCTCCCCTTCCCCTCCCTCTTCCCTTCCTCCCCTCCCCTCCCTCCCCCTTCCACTCCCTCTCCCTCCCCAATTTCATGACCAATAATGGTTATGAATTGTTTTCCATGCAGAGCCTAGTCCTTTCTTCTTCAAACCCCCCCCCCCCCACTATATAATGTGTCAGTGTTTTATCAGTTAATGTGATTTTCCTCAAGTTTTTGTAATGTTGTTCTGCATTTTGATGACGTCAAAGTATATATGCTACACTGCTGCATTATAAACAATTCAGAGTTATTTGTTCATGTAGATGTAGTGTTTCTGGAAATATGTGTCATAACACAAGAATTCCCTTGAATGTGTGTTGACAGTGACAATCATTTGAATTCTTTATTTAGAGAATATTACTAGTAACCATTAGAATTTAAGCACGTTTTACAGAAAGGTTATTGGTGGCATTAAGAGAGGACGACCTTTGCAGGCAGTGGACAATATTGATGAATATAATGTCATTATTTTCATTTTCCAGTATTATGCAGGCATGTATGGATGTTGCTATCCCATATGTTCACCAAAGGAAACAGTTTGGAAGACCAATTGGTGAATTTCAGGTAATTCCGGTGATGATTATGGTCATTCAAACAGTTGTTAGAACACCCATTGGTTGAATTTTAGGTAATTCCGGTAATTCAAACAATTGTTAATAAAATATGAATGTTGTATTTTTATAATGCTCATTTTTACCACACAAGAGCTACAGGCACTCCAATAATACCCCATCAAATCTTTAAATTTGTTAAAAGATATTTAAAAACTACAGTGAATTTCACATTTCTTTAGGACATATGACAATTTTCTAGCTTGGCACAGGCATTACCGCCGAGCAGCAAGGAGGAGGCTCTGTGTGACTCATGATCTCACAGAGGAAAGGAAAGGAAATATTTTGAAGATGAAACAGACTGGAGTTCAATGATTGCACATCAATATGTCATTTGATTTCAGAGGGATTGTAAGAATCATGTTGTTCATGAATTACATTGAAACAGCGCATAGTGCAAATGTATGCATGATTTTTTTTCCGAAAGAGCATTAAAAATAATGTCAAAATGTCAAAAACCAATTGAATATGTTAAGTATTGGCTGAGCTATGACCATCTCAATAAATAGATTTCATATAGGAACTCAGTGTTATTTTGCTCTGGTTCATAACATTACTTTGGTCTTGTGTGTATCCTGTATAGCTAATGCAGGGCAAAATGGCTGACATGTACAGCCGTCTGAATGCGTGCAGGAGCTACGTATACAACGTGGCCCGAGCAATGGACAGGGGACACATCACCAACAAAAACAGCGCGGCTGTTGCCCTCTTCGCTGCCGAAAATGCAACTCAAGTGGCCTTAGACGCCATTCAATGTCTCGGTAAGCTAATAGCCAATGGGTTGTTTGTTATTAATTTGTCCAGTGTGTGACCCTACCTGTTTATCCAAGGGGTTCTCCCATTGGTTGACCTATTTATACAAAATCTATCTTGATTGGTAAGTTCACACAAATTGTTGTGACAAAGATGAAATAGATGCAGAGCTTCCAGAGATAATAGACCGGCAATGCAATTTTCAGAATTTTACAAGAATTTTAGCGCTCTTGATTTTCAATATTTATTCACTCTTTACTAGGGTAACCCAAACTGTCGGGTGAGACATTCAGTTGAAAATAAAATTGCACAGTCATTGGGGTAGTTTTTTTGCAAACCATGAGTGATTGAAATAAAATTTGTGTGGTCATCCAGGAAATAATAATTTTTGCAAACATCGAGATACACCAAGTTTTCATTTATTTATCAGGGATGCCAGTTTTCTGGCAATAGCCTGAATTCAGGCCCTGGCAAGTTATTTTCAAACCATAGTTTAGGCTTTTTTGTGTACAAAATAGCTCATTCTAGGTGATTTTCAGACCCTCTGATCAATTCTAACTGACATACCTGATTTATTTATTTATTCATTTGTTTTTGTTGCTCAAAACCTTTCATGCTGGATATAATCCGAATATATCAAATACATGTTGATACAGCATTGGTAACAGGTGTAAGATTCCAAGAGGCAAGGATGTTGTTTTGGGTACTCCTTAGCATGGACAGGGCAAATTTATTTTTATTTTAGGGGGAGGGGAGGACGAGGGTGTGCAAACTTACTGACAAGGGAACAAATGTCCTTACCTATTTCTGAAGTAATAACGCCTCCAAATTAGTTGACAAGAAATATTTAAAAAAAATATGTGGTGCCCTTGTCCCGACAACCCCCCCCCCCCCCCATTAGAGCAACAATACAGTTGTGCATGGCCATCAGAAAGAACAATCATATTCGCAACTTCATCAAATTCTTCTAGCTCTGTCCTTCCTATTATCTCCTCTGTAGGGGGAAATGGCTACATCAACGACTATCCTGTAGGACGTTTCTTGCGCGATGCCAAACTCAACGAGATCGGTGCCGGTACCAGCGAGATCAGACGATTAATAATCGGACGAGCCTTGAACGAAGAATATAGGGCTTAGATGGGGGCAGCCACAAGGATGTTCCTTTACAAACAGACTTTCATTGCTTCCTTTGTTTTATCTTCTGGATATGACAGGGTATACTCTTACAGTTATCTACTGAATACGATTATAATGATGACGATGATAATAATGATGATAATAATGATAAAAATACTACTACTACTACTACTATTCTGGGTTTATATAGCACTCGTTGCATTCTTATTCTTCCATTTTGAGTACATACCTCTTTACAGAGTATTAACATACTATACTGGGGTGTGTGCAGGTGGACCACTACACCGGGGTTTCCCCCCTACTCTTATACAAATAGTGCAGTGGGTTCTTAACGTGCAAAAGTAGTGACTCTTCTCTACACGGGGCCTCCATTTAAAGTCCTATCCGAGGGACAGAGTTTTTTCCACTTAACATAGCCTGCATCTATGAAAAAGGGGAGGGGCACGTTAACACACAACGCAGGCTTTAGTCATCTGCCTGGGTGGGATTCGAACCCGGGATCTTTAGTTCGACAGGCAGACGCTATACCGACTGAGCCAACTCGCCTCCCTATTGACGATGTCTGTAAGCGCTTTACAGAAATATTATCGTCCTGGTCGACGGATCCAAGCTCCCTGGGGAGCGTTCCAGCCAGGCGCCATTTTACACACGCGCACGATGCTCAGCAAACTACATCCTACCTTGACTATTCCTTGATGACTTGTGTGTGAAAAGAAAAGAGGAGTAATTATATTTTCACAAGAAAAAAACAGGATATAGAAGATCCTTGTTTTTCACAAACAATGTGTGCTGTGTCAGAAAATTATTTGAACAACGATGATATGTACCGTATTCATTTTATTGCATTGTATCCTTATTAGATAATCTATTTGTAGATACCTGTCTTCAAAACATTTTTGATTGATAAAGAGATCTATGTAGGCACCATCATAATCTTATTGGTTCAGAAAGTATAATTTCCCATCGGACTTTCCAGTTCTCGTCCCATTGTAGTTGTATGGGAATCAAAAGTTCCTTTGCCAACTATACCCCTGGCCTGTGCTGCTCTCTATGGCCAAATACCATAGTTGCGGTAGTTAGAATTCAAAACCATCAAGAAACTTTAGGATTTGAACCAATAACCTCTTGAGTAAACGTCAGGGTACTAAGCCGCTATAGAGTGGTGAAGTGTGACGTCATCAAAAATCTATTTTTAGAATTTCTCAATTTTTTTCTTCATTTTCCGAAAGAGCATAAAAAATAATGTCCAAGTGTCGAAAAGCAATTGAATATGTTAAGTATTGGCTGAGATATGACCATCTGAATGAATATATTTCCTATAGGAACTCGGTGTTATATGCTCTGGCTCCTAACCATTTGATGCTCTTTTGGAAAATGAAGTAAAAAATTAAGAAATTCTAAAAATAGATTTTTATGACGTCACAGCATCGGTACTCTATTGTCGTGCCTATCGACGGTACCCTGCCCTCTTTATCATAAATAATACAGGACCCACTCTGCATTTATAGATTACAATTCCTGATGAAATTTATAATTTATGAAAGTTATTCTAGAATTGATGTCATTGCACATACTGAATACACATTTTGTTATGTGAGGGACAGCTCCAGAAAGCTTAAAGAAAAGTTTTAGTTTCTTTCTTCATATAATGATACATCTTTTTTAATCATCAATATCTATATCAAGTATGGAAGCATGAAGGTTCACTAGTGGATGACTGGATGTAGTTGTGCCACTTGAAATTTGTGTATATATATCTAAACTCGGAAAATAAAGATTGTTATTTATGAATGATACCTCAATTAAGACCATGAAAAAGTTTTATATTTTCTCATCCAAATGAAATAAAATCAGTCACTTTAAAATGTACCTTGATTGTTTCCTGTTGTTTAATGTTTAAATCCAAGTGTCGATTTTGAAGGATATATGTTTTAAAACAAAATTAATCAGATATATGAAGATGATACTCATGCAATCTTTGTCTGTTACGATTCTGATATATTTTATTGAACAGAAAAACAAGGTGCTAAGGATGATTTTGCATTTGAAGATTTTAATGATGTCCGGTTTTAAAGGACCATCTACCTTCTCAATTAGCTTCATGTGGGAATACAAAACTGTAAAACACTAACATGCAGGGATTATAAAACGTTTAAAACGTTTAAAACGATTATAAAAGAATTCTCTCCAATGACCTTGGCTTACACTTATTAACAAGCATATTGACTTGCTGCTTGGACATCGTAAGAATTGATAAAGAAGTTAGCAACAGAGAAATGTGTGAGAGAGAGAGAGAGAGAGGGAGAGAGAGAGAGAGAGAGAGGGGAAAGGGGGGGGGGGGTGTTGGGTAATGATGGAGGAAATGGCTAACTACAGGAAAACCATCTAATACACATTATATATTTTAGTATACGGTAGGTGGCCTTAAAGGGAAGTCCACCCTAATAAAAGCAAAACAAGATGAGAGAAACAAATGAGCGAGAGTTTGATCGAAATCTGATTAACAATAGGAAATTTACGAATTTTTGAATTTGTCATCAGTGAAATACAATTTGGCAACACAATGACGTATCATATGCGACATCCTCTCCAATTCGCTCTGTACAGAAAATTTCATAAAAATTCATTTTCTTAGTTATTAATGATTGAATAGATATATTTCATACAGGGGTGCCATAACTTTCTTATTGTTAATCTGGGTTTGCTATATGGGAATATGAACCACGTACCTTGTGATCTGTTGTCGGTTGACTTATCCACTAGCTAGACCACAACACCTCTACTCTACTCTATTTTGAATATGCAAAACCTGGAAAATATATTAAAATAAGATTTGACTTCAATCTAGGTCAATTACAGAACAAACAATTATGACTGACCTGCATTAAAGGGTTTCGGTATCTTTGCCTCAGATTCTAAAAAAAATCTTGGATTTAGCTCATGCTGCAATCATAATTATAAACATTTAGGTCAGTCAGGAATTCCATGACTTTTACCAGCCGATCGCCCGTCTGATTATCAAGATATTTATGATTGAAATCTAAATTTCTAAAAACCGTTTTCCTAACGGTTTTTAATACTACAGTCTATTGTAGAAAATGAGTATGATAAAACCGGTCACTCAAAGATTTTTACTTTTTTGAGGTTCTTCATGGTAATTTTGAAGCACAATTTTGTTTAGGGCTTCAATATTACACCATATCACAGACTGATAACACGTTGGGCTATACATCTCAGATTTAGCATTGTTAAATGATGCCTTTAATTAATCCTGTATATGTTACAGGACAACAAGAACATTTTCCATATCTTTAAACTATCATTGATATCTGATAATTAACCAGTTATTAAAATAAACCTACCAAACTACAACATACAATGAAATACTTAATTTAAAGTAGGGGAGTTTGATGTGGTGCACAATTGCACCCCTCTGTAAATAATCGAATAGTCCATGGCGATCATGAATATTCATGTTTTTGCTTACCTCGGCAAAATGCTTGCCTATACTAAATGGAAAATTACGATGGGGGGGGGGGGGGAGTTTGCTGAAATGGACATAATGAACCGATCAGAACTGATCTATGATAATTCATGCTTGTTATCCTTCGTGTGCTTGACCTATAACCTTACAATCGCGTGTCAAATTGCGTCCAAAGTTCGACTTGTTTCACATGTGTTATATAGGCAATGGCGAGCTAGCGATCGACCTATTTTGACCAAATTACGGTGGGTGAACTTTCAAAAGTCAATGGGACATGAGGGTTCCAATGAAAGAGCTAGTGTCAACGTACGTCGGGGTGGATGTGCTTTTCGTTTAAACAAAAAATAAATTTTTAACGATATTTTGGGTAAAAGTCAGTAGGCTAATTAACATGTTAGGCTGCTGGACTCTGACGATAGGGGGCGTTGTCCAATGAGACTATTCGGAGCCCTATGTTTATCACTTTAAAATCCTATTTTACATTTACGTACAATTTATATCATAAACAAGTAGAAGTACTCATATTAAAGAGAGCATATATTACAGTCGCGTAATGGGTATATAGATAATGAGTATGAGTGTAAAATGGGCAAAGTGGATACAAAGAGAAGGCATGCTGAATGAATTATTATGCCACAGGGGTGTAATAATGTATGCAAATTAAGGGCTTATTGCAATTTACAACCTAAACATGTAAACCTTTGTACATTCCTTCAATTCAATAACATATTATTATTACTTTTTTTAAACCCAAATTTAATCAAAGTTTCAATCGTACATATACTTACAATTGGTAGTGAAATATAAATGGAAAATGGACTGGATGATCGACTTACAAAGAAATACAAGAAGAGGATTATCTAAGTGCATTTTCTTGAGTTGTCTCAAGAAATATAATTTCTGGTTATAGCTTTCTTTTGTGTGGCATGTACCTTGCTTGACCAATCCAGATTGATTGTTATGGTAGTACCCAAGAATTTATATTCCCTCACTTGTTCTACTACATCATCATGTATGGTGAGAGGTACATGGTCATCCAGTACGTTCTTACGAAAGTCTACGATCATTTTCTTAGTAGTTTTTGATACAATGAGTTGCAAGAAATGTGAGTCACAGCATTTCACAAACGAATCAAGTACCGCGAAACGACAGTTGGCATTACCAGAGAGGTATCCTGTGATGACTGTGTCATCGGCGTACTTGAAATCTAGATATCTAGAAAGAGAAAAGTGGAATGAGATAAGTGAAGAATAGTGGAGAAAGAAGGGTGAACTATACGTGTAGTCCCGGTCCTAATTTACCCCTCCAAATATAGGAAAATGAAGAAAAGTAGAAAAAAAATAGTGAACATTTATAATGCGCCCTAAAATGTCTGTCAAAAATGACACTCCTGGCGCAGTTGTGTAAAAATTGTATCGTTGTGGGCATACGACCATCAAGTGATTCAAGAAAGAAAGTAAAATACACGTAAGTTAATCAATTAATTAATTAATATCCATGCAAAATTTGGATCTCCAACATAATATTACATCCGTCAATGAGAGGCTATTAGTCGCCCTCTATAGATAAAAAAAGATGAATACCGCCATCAAGTTCATAGGTGTTATGCCCTGTGGGAAAACCCAATTCTATTTATAGGATGCACAAACTGCATTTTATTCATAGAAGATCTATGTTTGATTTTACTATTATAACCTTATTTGTATTCAGGTACACAATTCGACAGAGAATTAATACTTTTGATCAAAATAAGGCGCACCTCTTTCGACACATATTTTATATAATCAACGTAAGAACTTGGTACAGGACTGTATGCAGTTAGGACGCACTTTTGCGTAGAGTCGAATATCAGTAAAGTCTACTACGTTACTGCATATAGTGACAGCTTTCTGGAGTTAGCATGAACTGAGTATTGGCTTCTAGTACACGTCAGCTGATCAGACTTTTGAGTTTTATTGGACATCGATTGGATATAGACGTAGAATGAGCTCGTGTTTGTAATAAGCCAGAAATCTTATATTTGTACCAATGGCTGAGAAAACTGAGGAAGAGAAAGCTCCAAGCTCTTCAGAGAACCTGACGTGTCCACTATGTCTTGATATCTTCGACGATGCAACTATCCTGACTTCATGCGGACACACCTTCTGTCGGAAATGTCTCAAGAACTATGACCTGTCCCACCAGGATCTCGATCACATGATCTGTCCTCTCTGCAGGAAGATCACCAAGTTATCTGCGAACCGTGTCGATGATTTCCTCACCGATGTGACTGTCGATGGACTTGTAGACAATTACCGCGCCAAGTGTGGAGGGATGAACGCTGTCCTTGAGATGAGTCCAAAATGCACTGCTTGCAAGTTTCAGCAAGATGCCGTCTCATTCTGCTGTACTTGTAATAACTACATTTGTGATAAGTGTCGGGAATGTCATCAATATCTTAGAGTCTTTGATGGTCACGAGATTGTATCAATACAGGATATCATCAACGGGAAGGTCAGCATTGGTCATCTATCCGAGAAGTGCTGCATCCACAAACAAGAGAACAAAGATATGTTTTGTGAGGATTGTAAGGTCCATGTCTGTCTTAAGTGCGTGATCATCGGTCATCAATATCACAAAATCAAGAACCAGGCTGACTTCGAGAAGCAGTTACGTGTTAAAGTAAGTGGGTTCACTTCACACAAAAATAATTAAGTTTGGCTACGGCCTGATATGTTGTACTCAAAGGCGCCAGAAACGGGGGAGGGGGGCAGGGGGCGACCGCCCCCCTTATCGAGAGAAAAAACATTTTTCTAAACATTCCGCACTTCCCTTTATTTATCAATGGAGGATAGACGCATATCGTGGAAATATTGTGAGATGATGAGTAAGCGTGTGTTTCTTTTTATTATAGGCAGTTCCCCAAATAAAAATGTTTCTGAAATAACATGATTTTCCGGGGTTTTTCTCAATTTCTTTTGTAAAATATTCTTTTTTATTCGTTTGTTGGAAAATTACAAATTCCAAAAAATAAAGTTAGGCAAAAAATATGTTTTTTTAGAAGCCTTCATCTCAGGGCCTTCAGAACGGCGGGATCGGGGGCTCGAGCCCCCTCAATTTTTCGAAAAAGTATTAAGTTAAAGAGAAAATGTAAAAAGAGAGAAAGAAATGAGGTATCAAAATATGCTCATCTGATCATCATTAAATGCCTAAAACCCTAGGCTTCCGGGGGCTCTGCCCCCTGGGCCCCAAAATGCCTCTAAGGAGGGCCTATGGATGCTCATCTGTTCTAAATTAAATACCTAAAAACCCTTGAGCTTCCGTGGGCTCTACCCCCTGGACAGGCGTGGATCCAGGATTTCTCGAGGGGGGGGGGGATTAAAAAAAAAAAAAAATTTGCTCCCGAAAATTTGAAAATCGCGCCGACCGAAAAGTCGCTCAGAGGGGGGGGGGGGGGGGGGGGGGGGGGGGGGGGGGGGGGGGGTGAGTGAGCACATTTTGTTTTGTTTTGCCCCCCCTCCCCACTGGATCTGCCACTACCCCTGGACCTCGCCAAGGGCCCTATGGCAGGCCCCTGGATGCTCATCTGACCGTGATAGGGATAGTTGAGCTCTGTTCCAGAGGGTTTTAATGAAAAACTAAGTGTTAAATTTGAAAGAACAGGCTAGGGTACGTCGCCGCCTCCACAAATACACAAAGATAAAGAAAATGCAATAGATTATCAATAACTCATTGCATTTTCTCCCGGTCCCCGACAGGCAAAATTCCTCTGTAGGGCCATGCATTATTTACCCTTTTTTTGGAGATGGGCTCCCTCCCCTGGCGCTCAAGGGGGGGGGGGGGTACGCTTTTTCAATTTTTGAGGGCAAACAAAAAATAGTGCTCACTACCCCCCCCCCCCCCCCCCCCTTCCACTCTACTGAGCGAATAATCGGCCGGCGCGATTTACAAATTTTCGGGAGTAAAAAAAAATTTAAATGAAATTGTCCTCACTATCACCCCCCCCCCCCCCGCTGTTTCACCGCTAAATATTTTCTCACGAATAAGGCCTCCTCCCCTGCCGCCGGCTGGATCCGCCCCTGGTTTGCTGCTACGTACTACGAAATCTTTACTTGTCCGACATTCGATTACAAAATGCGATTATAAAAGTCTGTGTATACATAACTTAACTGGCTGAGGAATACATGTTTTTTTTTCACTTCTCTAATATTTGTTTTGTATAGGTGAACGACCTTGTCCAGCGTTGTGCCGCTATGAAATCAGAACTGGAAAAAAACATTCAGAATGTGGAAGTACAACGCCATGAAGTAAACACTGTCGTGCAGAAACTACTGGACGATGCTACTCAAGCCTACAGCATCAAAGCCAGAGAGCTTGAAGAAAGTCATCGAAATCTCATCGAGCAAATCAATGTCGTAAAGCGGAGTTTCGATGACGACCTCAACGTCTTGAAATCCAAGGATCGACAGAGGATCAAGAGTATTTGTAGTTCAATAACACTGGTAGCTCATGGCAGACTAGGTCGTCTTGAGACAGACAGTCTGTCTGCTCATACCTTGCTCTGTGAGGAGCTGGATGCCATGCTGAAGAAGGCTACTGATCACACTTCTGCAGCAGCTATTACGAAGAAAGCACAGACAAAGAGATTCAAGCCTGCAGATGATACTCGTCTTGAACTCGGGAGCATCTCAGAATCAGCTACTGATCACACTTCTGCAGCTGCCATTACGAAGAAAGCACAGGAGAAGAGGTTCAAGCCTGCTGATGATACTCGTCTGGACCTCGGGAGCATATCAGAATCAGCTACTGATCACACTTCTGCAGCTGCCATTACGAAGAAAGCACAAGAGAAGAGGTTCAAGCCTGCTGATGATACTCGTCTGGACCTCGGGAGCATCTCAGAATCAGGTACTGATCACACTCCTGCTGCAGCCATTATGAGGAAAACGCAGAAGAAGACGTCCAAGCCTGCATATGATACTCGTCTGGACATCGGGAGCATCTTAGAATCAGATCCTAAGTTGCAAGTCATTCAGTGTGTGAAGCTACGGGGATTAATGACGGGAATGACCCCTTACTCTGAGGGCAGTCTAGCTATCGGATATTTGGATGCACAAGGTATAGATATCATTGACTCAGCTGGTAAAAAGCACCAATATGCAAACATACCAAGAAACATGATATGTTATGATCTTGTGTTTCAACAAGACAGGTCGTTATGCATATCAACGAGTTCAACAGAAGCACGCATATATTCTCCCAATGGATCCAGGAGATCAACCATCCACGTGAAAGACAATAACTTTCTCAAATTAAACAGAAGTCCATCAGGTGAAATCCTCATCGCTAACTATGAGTATAAAGTATATATCTATGACCCGACTGGATCCACTCTCAAACACATTGTTTCAACGAAACACAACAAGACGCTCCAGGTATCTGCCACCAGGTCGGGTTTGATCGTCACGAGTTCATGTCATTGCCCCTATCCAGGCGTGGTGACGGTCTATGACAGGGATGGGAATGCTGGTAAGTCTCTACAAGCTCCAAACGGTGTCCTCCTGTATGCTGCCGTGGATGAGCAGGACAGGGTGTATGTAGCGAGTGTTGATCGTAAGAAGGGTAATGTGGTGATCAGGCTCTATGACCTTGATGGTCTGAATATGAAGGAAAGAGTTGAGTTCAATGTACTTAAACTGACGCTTAACTATTGTACTGTTTGGTGTTACTTGGTTTCCCTCTCACCAAACTTGCTCGCGTTTGCTAACGAGATGTTGTATTTTATCAAAGTATCACGGTAATCCAGCTCACACTCTAAATTACCATTTTGAAGTGTACCTCTTTGCATGCTCTAACCCTCTCTAACATTGGCCCACAAAGTACAACATTATATTATTTATTACGTGAACTAAACGAATGAGAAGATGCCCATTATCTCGAAAGATTGTGCCTGTACACAGTTGTCATTATCCAAACAAAATGATTAAGTCCCTCTCTCAAAATATTATGTAAATACATATGCTTCTTGCATTCTGTAAATGTTTTCAATATGATATTTAAAGAGTTAATTGGTACTGCAGATCGAAGAATAGCAGCAAATACGGATATACTAGAGCTTTTCGTCTGGCACTCACAGTGCTTGCGATTTACTCTGATAAGTGCAAGATGAAAATCTTTAGTATGTCAGTTTCCATTGCTATACTCTTTGATTGATATTTTATTTTGTTTGTGTGTGAGAAAGCACATACTGACTACATATTGAATGTTAGAGCAAACAAAAGTGTCTGGTATCAACATTCCCTTATCCCTTTTCCTCTCTTTCATTGTAAAAGATTTTCAACGCTACCTCAAAGCAATGCAAAACTTTACAAATTTCAAATTTGAAGTTAAGGGGTACCTATCACTTAAGACTGAAGAAAAAGAAGCCAATGATATGCCATATCGCATTATAGATAACTTGAAAATTGAAAAATATTAATTAATTTGTTATTAGTATTATTATATTATGTCGTTTTAAGCGAAAGTATTTAAATTATATTTTGTTTGTGCACATATTTCTTGATTTTCAAGTTGATTAATTTAATTTTTATATGCAGATATAATTAATACTTACTTTGTAAATAGGACTAGATTTTAAATAAGCTGTTCAAATCTCATGGATCATTTTCCTGTCAAGTTTGTTGTATTAATATATTTTGTTTTCATTTAATAACACATTTTTACTCTTCGTTTTTATGCTACATTTAACTTGACTTATACATCAAATCATATAACAATGAAACAAAAATGATGAAAAGAAATACCTTAAAGGACCATATTGCAAATATTGCTACATTCTAAATAGTTAATAATGGATACCATTGTTGAAGAAGATGTGAACATAATGCTAAGAGATTGTGCATATGTTGATTGCGGTGCATTTCAACAGAATCTACTTGGAAATTTTGATCTTTTGCATGTAAATGCCAGGAGTTTATGTAAGAATTATGATGATTTGTTACAATTGTTGTCTTGCTTAAAGCATGATTTTTCTGTAATAGGTGTCTCTGAAACTTGTTTTTAAACTACAACTGATATAAATATGTTTCAGATACCTGGCTATTCTTTTGTTCATATATTTAGAGCAGAAAAGAATGGCGGTGGGGTATGTTTGTACATTAATAGATTAATAGATTAATAGATGATATGGAATTTAAATTACGTGTAGATTTATCTGGGTCAAATTCAAGGTATGAAATTGTTTTTGTTGAAATAACAAGCTTCAGTAAAAGGATTAGTGTTGGATGTGTATATAGGGCTCCTAACGTTGATAGTACATCCTTTTGTTGAAAATTTAGAACATCAGCTACAGATATTGAGTAAAGAAAACAAGGAGATATATTTAATGGGTGACTTCAACATCAATTTATTGAATTATAATAATGATCATAGTGTTAAAGATTTTGTTGATTTTATGTACTCATTTGGATAATTTTCTCTTGTCACTAAACCTACCCGTATAACTGAAATTGGTGCAACATTGATTGACACTATTTTCACAAACTGCATCCAAAATGAATTTAGCTCAGGTGTAATGTGTTCAGATATTTCAGATCATATGCCTATCTTTTGTGTAAAAAAGGACTCTGTAGTAATTTCTGTTAGGAGAGATGGACAAGTTTTGAAGCGGAAAATAAATGATAAAACAATCTCAAGGTTCAAGCATCACTTGGCTGGAATTGATTGGAAGGATCTGCCTTCACTGGAAGACGTCAATGATTTATATGAACATTTTCAACAAATATTTCTAAAATTATATAATTTATTTTTCCCATTAGTTGAGGTAACATTAAAGAGTAAATGTAAAAAGCCATGGGTAACTCGTGATTTATTGAAATCAATAAATCGTAAACATAAGTTTTATGGTAGTTATGTCAAGAGACCAACAAAGAAATATGTTGATTATAAGAATGTCTTGGTTAATACTCTTCGTATAGCCAAGCGAAATTATTACAATGATTCGTTCCACAGTGTTAAAGGCGATATAAGAAAAACTTGGTCTCATATCAATGAATTGTTAGGTCGGTCAAATAGGCATTCACTTCCTCAAGAGATGGATTTTAATGGAGTACTCCTATCATCTGCCAAGGATAAGGCTGAAAGTTTTAATAAATATTTCATTGGACTACCCATGAAAATCAGTGCAGACATTCTTCAAGTACCACAATCTTTTCGTGATTATATGAAACAGTGTGACGATAAGGCTTTGATGATATTTCACCTAGAATTATAAAGAAGTGCAATCACCTTTGTATTGATCCCTTATGCAAAATCATTAATATGTCTTTATCTCAGGGAGTTGTTCCAGATAAACTCAAGGTAGCTAAAGTGGTACTAGTATATAAAAATCTGATCGTAAAAATGTCATTATAGGCCAATAGCACTGTTACCAATCTTTTCTAAAATTCCTGAGAAAATAATTTATAACCGCTTAAATGAGTTTCTATCTAAAAAGAATATCCATGATGTTGCGCTTAGTGAAAATGTTCAGTTCTTAGGGTTAACTATGGATGAGCATTTATCTTGGAAGAATCATTTAGATGTTGTATGCACTAAGTTGTCCCGAAGTGTAGGTGTCATTTTAAGATTGAAATTTATTTTACCTGAAAGAGTGCTGATAACATTATATAATAGTATTATTCTTCCTTATTTGACATATTGTAATGTTGCTTGGGGGAAACACTTTTAAGTCATATCTTGATAAGTTGAGAGTATTGCAGAAGAAGGCAATAAGGCTAATTACTAATTCTAATTATAGACATCCAAGTTCTCCATTGTTCCTTCGACTAAGAATGTTACCACTAAGTGGACTTGTGTCGTTCAATTGCGTATTGTTTATGTATACACTTCAGTCTATGCCTCATGAATGTACGTTAAAAGATTTATTCCGTAAAAACACAATTTCATAATTATAATACACGTCTTATACATCAGCCTTTTGCAAGAACAAATATCACTCTGACCTCATTCCATATCTCTTGCATCAAAGAATGGAACAGTTTGCCTGATGATATAAAAAATAGTACAACTCTTTCTAGGTTTAGGTTATCTAAAATGTACCTACTTGGAAGACTGGCATAATTCTACTTTCTCATTCTCAAATGCTTATAGACCACTAAAGACTGTGTGTGTGTGTGTGTGTGTGTGTGTGTGTGTGTGTGTGTGAGTGTGCGTGTGTGCGCGCGCGTGTGTGTGAATATTTTTTGTGTTCTATATTCTGTAGCTTAGTTTGTTTCCATCCCTTGTATAAACATTACATTCTTTTTATTCACCTTGCCATATCGTTAATGTATGTATTTTGTTGACTATAGGGCCCCGCTCACAAGCTTAGCTTCTACAGGGGTCCTAAAACCATTCACTTAATGATGTAATCAAGTTATTATGTTGATTAATGTACTATTACCAGTCTCTTTTTCACGTAAAAGATTATATCATGTTTTGTGTAGTTTTGAATAAATGAACTTGAACTTGAAATTGAAATTCCATGAAACGTTCCTACTGTCTGGAAAGCCATTACATTTAATGCTCTGTGAACTGATAGTATGACAAATTACTTTGCTATGATGTAGAGAATAACACTGTATTAACAAAAATTAGTCCTAGTTTAACAGTCGGATGTTCTGTTTTTTTACTAAACATCCTAATTAATTTAAGAATATTACGATATCTTTGTAAACGTTTACTGCAATTTTGTTATAATTAATAATTTCACTATGAACTTTTTATGTAAATTCAGCTGTCGTTAAAAAAAAAAAACCTCTTCAATTCAATTCAGCTTAGTTGAATTCGACTCAAATCGGTTCAATCTATACAAAGTATCAATTTATGATGAGTAACGTGGAATATCTTCATCTGAATTTTATAACGGTAGAAACAAAAATGGTGTGAGAGAGGTATGTTTATCATAAGATAAATTGTAGAAATGATGAGGATATTAAACTATGGACCTACTATGTATCAACCTACATTTGATCACGCTAGTAGACATGTATGGTAAACCCATGGATGAATCTGGAGAAAACACCATTTTAATGTTTCCCCATCGTTAGAAAATGATGTACCAGTTGATATGATTGTGAGAAGATGACGTCGAAGAAATTCCTTTCCTTGCATGCTCAATCGACCTGACTCTGGGATATTTTAATATTTGATTTATTGGTTTCTGCATCTTTTTTTTTCTTTTTTTCATCATACATTTTCATGAACATAATATGGTTTGATACAATATTTCAAGTGTATATAATTCTATACAGATAATAAACGAAATCAAACAAATATATTGAATGCATAATTAACATACATAAGATGCAGGAGGGCTACAGAAATAAGCAAAATAGCTTGACGTGCCCGCAGCCCTCAACTTAGATACAGCAATTCAAATACAAATAAAAAAGAGTGACTTGCAGAGAAGAAAAGGAAAGGGGAGAGAAGGAGCGTTGGTAATAATACAATAAATCTCATACATCTGCTGATTGAATGCAGGTTCATTCATGAATGGATAAATGATGATAGGTCATGGCCGATTACACATCATTGTTGAATTTACAGTCAGTGTACACACGAACATGAATACAGTAGATTTACACACGACACTATCAATACTTAGACAATAACATAGTTTTAGCTGCCTTCTTAAACGAATACAATGTCCTAAGGTTTCTTATTACAATGTTATTATTCATATGTTTATAGGAGAAAGAGACAGAAAGACAGGGTGAGAAGAAAGAGATACAGGGAGAGAGAGAGAAAGAAAGAGAGAGAGAGAGAGAGAGAGAGAAAAAAAAAGAAGAAGAAAGATAGCTGGACTTTATATCCGACAGAATGATGAGAGAAAATCATTTGTTTATTGAATATTCGTGGACGCTTGTTGTAGGGTCAATGTATTATTATTTCAAATAAAACATAATTTAGGGCAATACGGGCTATAGCAGGCGCGTACGCAGGGGGGTTTGGGGGGTTAACCCCCCCCCTTTGATATTTGTATGTGTATAAACCCCCCCTAAAAAAAACCTGAAACCCCCCCCTTTGTATTTTTTTTTTTTTTTTTTTTTTATTATTATTAAAAAAAAAAAAAAAAAAAAAAAAAAAAATTATCCCCATGAATGACCTAAAACAGGTGACCTTACCCCCCTCCCAACGGAGCAATATGTCAAATTTTCAAATTTCGAGGTCAAAAAAAAAAAAAAAAGAGTGTCCTCTTACCCCCCCCCCGCTTATTCAGCGGTCGGCTGAGTCGTTGCGATTTTTTGGGGACCAAAAAAAAAAAAAAATGTGTCCTGTTACCCCCCCCCCCCCCCGCTTATTCAGCGGTCGGCTGAGTCGTTGCGAAATTTTCGGCCCGATTTATGAATGTTAAAACCCCCCCCTTGAAAAAATCCTGCGTACGCGCCTGGGTTATAGTACCACATTCAATTTGATATCACGGTTTACATTATTAACTCGTGAGACAGACATGATTCACATTATCATGGTTAAAGTCTTAGTCATAACATTTGTATACAACAGAGGAAGTGGTGAAATATTTGTTCATCATATACTGTAAGGAAGGTTGTAGCCTCGTAGCAATATGTACGCAAGAATTAGAATAATTGACTGACAAAATTAATATACATATATATAGAAAGAGAGAAGTGGAAGGAGATAGGCTAAATGAAGAATAGTGGAGAAAGAAGGGGTGAATTAAATTGTAGTTACCATCCTTTACACTTCTAAACAGAGTAATGAGGACAAATAAAATGCTCTAACATCGAGGATTATACTAAAGTGAATCTCCAGCATAATATTATATCCACCGCTGAAAACCTAAATAAGTCGCCCTCTATAGAAATAATGATGAATACCGCCATAAAGTTCAAAGGTGCTTATACGCTGCGAGCGCTCTCTGTGGAAAAACCCACTGCTATTTATAGGATGCAAAAACTGCAATTTATTTACAAAAGATCTACTCAAGTGTGATTCTACTATTATTACCGTATTTGTATTCGGGAACACATTTGAATAGAGAATTCATACTTTTGATCAAAGTTAGGCGCACCTCTTTCGACACATATTTTATATAATCAAAGTGAGAACTTGGTACAGAACTGCATGCAGTTATAGGACGCACTTGTTGCGTAGATTCGAATATTGGTAAAGTCTACTACGTTATTGCATAATAGTTAGAGCTTGCATGAACTGAGTATTGGCTTCTAGTACAAATCAGCTGATCACACTTTTAAGTTTTATTGGACATCGATTGGGTATAGGCGTAGAATGAGCTCGCGTTTGTAATAAGACAGAGAACTCTAATATTTGTAGCAATGGCTGCGAAGACTGAGGAAGAGAAAGCTCCAAGCTCTGCAGAGAACCTGACGTGTCCACTATGTCTTGATGTCTTCGACGAGGCAACCATCCTGAATTCATGCGGACACACCTTCTGTCGGAAATGTCTCAAGAACTATGACTTTTCCCACCAGGATCTCGACCACATGATCTTTCCTCTCTGCAGGAAGATCACCAAGTTGTCTGCGAACCGTGTCGATGATTTCCTCATCAATGGTACTGTCAACGGACTTGTAGACAATTACCACGCCGAGTGTGGAGGGATGAACGCTGTCCTTGAGATGCGTCCAAAATGCACTGCTTGCATGGTTCAGCAAGATGCTGTCTCATTCTGCTGTACATGCAATAACTACATTTGTGATAAGTGTCTGGATTGTCATAAACATCTTAGAATCTTTAAAAGTCATGATATTGTATCCATACAGGATATCAACAACGGGAAGATCAGTATTGGTCATCTCTCCGAGAAGTGCTGCATCCACGAACAAGAGAACAAAGATATGTTTTGTGAGGATTGTAAGGTCCATGTTTGTTTCAAGTGCGTGATCGTCGGTCATCAACATCACAACATCAAGAATCAGACTGACTTCGAGAAGCAGTTACGTCTAAAGGTAAGTGGGATCATTTGACAAAGCATCATTGCATTTGGCTTCCGCCTGACAAGTTGTTCTCATACAATTCCGATAGGGGAAGGTACCATACCCGCCGAAAGTGGCGACATAGGTGTTTATTATGTTACTAAACCATGTTTACAATGTAGACACCGCAAGCATGGAAGCATACTCTCCTTCATCTATCAAAGGGTGGTGGCAAAATGAGATTATCCCCTTAATAACAATAAATACTTTGCAGCAAAGCCCTATCGGCAGATAAGACCTCTAAAATTTAACAATTCTAAAACTTAAATTTACTCAGTTATGGGTCGCTTCCATCCCTTAAAAAATACAGGAAGATGTAAAATCCTGTGTTTATACTAAGAAAACCTGTCTCCAAGAGCAGCGAAATCTGTAGGGGCATATTATTCCCTCTATCGGGTGGAGCCAAATCGATTCTATCCCCTTCCCTTCCCAAGGCAAAATATCTTTTGATACAGAAGAGGATTTGCTTTTTCCGCTCCCTTGCCATACAAAAACTTTCGACATCATCAATTTTGCAGTATAACCATACAGAAGAGGTTCTAATTTACAAAACAAAGAGTCCCCATTCCAAATTCGAAAATTCTCTTTCGTTCGCTACTCTCCCTCGTACATTAATAGATGCACACTTTCTTCCAGATCTTCCAGAAGCATCAAAGCGAGGAGGCTATTTTTTTTCTATCAAGGTGGGGGCTTTTTATTGTCAACCCCTTTACTAGACACAATTTCGCCATTATATCGATTAGCTCTTAAAAGTTCTTTTTTTTTAAATGCAACATACAGTGATCTTATACTTTTCATGTTTTCAGTAACACATAAACTAGATGTGATGTATAACGATGTATAGTAATCTGCTGTAGCTATAAAATACAATAAAAACTCTCTACGCCAAGGCCCCGAAGTTCTCGGGGAGAGCTTTTCTCTATAAAGGGGGAGAAGGTAAAGGCCCCACAGGCGCGCAAGACAAGAGCACAATTCAATTGATAATATTGCATACTAATACGGTTTCAACTTTCCAAATACACTGTAGCTATCTATTTCCTCTCGGTCGATCACTAATGTCTGGATTACACTTGTCCCGGACGCCGTACGATAAATTAGTCTTCGATTTTGCGTAGACATCATAGGAGGCTACGGGCTGCGATGTTTGTGTTTACATTATCTACGAGCATCGTGCCATTTATTGTATTGGCCCTCGGGGGCAGGCCGGGGCAAATCCGTACAGAGGCTGCTCGGAGATTGTACGGAAATAGTGCAATTTGAATGCAGTAGCCGTGTAGTCTCCTCAGCCTCCGCACGGAAATCGCACGGAGCCCGTGCAGCTTCCGTGCAAAGGTTGCGCGGAGAAGGCGCGGTGACCGTATAGCCGCCGTGCCCCCGTGTTCACCGAAAAATCGTACGTTTGCTTCACAATCAGTGCGAGGCCTCCGGGCGATGCCCGAGCGGGGATTGTGCAATGCCACCTACGACGATTTTTTTTCTTCAAATTTGTTTGTTCGCGAAACAAAATCGTAATGACTGCGGAGCCCGTGAATCCATTCGAAAATCTCACGGCCGCCTCCCGCCTCCGCAAATAGGCCGCACGGAAAAGGGGATACGGGCAGGATACGGGCTCCGTATACTAATCGCAGGCCAAATGTAATCCAGGCATAGTGGTGCTTTCACATATACACTCCGGGGCCCGTACGGCGAGTAGAAACAGACATTCCGCGAAATTTCGGCCGGTGTCCGGTCGGCTGCCGTAAAGTTCCTACGGGCGCCGTGGTGCTGAGCTGGCTGCTCTCAATTCTCCCGGCGTTTTTATCTGACCATCAGGCCGTAGAAAGCCCATAAAAGGCCCGTAGGGCACCGTGCGGCCTCCGGATGGTGCCAGGATGGGGCACTCACGATTTTGTTGGGTAAATTCTCATGACAAATCTTTACGGGCGACTTGCGGTGCTCAAGAGTTCCGTACGTGTACCATACGGCTCCCTCACGGCCCCTCAAGAGCTCCGGGTGATACGCACAACAACAGGCGTCTGCCGTCCGGGGGCCATTTAAAATGAATATTGCCCGTGCGGGCCCCTCACGGCGGCATCTCAAATAGTACAACGCAGCTTTAAATACAGGAGGTGCGGATGTCAGAGGACACATATAGTTCAGTGCATCGCACGGCACCCGCCCAGGCGCCTTAAGGACCCGGACGGGACCCGACAGGGCACCTTACGGGAGCCATGGGAGCACCAGCTCATCGGATGGAGCACGTAAGCTTACCGGCCAGCACCCTGCCGGTACCCTTACGGGCGCCTTGCATTTCACTCGACCAATTTTTACCGGGCACCTCCTGGACACCGCAGAATATGTGACCACACATGCCGTACAAATGAAAATCGGAAGATTCCCGTACGGTCTCTAAATCCACGGCAAGTCGCCAGGTAGGGAAAATCGTACGGGGCCCGGTTTATATGTGACCTAGGCATAAGCTTCCTCGCAATGTTAATAGTTGGAACGTGTCTTATCATTACAAACTCTGTCTGCTATATTATGCTTTTCAAGTGGGTAGGGAGTGAAGACCATTGCTTCGCTCTAGTAAAGAGCTATAGGTGGGATAATACTTTTTCCATCCCTCTCACAAGACATGCAGCTCATTTAGATCGTTGCATATGCTCACTCATATGTAAATCATTATTTGAAGAAGGCTGGGATTTTCCGTTGTGTTTCGAACTAAACTTGATAACACTTTTCAATTTCACAGAAGCAAATTATTGTCTCGCTCGGTCGCTACATTCCCTCGCGTAAAAGTTAAGTTTCTGTCGAGCTATATAATCCTTAATATTATAGAAACAATTGTTTATTTGGGCAGTCCGGCTAATTTATCAGGTTACGAGATCCAACTTGTTGGACAGGCTTCCTGGGAGACATCGTATAGTTTTTAAATTATTATTTTTTAGTAAATCCCTTAATAAACAGGCACCTCAATACCTACATGATTGTTTGACCCTTTACACCCCTCGTAGGAATCTACGAGCCTCCAGTGACCCACTCCGTCGTACAACATCACACGGAAACTAGCTGGAGATAGGGCTTTCACTATAACTGCATCTTAATATTGGAATAGGCTATAATACACAGGCAATCACCATTTGTCTCTACTCTCTTCTTTCAAAAAGGAACCAAAAACAATTCTTTTTTGTAATCCAGATTTTCATTGTAAGTTTTCATTTGCTTTTCTTGTTGGATTCTTCTTGTTGCAAGCGCTTTTGGCTGCTCTGGGAAAAGCGCAGTATATAAATAATGATGATAATAATAATAATATAAGGTATATTATGTCATTATCAATATGATAACTTTATATATGGTTCAGTTTGCCAATGCCTTAAACCTGTTTATGTGTTTTAAAACATATGCTTAAGAAAGCTACATTCACATCTAATACTACAATACTCTTTCTTTTGTTGAAAATTCAAAACACTATCCTAGATCAAGAACCATCAGTATGAACTGAGAAATAGTGTTTGTTGCTGAGAAGGGTGAGGTCGGGGGCTATTTCAAGGTAGTAAGCGTAGGTACATTTCATAGCTATAATCATTACTCAAAAATCCTTGTAAAAAAAACCCAAAGTGTTTGTATCATCATCTCCATATCAATTCAGTTCAGTTTAGTTCATATTTTTAACCATTGACAAAAGAATATACAAAGCAAGACATACAAATAACTGTACAAAATAAATTGTTAGGCTGCTCCTCAAAATTAAGGCTTGATAAAAACGGAGCACTCAATAAATATATTTCTTTCTTCTCTCCCTGTATTTCTGTTTCTCTCAAACTCTCTGTCTTCTCGTTACCTCCTCCGTTATTGTGGTTGACCATTTAAAGGGGCACATATGGAAACAACTGCTTGGATTTGTCTTATAAAAGAAGTTGACCACGAGAGTGTTGAGTGCAGAGGTTACGGGCACAGAACTGTTACATACGTAGAACGCTCATCCCCATTCACAATGCACAGATCGACGTGCGGATGTTGAACGTGCGAGGAGATACGCTCGAGTGCACACGCCGCCATTTTGCGTAGTCCTCGGTCTTTTCAGCTCACATATTTAAAGAATTCCAGCCTAGCCTGTCGTTGAGAAAAAAAAGTGGCGAACACAACAGAGGACTGACGAAGATGGTGGATATCACGTGATAACGTACGAGCGCTGGCCACATTTTTTCGAACCACTATGAGCCTTCTACGTTTTTTTACAGTTCTATGGTCACGGGCCACCATGGCTTCATCGACAGGTAGTTCCATTATGTAATATGAGTAAATTCCGACAAAAATATACAAACAATCGAAAAAAAGTTTAATATCAGAAGAAAGCTAACGATTATTTTATTCATTAGCCGCTCATCCCAAAGCCGCCTGACCACCATGGAACGAGTGAGGACTTGCGAAAGCGGCCGAAGTGCAATTGAAAATCGCTATTTTGCTCTTCTCCAACGCAAAAAGAAACATAAGGCTCCGGTTGTCTCATTTTCGCTCGCTGGAACAATGCCAGCACAAACCACTGACCTCTACCTCCCGGACGGATCATCGCCCATTCCCATTCACTATACGTTACGTACTAAAAGGCTGTATTGTCTGACCGTTCTTGAATATTCATGTTTTTGATTACCTCGGCAAAATGTTTGTTTTTACTAAATGGAAACATGACGGTGGGGGGTTGGTTGAAATGGACTAAATGAACCAAGCAGAAGTGATCTATGATAATTCATGCTTCTTATCCTTCGTGTGCTTGACCTGGAATCGTCAAATCGCTTGGCAATCTGAGTCCAAAGTTCGACTTGTTTCATATGTGTATTATAGGCAATTTCGAGCTTGCAACCTATTTTGATAAAATGACGGTGGGTGAACTTTCAAAAGTCAATGGGACATGGGGGTTCCAATGAAAGAGCTAGTGATAACGTACGTCGGGGTGGATGTGCTTTTCGTTTAAATAAAAAATGAATTTTTAACGATTTTTTTGGTAACATTCCATAGGCTAACATGTTAGGCTGCTGAATCTGACGATAGAGGGCGTTGTGGAATGAGACTAAACGGAGCAATGTGCGACATTGTGCTGGAATACTATGCTTTTTCCGACAAAAGAACAGAGAAAGTGCAAATCATTTTTTTTTTTTTTTTAACTTTTTGAAAGGTTTCTTAAGTGAATCCCGGGCACCCCAAGGCTGGAAAGAAACGCACACTTTTTAAAACATCACTTTTTTATGCAAAAATGCTTATTTGTTCTATGCACGCAAGTCAGATTGAGCGGATGATACGACGTTTCCATATGGTGCCCAGATGATCAAGATTACTTCGTTGCTACGCCATTTTCGGAACTGAAAAAAGAAAATCTACGAAAATCATATCATAAATTGAAGAATCAGTGAAACTTCATTATTTTGTATTTTTGCAAAAAAGGGCCTATACTATACTATGCATCAAAGTAACAAGGCAAAACTGTTTATCGTTGTCTTTCATTATGATGACAATGATGAAATCTTTGTACATAAATAATGAATAATGATTACGATAATAACAATACTAATGATAAGAAGAATAGTAATTTTGATAATGATAATAGTAATAATGTTAATAAAAATCAACATAATGTTCATCATCATCATCGTCACCCTCACTTTAATTTGTTATAATAATAATAATAATAATGATAATAAAAATGTTGCTTATAAACAAACAAAATATAACAAAATAGACTGATAAACAAAAATTTTAAAAAAAGGGGAAAATAAATCTACAAATTACAATACATATGAAATACACATCAATGTGAACAGGGTAAGCTAATCAACAAAACAATTTTGAATAAATATGTCTTAATAATAATAATAATGATGGATTCTTTATATAGCGCACATGTCCGTCACGTTGTGACGCTCCTGGCGCTGCCCCGATTATCATGATTACCCTGGCTTTAGCAAGGCGGCCACTGCGGCGCTCTAGCATTTCAATCAAGGAATTAATTCCAGCCAGGTACCCATTTACATCACCTGGGTTGAGTGTGGCAAATGTATATCAATGTCTTGCCAAAGGACATTAGTGCCGCGGCGGGACACGTTATAGAAGTAGTACCATTATTATTCTTCTTATTATCATTATATTGCTTTTATTTATTTGTATTACTAAAATTCATTAATATTATTTATTATTATTATCATCATGATGATGATCATTATTATTATCATCATAATACTATTACTATTTGGCCAATCTCCATCCTGTTTATCTGATATTACTGCTTTTATACAAATGGACTTATTACAAGGAGTCTCTTTTAAAGAAAGCAGAAAAAGATTGTATACAATTTATCTGTCCTTGTATGATATATGATGATGATGTGTGTGGGGGGGGGGGTAGTTTTTATATTTGTGAAACTTCAAGGGCGTGCAAAACCCATGTTTCATTTTTAAATCAGTTCCGTGTAATTCAATTTCAATTTCAATTTATTCAGCCAATGATTAAAAACAATTTACAATGACAATGGTACTGGAACAATAATATAACATGATGACAGGCTGAGAAGCAGAGCTTGTAAATGGGGCCCATTAACATAGAATTAAATACAAATATAATAAAAACATACTATAACAAGCAAATAAAAAAGAGATATATGTATATTCATACTTATTACAAAACAATTACAAATATTTTGCAAACACACTCAACCATACTCACTCACTCTCACACACACACACACACACACACACAATGCAATGTACTTTATATCATATTATAAGAGAGAGAGAGAGAGAGAGAGAGAGAAGAAGATAGTAGAATATTTAAAAGAAAAAGGAAAAAGAGGAAACACATGAAAAATGCGAAATATGAAATTAAAACTTATAGTCCTACCCAGTAATTAACATCCATCTCGTGATAGAAAATGTCCTTCCTTTTTACTTCTCTATATTTTATTTTGTTTAGGTGAACGACCTAGTCCAGCGATGTACCACTAAGAAATCAGAACTGGAAAAGAACATTCAGAACGTGGAAGTGCAACGTAATGAAGTATTCACTGCCGTGCAGAAACTACTGAATGATGTCAGTCAAGCCTACAGCATCAAGGCTAAAGAGCTTGAAGGAAATCATCGAAATCTCATCGAGCAAATCAATGCAGTCAAGCGGAGTTTCGATGACGAACTCAACGTCTTGAAATCCAAGGATCGACAGAGGATCAAGAGTATTTGTAGTTCAATAACACTGGTAGCTAATGACAGACTGGGTCGTCTTGAGACGGACAGTCTGTCTGCTCATACCTTGCTCTGTGAGGAGCTGGATGCCATGCTGAGGGAGGCTACTGATAACTCTTCTGCGGCAGCCATTACGAAGAAAGCACAGGAGACGAGGTTCAAGCCTGCATATGATACTCGTCTTGACCTCGGGAGCATCTCAGAATCAGATCACAAGTTGCAAGTCATTCAATGTGTAGATCTACGGGGATGCATGCATGGAATGACCCAGTACTCTGATGACGGTGTGGCTATCGGATATTGGGATTCACATGATATAGATACCATTGATTCAGCTGGTAAACAAGAGCAGTATGCAAATATACCAACTAATAAGAAGTGTTATGATCTTGTGTTTCAACAAGACAGGTCGTTATGCATATCGATGGGCCCCAGGGAAGTACACATATATTATCCCAATGGATCCAGGAAATCAACTATCCACGTGAATAGCAATTACGATCCTCTCAGATTAAACAGAAGTCCTTCAGATGAAATCCTCATCGCTAACAATGGGAAGAAAGTCTACATCTATGACCCGACTGAATCCACTCTCAAACACACTGTTTCAACAAAACACAACATGACCCAGGTATCTGCTACCAGGTCGGGTTTGATCGTCACGTGTTCATGTTATCCAAGCGTGGTGACAGTCTATGACAGGAATGGGAATGCTGGTAAGTCTCTAGAAGCTCCAAACGATGTCCTCCTGTTTGCTGCCGTGGATGAGCAGGACAGGGTGTATGTAGCGAGTGTTGATCGTAAGAAGGGTAACGTGGCGATCAGGCTCTATGACCTTGATGGTCTGAACCTGAAGGAAAGAGTTGAGTTTAATGTACTTAATCTGACGCTTGAAGATCCTTGGTGTTACTTGGTTTCCCTCTCTCCAGACATGCTTGCTTTTGCTCGTCACAAGAAGTTGTATTTTATCAAAGTATCACTGTAATCCATCTCACACTCTATATACCTCTCTGCTCCAGCTCTATTCTAATATGGGCCTATAATGGGTCATATTACATGTATATTGTTTATTATGTGATTACTGACCAAACGAGAAGATGCCCATTCTCAGATAGATTTTACAGTGGACATTATAACAATATAACAATAACGTACGTCCCTCTATCTGAATAGTATGCGCATTCGTAAAATGTACGTAAATTATATACTTCTTGAATTGTTTTCTATTTGATATTTTATTATATGATTGGTACTACAAAATCAAAGATTAATATAGAATACAGAAACACTGTTGATTTTTTTCGTTTTGGCTCATTGTTTTGGCGATTTACTCTAATGAGAGCAAAATGAATCTCTGTCGTAAAGCAATATTCGTTGTTATATTCTTTGATTGATATTTAATTTGTTTTTGTGTGTGACAAAGCACATCCTGACTTAATATTGTACTTTGGAGCCGAAAAGTATTTTTTAAACTTCTGGTATCAATATTCCCTTATCCCTTTTCCTTCGGTTTCATTGTAGCATAATTTAATACTACTTAAAAGTAATTCATAACTTTAGAGACTTTGAATTTGAATGTAAGAGGTATATATATGTTTCCATCGCTTGAGACGCAAAAAAAGAGAAGCAAGTGATCTGATATCGTAAGGTATAACTTGAAAATTGATATAATATTGATGACCTTCTCATTGGTGTGATTTATATTATGTCGTCATTCTCAAAGTACATACATGTTTATTTTGTTTTTGTTTCTATTTCTTGATTTTTCATTTAATTACTTTTTTTCTTTAAATGAACAAATAATTAGTACTGACTTTGTAATGGACCCCCATTGTAGCTGTCAAGGGTCATCCTGTCAATTTATTGGTATTACTGTTTCGGTTTCATGTCATAATATCATTTTACTCTTTGTAGTTATGCTACATTGAACTGAACTAATACATCAAATCGAATTCGTTTAAAAGCTTTACAGGACCGTGGTGTATTTATTGCTGCATTCCATTAAAAAAAAACTTCGTGTTCATTTTGCACCCTTTCTGGAAAGCCATTAAATGTAATGCTCTGGGGACTGATGATATGACAGATTTGTTTGCTTTCATGTGGAGAAGAACAATGTATAAAGAGACGAAGATGAAAGAGAGAAATGGACGGAGATAAAGGAAGAATAGTCGAAAAAAAGGGGGGGTGTAGTTATAGAGTAGTTGCCGTTCTTAAATCTTTCAAATATATTGTAGTAATGAAAGCAAATCAAACGTCTTGCTATATTATCCAGGATTCTACTAAAGTAGATCTCCAACATAATATTTCAACTACTGAAAGCCTAAACAAGTCGCCCTCTGTAGAAACAATCCCGACCTTAGATTATATTTCTTCATTTTTTGTGTGTTTAGATAATGTCCCTACAACTTCTTCCTGACAAAGTTTGGTGCTTGGGTATAGATGCGGTAACCCAATGTGATCAACTTCCATTCCCTTATCGGGCCTAAACCCGTGGACAATGTTCAGGTTGATATGTTTTAGTAGATGGCATGGATGGTAAGTTTGTTCGGTCAATTGTTATGGGGAAAATTGACGACTATTTCGGGACAGACTACTGGCTCCAGTACGGTTTCTTATAAAGCTTTGTTAAGTACCTTTAAAAGGAAATCCAACCTTTCGATTAAACCACTCTGGATGAAAGGAGAAATATCAGAAAAGTAGACTGGTGAAAGTTTGAATGAAATTGGACAAATGAAAAAGTTATGAATTGTTTAAAGTTGTAATCACTATAGATATGGGCTCTTCAAATTGGCCGAATCGGTTAGGTCTCTGTGATGTAATGGCGGGCAACTTTCCCATTTGTTCCAACACAGAAAATGACTTTACAAAAATCAAAATATTATGACTATTAAAAGCATGGTTAATTTTCTTCAGAGGACCCATAACAATATGCTATCCATAATATATTTTGAGTAGTGCTCCGAGGGAGAAGGCGCTTAGGCAAAAAACAGGAACATATAGATATTTGGTTAACACGACAAACGGGAGAGTTATTAGTCACTACGTCATAATCCAATGACCAATCTGCCAATTTGAGATACGCTTTTATAAAAATAAACTTATTACAAAGGTTGGATTGCCCTTAAATAAATCGATTCCCCCCCCCCCCTCTGTTTTTCTTAACTTTGAAAATAGTTATAGAAAGTATGTATACGCTGTAATGTTTATATCATTACATTAACAAGGTTCATTTTTCTTTGTATAAACACAGTTTTATTAACATACACTGGATATATTTTTGGAAGATCTAGATTTTACTTGTCTTATGTGATATTGACATCTGTAAAATAAGTGTCCTTTTCTTATTACTGTAAGCCTGTACAAATTAAAATCACAAGAATAACAAATATTCTGAGTATGACAAAACTACTGATTTCAATTGTTTAGTCGTTATTGAGGTGATAAAAAATGTCTAAATGGAAGCTGACATAGAATTATGTAATATTGATCCTTATCAGCTTTGATCACATTTCATGTCCATACAGTTTAAAATATTAGGCATGAATTGAAGGGCATAGTAAAAACTAACAAATCAACATTTAAAAGAGACACATATTCAAAATACTATTGGACGGAATTGCACGTAATATTGACTTTGATACAATTCAGATGTTTATAGGAGAAAAGAGAGGAAGACAGCATGGGATAAAGAGAAACAGTGAGAGAGAGAGAGGAAAAATAGAGTGTGTGAGGGAGAGGAAGAGAGAGATAATGAAATAAAGAAAGAAAGAGAGAAAGTTATAACCGACAGAATGATGATAAGAGTAAAATCAATTCGTTATTTCATGGACTCGTGTTGTAGGGTTTATGCAAGATTATTTCAAATAAATCATATTTCGGTGCAATACAGGCTAAAGTGACATGCTCAATTTGGTTTCATTTAACTCATTGATTATCAGCTCGTGAGACAGAAATGACTCACATTATCATGGTTAAATGCCTTAATCATGAGAGGAAGTGGTAAAACATTTTTTCCCATCATATTACTGTAAGGAAGGTTGTAGCCTCGCAGCAATCTCTACGCAAGAATTAAAATTATTGACTGACAAATAAAAAGAGAAGTGGAAGTAGATAAATGAAGAATAGTGGAAAAAGAAAAGGGTTAAATATAAGTGTAGTCCTGATCTTCTACCTTCGAGGATTCTACTAGAGTGAATCTCCAGCATAATATTATATCTACCGCTGAACATCTAAATACGTCGCCCTCTATCGAAAAAATGATGAATATACCGCCATCAAGTTCAAAGGTGCTTATACGCTGCGAGCGCTCTCTGTGGGAATACCCACTGCTATTTATAGGATGCACAAGTGCACTGTATATATTCACAGTAGATCTACTAAAGTGTGATTTCACTAGTATAACCTTATTTGTATTCACGTACACATTTGAATAGAGAATTAATACTTTTGATCAAAGTTAGGCGCACCTCTTTCGTCACATATTTTAATCAACGTGAGAACTGGGTACAGTACTGCATGCAGTTAGGACGCACTTGTTGCGTAGAGTCGAGTGTTGTTAAAGTCTAGGCCTACTACGTTACTGCATATTATTAGAGCTTGCATGAACTGAGTATTGGCTTCTAGTACACGTCAGCTGATCAGACTTTTGAGCTTTATTGGATAAGCGTAGAATGAGCTCGTGTTTGTAATAAGTCAGAACTCTAATATTTGTAACAATGGCTGCGAAAACTGAGGAAGCTCCAAGCTCTTCAGAGAACCTGACGTGTCCACTATGTCTTGATATCTTCGACGAGGCAACCATCCTGAATTCATGCGGACACACCTTTTGTCGGAAATGTCTCAAGAACTATGACCTGTCCCATCAGGATCTTGATCACATGATATGTCCTCTCTGCAGGAAGATCACCAAGTTGTCTGCGAACCGTGTTGATGATTTCCTCACCAATGTGACTGTCAACGGACTTGTAGACAATTACCACGCCGAGTGTAGAGGGATGAACGCTGTCCTTGAGATGAGTCCGAAATGCACTGCGTGCATGGTTCAGCAAGATGCTGTTTCATTCTGCTGTACATGTAATAACTACATGTGTGATAAGTGTCTGGATTGTCATCAACATCTTAAAGTCTTCTTTGGAGGTCACGAAATTGTATCCATACAGGATATCACCAACGGGAAGGTCAGCATTGGTCATCTTTCTGAGAAGTGCTGCATCCACAAACAAGAGAACAAAGATATGTTTTGTGAGGACTGTAAGGTCCACGTCTGTTTCAAGTGCGTGATCGTCGGTCATCAAATTCACAAAATCAAGAATCAGGCTGACTTCGAGCAGGAGTTACGGCTAAAGGTAAACGTTGTTTTATTTTAAGTACTGTGGACGCCGGAAGCGGAGAGGGGGGGGGGTCGCTTTTGAGGAAAAAAAGAAGATTTGTTTAATTCCTTTGCATTATAATAACATTAGAAATGCTCTAAAAGTTAAATTGTCAGCATCCTGCAATCAACTTTTCCCCATTCAGGGTTGATTATGTTTCTAAACCATGTCTACAACACAGTGCGTCCGTTCAGAAAAAAAAAACCCGAGAATAATCGATGTTTTATCATAACTTAATCACAATTATAAACAATAAATCTCACACGTTTGTAAAGCTTAGATCTTCCTCTTTCATTTGATGCAACTCATATAATGAATACTACATGAACAATTTGAAGAAAGGGTACTAAAAAGTCGTTTTGGCGGACGGTATCTGAATTTCAAAGAGAAAATCACATTTCCAAAAGGTTCATTTTTTGCCCTTTCATATTATGACACCTCAATTTGGAAAAAAGAGCCAGGAATAACAACGTTCCGTTTGTTTAAAGTAATGCTTGCATTTCCATAATGTTATTAAACGAATTCGTTTTCACTGGCTGTCTGCCCTAACAACGAAGAAGACAAAAAACTTAATGCATGGCTGATCGTCAACGAAACGGAGTGTGTTGTTTGTTCCTACGGCAGGCAGCCAGTGAAAACGAGTTCGTTTTCCAAACTATACTTGATTATAACTTTCAATTTCACAGAATCCATTAATGTTTCGCTACACCTCCTCGCGTAACAGTAAACTTCTGCCGAGCTATATGATCCTTAATATTATAAAAACACTGTTACATGAGGTATGTTATGTCTTTATTGAAATAACAACTTTAAATATGCTTCAATTTGCAATATCTTAAATCTGCCTCTGTGTTTAAAACACATGGTTAAGAAAGTCAATACTACAAGAAAAGAAGAGGAAAGCGAAGTCTTTTCTCTTTCTTTTGTTAAAAATTCAAAACACTATTCTTTATTAATATCAAAGAAATTGTGTATAAAAGAAGAAATGGTGCTTGTTGCTTACGAGGTAGGTGGGCTATTTGAAGGTATTAAGCGTAGCTACATTTTAAAGCTCTACATTTATTTTGTAGAAAATAAATTAAAAATTAAAAATTAAAAAAATATTGTACAAAATCTAGAGTGTTTGCCTCCCCTTCTAAAGTTGGAACGGTTCCGGCGCGCCTGGAAGGTTCAAAGGGGTACAATATAATTATGTAGCATCATCTTCATCTCAATTCTGTTCAGTTCAGTTTATTTTTTCAACCATTTATAATCGAATATACAAAGCATGTAATATACAAAAGAATACAAAAAAATGGGTAGGATCCCCCCAAAAAGAAAGGCTTGATAAAAATTGGAGCAATCGATACATATATATACCCTTTTTTCCCTCCCTGTTTTTTGTTTTGTTTCTCTCAATCTCTCTCTCTCTCTCTTCGTTACCTCCTCCATTTTGAGGTTTACCTTTTAAAGGGGTGAAAGGGGCACGTATGCCATTTTTCTGAACTAAAAAAAAACAAAATCCGAGAAAATAATTTAGATAGATGTAAGGAATCAGTGAAACTTCATTACTTTGTATTCGTGAAAAAAGTGCCTATAGCAATTGTTATATTTTCATAAGCACTTCGCATCAAAGTCAATATACAAAAATATTTGGCTTTGTCTACCATTATGATGACGTTGATGATAATAATTTTTTTTCATGAATAATAACTAATGATAATAATAATGATAAGTAGAATGAGAATAGTAATTATGACGATGGTAATAGTAATGATGTTTATTAAAATCATCATTATCATCACCATAGTCGGTATAATAGAAGAAGTAGTATCATTATTCTCCTTATTATTATTTTATTACTTTCGATTGTTAAAACTAATAATTTCATCAATCTTTTTATCATGATTATTATTATTATTATTATCATAAAACTATTACTATTTGGCCTATCTCCATTCTTTTATCTTATATTTCTGCCTCCATAGAAATTAACTTATTACTAGGAATCCAGGAAATCAACCTTCGACGTGTCTGAATAGAATTGGTTTTTTTCTCAGACTAAACAGAAGTCCATTAGAAGAAATCTGTCACACTGAGAAGAGAGTCTTTATCTATATAACCCCACTGGATCTACTCTCAAACACACTGTTAAAAAAAAACACAACCATTCTTTTTATTTCTGCTTTCATAGAAATGAACTCATTACAAGGGCTGTGTTCCCTTTTAATGACGCTGAAAAGCAATGTATTCGAATCCGCGGCCCTTATGATTAGGGGGGGGGGGGTGTCGTGTTTCTTAATCTTGTGGAAAATCAGACGCACGCGAAATCCGGTGTTAATTTTTCAAACCCTCTCCGTGTAATTGGCATACATCTTATTCTACCAAAAAAAAATTTCCTTCTCGTTTCTCTATTATTCGTTTTGTTTAGGTAAACGACCTTGTCCAGCGATGCGCCGCTAAGAAGACAGAACTGGAGAAGAACATTCAGAATGTTGAAGTACAACGCCATGAAGTATACACTGCCGTGCAGAAACTACTGGACGACGTCAGTCGAGCCTACAGCATCAAGGCTAAAGAGCTCGAAGAAAATCATCGAAATCTCATCGAGCAGATGAATGCAGTAAAGCGGAGTTTCGATGACGAACTCAACGTCTTGAAATCCAAGGATCGACAGAGGATCAAGGGTATTTGTAGTTCAATAACACTGGTATCTAATGACAGACTGTGTCGTCTTGAGACGGACAGTCTGTCTGCTCATACCTTGCTATGTGAGGAGCTGGATTCCATGCTGAAGGAGGCTACTGATCACATTTCTGCGGCAGTCATTACAAAGAAAGCACAGGAGAAGAGGTTCAAGCCTGCAGATGATACTCGTCTGGACCTCGGGAGCATCTCAGAATCAGATCCAAAGTTGCAAGTCATTCAGTATGTAGATCTACGGGGACGGATGTATGGAATGACGCAGTATTCTGATGACAGTGTAGCTATTGGATATTATGATACACATGGTATAGATATCATTGATTCAGCTGGTACAAAGGGGCAGTATCCAAACATACCAAGTAACATGGAGTGTTATGACGTTGTGTTTCAACAAGACAGGTCGTTATGCATATCGACGGGTAGCAAAGAAGCACATATATATTCTCCCAATGGATCCAGGAAATCAACCATCCACGCGAATAGCAATGGCAATTTTCTCAGATTAAACAGAAGTCCCTCAGGTGAAATCCTCATCGCTAACAATGAGAAGAAATTCTATATCTATGACCCGACTGGATCTACTCTCAAACACACTGTTCCAATAAAACACAAGACGCTCCAGGTATCTGCTACCAGGTCGGGTTTGATCGTCACGAGTTCATGTATATACACCTATCCAGGCGTGGTGACGGTCTGTGACAGGGATGGGAATGCTGGTAAGTCTCTACAAGACCCGAGCGGTGTCAACCTGTATGCTGCCGTGGATGAGCAGGACAGGGTGTATGTAGCGAGTGTTTATCGTAAGAATGGTCACATTGTGATCAGGCTGTATGACCTTGATGGTCTGAACCTGAAGGAAAGAGTTGAATACAATGTACTTAATCTGACGCTTGGAGACAATTGGTGTTACTTGGTTTCCCTCTCTCCAGACATGCTCGTTTTTGCTTGTCACAAGAAGTTGTATTTTATCAAAGTATCACTGTAATCCATCTAACACTCTACATGTATATACCTCTCTGCTCTAGCTCTATTCTAACATGGGCCTATAATATGTCATATTACATGTATATTGTTTATTATGTGATAACTGACCGAATGAGAAGATGCCCATTCTCTAGATAGATTTTGATTGCCTGTTACAGTGGCCATTATACAATATAACAATAACGTCCCTCTATCGAAAGAGTATGTAAATTCGTAAAATGTACGTAAATTATATGCTTCTTGCACTATTTGATTGTTTTCTCTTTGATATTTTATTATATAATTGGTACCGGAAAATCAAATATTGATATAGAATACAGACAAACTGTTGAAGTATTTTTTTGTTGTGGCTCATTGTTTTTGCGATTTTTTCTAATGGTTGCAAAATGAATCTCTTTCGTATATTAGTATTCGTTGTTATATTCTTTGATTGATATTTAATTTGTTTGTGTGTGTGACAAGGCACATACTGACCAAATATTGTATCTTTAGAGCAAAACGTATTTTTCAAACGTCTGGTATCAATATTCTCCTATCCCTTTTCCTTCTGTTTCATCGTAGCAGAATTTAATGCTACTTAAAAGCAGTTCAAAACTTTGCAAACTTTGAAGTAAAATTTTAGAGGTTCCACTTGAGACGCAAGAAAAAGAAGCAAGTGACATTATGTTTAATATGAACATTTATAAAAATATTATTAATCAACTTCTTTAATTTAGTGTTATTTCCATTACTAGTATGTTTTTCTTCTCAAAGTATTAAAAAGTTTATTCTGTTTGGTATTATATTTGTTGGTTTGTATTGTGATTACTTTGTATACTTAAATGAAGAAATAATTAATACTGACTTTATTAATAGTAGAACATTGTAAATAAGCTTTTCAGCTTCCATGGGTCCTTCATTCAATTTAATGGTATTATTATTTTGTTTTCATTTCATAATATCAGTTTATTCTTCGTAGTTATGCTATATTTAAATTGACTTATACATCAAATCAAATAACAATTATAAAATTAAGAAAGGAAAAACCTTAAAGGACCATATTGTAAATATTGCTACATTCCATGAAACGCTCCTTCTTATTCACTTTGCACCCTTGCTATGATTTAGAGAGAAAATGTATTAACATAATTTAGTCCTAGTATAACAGTCGGATGTTCTGTTTTTTACTAAACATCCTAAATAATGTAAGGATACTATGATATCATTGTAAACGTTTACTGCAATTATGTTATAATTAGTGATTTCACTATAATTTTTTTTCATGTAAATTCAACTGTTGTCAAAAAATTATATCGCTTCAATTCAATTCAGTTAAGTTGAATTCGACTCAAATCAGTTCAATCTATACAAACTATCAATTTTTAATGAGTAGCTTGGGATATCTTCATCTAAATCTAATAAGGGTAGAAAAGAATGGGGTAAGAGAGGACTATGTTTATCATTTGATAAATTGTAAAAATGATGGGGATATTAAACTATGGACCTACTATGTATAAACCTACATTTGGTCATGCTAGTAGACATGTAGGGAAAACCCATGGATGAATTTGGACAAAACACCATTTCAATCCACCATCGTCAGAAAATGACGTTCCAGTTGATATGGTTGTAAGAAGATGACATCGAAGAAATTCCTTGCATGCTAAATCGAACTCTGAGACGATGTTCTTTGTCTCTTTCTTTTGATTTTTTTTTTAAGGGGGGCGGGTTTTGATAATTGCATCTCGATGAAAAAATGATTTTGGTGAAAAATGAGGCGGCTTTCGATACAGACTCCCGAAGCCCGTTTTTTGCGATTGGTATCAATTGCAACTATGTACATGAGAGATACGAGACTGCAAACTTGCGATTGATTCGGATCAATCGCAAGTCTTTTTAAGATGGGGCCCTGGTCTTTATACTGTTTTGTACAACGTTTTGTAAAGTACGTTTAACACGTCTCAAATTTGTATTTTTGTTATTTCCTCCTTTGTTCCTTTTTTATTAAATTAGAAAATATTATGTTTAGCTGTAAACCTATCCTATTAGTAATTGTACATTCTTTTGTCTTTATGCACACGGTATTTGTGATTAAAACTGCATAAATGTATATTCTACAACCGTCTCATATAATATCGACATGTGTGGAATGTGTCCCTTTATTATGACTACAAGCATAAACAAATTAAAATGTCAAGAGCAGCATATTTTAAAGATTATAAAAAAGAGTGACTGAATTGTTTCCTGGTTATTAAGGTGAGACGGAATTGCATAATATAGACTTTGGTAATATTCATATATTTATAGGAGAAAGAGACAGCAAGACAGCGAGAGAAGAAAGAGATGCAGAGAGAGAGAGAGAGGGGGGAGAGAGAGAGAAATTAATAAAGAAAGATAGAAACTTTACAGCCAACAGAATGTTGATGAGAGAAAATCTTTTCGTTATTTCATTTACCCATGTAAGAATTGTCTTTTAATTATTATTTTTTAATCGTATTTTGGTGCAACGCGGGCTATAGTGACATTTTCAATTTGATATCATTTAACTCATTGATGATCAGCTCTTGAGACAGAAATGACTCTCATTATCACGGTTAAATGCCTAAATCATGAGATTTTTAGAGATTTTTTAAATAGATTTGTTTGTGTATAAGAGAGGAAGAGGTAAAACATTTGTTTCCATCCAAATCATTTACTATATAGGAAAGTTGTAGCCTCGTAGCAATATGTACGCAAGCATTTGAATTATTGACTGACAAATATACATGTATATAGAAAGAGAGAAGTGGAAGGAGATAAATGAAGAATAGTGGAGAAAGAAGGGGTGAAATATAAGTGTAGTTCTAATCCTTTACCCTTCTAAACAGAGTAATGAAGAAAAATAAAATGGTCTAACATCGAGGATCCTAGAGTGAATCTCCAACGTTATATTATATCCACCGCTAAAAACCTAAATAAGTCGCCCCCTATCGAAACAATGATATATACCGCCACAAAGTCCAAAGGTGCTTCTGCGCTGCGAGCGCTCTCTGTGGGAAACCCACTGCTATTTATAGGATGCACAAACTGCATATATGCACAGTAGATTTACTCAAGTGTGATTCTACCATTATAACCTTCTTTGTATACAGGTACACATTTTGAATAGAGAATTCATACTTTTGATCAAAGTTAGGAGCACCTCTTTCGACACATATTGTATATAATCAACGTGAGAACTTGGTACAGAACTGCATGCAGTTAGGACGCACTTGTTGCGTAGAGTCGAATATTGGTAAAGTCTACTACGTTACTGCATAAATAATAGTAAGAGCTTGCATGAACTGAGTATTGGCTTCTAGTGCACATGAGCTGATCAGACTTTTGAGTTTTATTGAACACAAATTGGATATAGACGTAGAATGAGCTCGTGTTTGTAATAAACCTGAAATCTGATATTTGTACCAATGGCTGAGAAGACTGAGGAAAAGAAAGCACCAAGCTCTTTAGAGAACCTGACGTGTCCACTATGTCTCGATATCTTCGATGAGGCAACCATCCTGAGTTCATGCGGACACACCTTCTGTCGGAAATGTCTCAAGAACTATGACCTTTCCCACCAGGACCTTGATCACATGATCTGTCCTCTCTGCAGGAAGATCACCAAGTTGTCTGTGAACCGTGTCGATGATTTCCTCACCAATGTGACTGTCAACGGACTTGTAGACAATTACCATGTCGAGTGTGGAGGGGTGAACGCTGTCTTAGAGATGCGCCCAAAATGCACTGCTTGCAAGTCTCATCAAAATGCTGTCTCATTCTGTTTAACTTGTAATATCTACATGTGCACTAATTGCGACTGCAGCCATAAGCAGCTGACATTATTTTTTGAATGTCATGAGATTGTTTCCATACAGGATATCATCAGCGGGAAGGTCAGCATTGGTCATCTTTCTGAGAAGTGCTGCATCCACAAACAAGAGAACAAAGATATGTTTTGTGAGGATTGTAAGGTCCACGTCTGTTTCAAGTGCGTGATCGTCGGTCATCAAATTCACAATATTAAGAATCAGGCTGACGTCGAGCAGCAGTTACGTCTTAAGGTGGGTGCATGCATCATTTTACAAAAAACTAAATTGCGTTTGGCTAAGTCCTGACAAGGTGTACTCATACAATACACACCTGTTTACGGTTACAAGACGGAAACGATCTACGCAGAGACGGCGCTCCTTGGGGCAAGGGGGCACAGCCCCCCCCCCCCATATGGAAACGTTGCATCATCCGCTCAATCTGACTTGCGTGCATAGAACAAATAAGCATTTTTCCATGAAAAAGTGAAGTTTTCTAAAATGTGCGTTTCTTTCCAGCATTGGGGCGGCCGGAAGTCACTCGGGTAACATTTCATAAAGTATAATATAAAAAGACCATATGCAAATTTCTGTACTTTTGTCGGAAAAAGTACATTTATCCAGCACAATGTCGTCTCTTTTTGCGTTGGAGAAGAGCAAATAGCGAGTTTCAATCACACTTGGCCGCTCTCGCAAGCTCTCACCCGTTTCACTGTGATCAAGCGACTTTGGGGCAAGCGGTTAATGAAAATACTAATCGTTAGCTTTCTTCTGGTACTAAACTTGTTTTGATTGATTGTATAACTATGTCGGAATAAAGGAATTAAAAAGGCTTTACCAATAACTTATCAGCGTCTGAATTGACCCTTTGACCTTGAATTCTCTGATGCAAGCGCACTATGACGTCATCTTCGCTAAATTGGTGTCTTTTATCGTAAAATGCTACACTTTCACAATGTTTATACATCTTTTTTAATTATTAGTAAGATATAACATATTTTGTCTGATATCACTGAAGTTTTGGGTTTTATTTAATGAGTGATTTTAAAATAAGAGCCATTTTACTGTTTTAATTTACTGGATCGTACCATTAAAGTCGTAGGGTAGAAAGATGCATTTTCCAACCGCGCCAAATTTAATTTACGTTAAATGGGTTCGTGCTGTTAAGAATCCACTGCTTTCTGCTCCACCAAACGTCCACATGCGGAGTCGTTTATCAACTAAATTATTCAAATTTATGGATGCTTCCTTCCCAGGTGTTTGTGTTGTTGAAGCATTTCATGCACCTGCTATCATTCTTTGTACTCCAAGTGCCAGAACGCAAATTACATTTTGGTTTAATAGTTTCATCGGAGTCGTTTATCAACTAAATTATTCAAATTTATGAATGCTTCCTCCCAAGGTGTTTGTGGTGTTTATGCATTTCATTCACCTGTTATTATTCTTTGTACTCCAATTGTTAGAATACAAAATGCATTTTGGTTTTTATAGTTTCATGCAATAAGTAAGTCAATAAAAGTCTATGTTCTGCACAATAAAAATAATGTGTGTCCCTATTGTACAATGTAATGTGCCCCCTCATTTTGTAATAGTTAATTTACCCATTCACATAATGGAACTACCTGCCCGATTAAGCCAGTGGCCCGTGACCCCTGAGCACTCAACACCGTGTGGGAGTCAGTTTGTGGTCAACTTCTTTTATGAAACAAATACAAGCAAATGTTTCCATATGCCCCCTCCCAACTTCTTCAAGTACCAAACAAGTGCCCATCTTTACATAGGAAGTGCCCATTTTACTTTGACAAGTGTCCCTATTAATTTGTAAAAGTGCCCCTTCCCCTCTCCACCTCTGAAAAGAACTCCTTTTATTTTGACACGTGCTCCTTTTCCTTCGACAAGTACCCATTTTCCTTTGCAATATGTGTCCATTTTCAATCCTCATAAGTGCCCTTTTTAATATCTAGTAAGTGCCCCTTTTCAGGTACGAGAAGCGCCCCTTTTCACTTTTGATAAGCACTCCTTTCACCTCTGATAATTGCCCAATTCAAATCTGAGAGGTGCCCCTTTTGCTTTGACAAGTTCCCCTTTTCCTTTGTAACATGTGCCCCTTTTCCTTCCTTAGAGAAGCTCTTTTCCCTTCTTCTTAGTGCCCCATCCCCTACTCATAATCAGGCACGTAGCCACGGGGGGGGGGGCACGTGTCCCCCCCCCCCCAAAAAAAAATATTCCAAGATCGATTGAACTTTTTTAGACCCCTTTTTTTACCTCGATCGATTACATGTATGTGCCCCCCCCCCCCAAACATCAAACTCTGGCTACGTGCCTGCTCATAATTACCCCTTTTCATCTCTGATAAGTGCCCCGTTTATTTTAACATGTGCCTCTTTTTCTTTTTAATAAGAGCCACTTCCCCCCTTAACATAAAAGCCCCCTTTCACCTCCGATAAATGCCCTTATTAAAATCTGATCGGTGCCCCTTTTCTTTCAGCGAATGCACATTGCCCTTTAGTATTAGTTCCCCTTTTCAATTGCGATAAGTGCCCCGCTTTTCACCTCTGATAATAACCCTTTTAACAATAATGCGTGCCCTTTTTCCTTTCTAATAAGGAATCTATCCCCTTTTCATAAATGCCCCTTTCCTTTCTTATAAATGCCCCTATCAAAATCGGACGGTCCTCTTTTCCGTCGAAAAATACCCATTTCTCATTCTCATAAGTGTCTTTTTTCATCCCTGGTGAGTGCCAGGATTGGGTTTTTCTTCTTTATAAGACGTAATTTTTCGCACTACGACCTCACAAATCTTTAACAAAAATTCTCGCTCGCAAATGAATTTTCAGACCATCACACCACCTGCAAAGTATGATGCTTTAGCAATATCTTACATGATGTATACAGAGAAACAAATCTATTGAAATCATCCCTGATAATGTAATCACAATATAGGGGTACATACCAATGTCTAGAAAAATGTGTATATTTTCGCTTTGAGAATTCCCTTTGAAGGTGCCCTTTTTTGTTGGTGCCCCTCCCCCCCCCACTTTGAAAGTCGCTCTGTCGCCTCTGGATCTACGCCATGGCCCCAGAGTATTCGGTTAGAGCTTTCCTCTATAAAAGGGGAACAGGCAAAGGCACCACCCGGTTTGCTAGACAATAGCACAATTGTATTAGGTAATATCGCAGACTAAAAAAGCATTTAAGATGTCTAAAGTACGGTTTCAACTTTTCAAAACGCTACCTTTTTTCTCTCTAACACTAGGCCTCCTCGCATTTTAATAGTTGAAATGTGTCCTATCAATATACAAACCCTGTCTACTGTATATGGTATTTACGCGGATAGAATGAGAAGTCCAATCCTACTCCCTAGTTAAGAGGGTGGGGTAACACTTTTTCCACCCCTTTCACTAGACAAAGCTTTTTCTGTTGCTCGCATATTCTCACTTTTATGTAAATCATTATTTTGAAGGAGGCAGGGATTTTCTGTGGTGTTTCAAACTATACTTGATTGCACTTTTCAATTTTACAGAAGCAATTGTTTCGCTTGGTCGCTACACTCCCTTGCGTAATATTAAACGCTCTGTCGAGCCTTATTATCCTTAATATTTAATAGAGAAACACTTTTATATTTGGGCAGCCGGCTAATTTATCAGGTTACGAGATCTAACTCCCCGAAACCACTTCTTGACTCGTTGCACAAGCTTCCTGGGAGACATCGTATAGTTTTTTAATTACTATTTTTATTCTATAAATCCCTTAATAAACAGGCACCCCAATACCTACATGATTGTTTGACCCTATACACCTCTCGCCGGAATCTACGAGCCTCCAGTGACCCACTCCGTCTTATACATATATACAACATCACACGGAAACTAGCTGGAGATAGGACTTTCACTAAAACTGCATCTTAATATTGGAATAGGCTATCTTTAATACTCAGGCAATCCCCATCTGTCTCTTCTTTCAAAAAGGGACCTAAAACATTTCTTTTTTGTAATCCGGATTTTTAGGAGTCTGTAAGTTTTCATTTTCTTTTCTTGTAGGATTCTTCTTGTTGTTAGCGCTTTGGGCCGCTTTGGGAAAAGCGCAGTATATAAATAATAATAATAATAATAAAAATATATAAGGTATATTATGTCATTATCAAACTAATAACTTTAAATATGCTTCAGTTTGCCAATGCCTTAAACCTGTTTATGTGTTTTAAAACATATGCTTAAGAAAGCTACATTCACATCCAATACTACAATACTCCTTCTTTTGTTAAAAATTCAAAACACTATCCTCTATATAGATCAAGAAACATAAGTATGAGCTTAGAAATAGTGTTTGTTGCTGAGGAGGGGGAGGGGCTATTTGAAGGTAGTAAGCGTAACTACATTTCATAGCTTTACATTAATCAAAAATCCTTGTAAAATACCCAAAGTGTTTGTATCATCATCTCCATATCAATTCAGTTCAGTTGAGTTCATTTTTTTTAACCATTAAAAATAGAATATACAAAGCAAGAAATACAAATAACTATACAAAATAAATTGTTAGGCTGCTCCTCAAAGTTAAGGCTTGATAAAACGCAGCACTCAATACATATATTTCTTTCTTCTCTCCCTCTATTTCTGTTTCTCTCACACTCTTTGTCTTTTCGTTACCTCCTCCATTATTGTGGTTTATCAGTAAAAGGGGCACATATGGAAACGATTGCTTGGATTTGTCTCATAAAAGAAGTTGACCACAACACACAGTGTTGAGTGCAGAGGTCACGGGCACAGAACTGTTACATACGTAGAACGCTCATCCCCATTCACAATGCACAGATCGATGTGTGGCTGTTGAAAGTGCGAGGAGATACGCTCGAGTGCACACGCGGCCATTTTGCTTAGTCCTCGGTCTTTTCAGCTCACATATTTAAAGAATTCCAGCCTAGCTTGTCGTTGAGAAAAAAAGTGGCGAACACAACAGAGGACTGACGAAGATGGCGGATATCACGTGATCACGTACGAGCGCTGGCCACATTTTTCGAACCACTATGAGCCTTCTACGTATATTTACAGTTCTGTGGTCACGGGCCACCAAGGCTTCATCGACAGGTAGTTCCATTAATATGTTAAATGAGTAAATTTCGACAAAAATGTACAAACAATCGAAACAAGTTTAATACCAGAAGAAAGCTAACGATATGTTATTCATTAGCCGCTCATCCCAAAGCCACCTGACCACAATGGAACGAGTGAGGACTTGCGAGAGCGGCCGAAGTGCAATTGAAAATCGCTATTTTGCTCTTCTCCAACGCAAAAAGAGACGACATTGTGCTGGAATACTATGCTTTTTCCGACAAAAGTACAGAGAAAGTACATATCGTTTTTTTTAAAAACTTTTTGAAAGGTTACTTAAGTGAATCCCGGGCACCCCAAGGCTGGAAAGAAACGCAGATTTTTGAAAACATCACTTTTTTCATGCAAAAATGCTTATTTGTTCTACGCACGCAAGTCAGATTGAGCGGATGATACGACATTTCCATATGGCGCCCAGATGATCAAGATTACTTCGTTGCTACGCCATTTTCGGAACTGAAAAAACAAAATCTACGAAAATCATACACATGAATTGAAGAATCAGTAAAACTTCATTATTTTGTATTTTTGCAAAAAGGGCCTATACTATATTATGCATCAAAGTAACAAGGCAGAAATGTTTATCTTTGTCTTTCATGATGATGAAAATGATGAAATCTTTGTACATAAATAATGAATAATGATTATGATAATAACAATACTAATGATAAGGAGAAAAGTAATTCTGATAATGATAATTGTAATAATGTTAATAAAAATCATCATAATTTTCATCATCATCGTCACCCTCACTTTAATTTGTTATAATAATAATAATAATGATGATAATAAAAAAAAGTTACTTATAAACAAAAAAAAATATAACAAAATAGACTGATAAAAACATATTTAAAAAAGGGGCAAATAAACCTACAAATTACAATACATATGAAATACACATCAATCTGAACAGCGTAAGTTAATCAACAAAAGCAATTTTGAATAAATATGTCTTAAGACACGTTAAAGAAGTAGTACCATCATTATTATTCTTTTCATCATTGTATTGCTTTTATTTATTTGTATTACTAAAATTCATCAATATTATTTATTATTATTATCATAATACTATTACTATTTGGCCAATCTCCATTCTGTTTATCTGATATTACTGCTTTCATACGAATGGCCTTATTACAAGGAGTCACTTTTAAGAAAGTAGAGAAACAATTTATACAATTCATCTGTCCTTGTACGATATATGTTGACGATGTGTGTGTTGGGGGGAGGGGTAGTTTTTATATTGGTGAAACTTCAGGGGCGTGCGAAACCCATGTTTCATTTTTAAATCAGTTCCGTGTAATTAGCATCCATCTCGTGCTAGAAAATGTCCTTCTTTTTTACTTCTCTATATTTTGTTTTGTTCAGGTGAACGGCCTTGTCCAGAGATGTGCCGCTAAGAAGACAGAACTGGAGAAGAACATTCACAATGTTGAAGTACAACGCCATGAAGTATACACTGCCGTGCAGAAACTACTGGACGATGTTAGTCAAGCCTACAGCATCAAGGCCAAAGAGCTTGAAGAAAATCATCGAAATCTCATCGAGCATATCAATGCAGTAAAGCGGAGTTTCGATGACGAACTCAACGTCTTGAAATCCAAGGATCGACAAAGGATCAAGATTATATGTAGTTCAAAAACACTGGTAGCTAATGACAGACTGGGTCGTCTTGAGACTGACAGTCTGTCTGCTCATACCTTGCTCTGTGAGGAGCTGGATGCCATGCTGAAGGAGGCTACTGATCACACTTCTGCGGCAGCCATTACGAAGAAAGCACAGGAGAAGAGGTTCAAGCCTGCATATGACACTCGTCTCGACCTCGGGTGCATCTCAGAATCAGATCCAAAGTTGCAAGTCATTCAGTTTGTAGATCTTCAGAAACATATGTCGGGTATTACCCAGTACTCCGATGACAGTGTAGCTATCGGATATTGGGATACACCTGGTATAGATATCATTGATTCGGCTGGTACAAAGGGGCAGTATCCAAATATACCAGAGAACATGAAGTGTTATGACGTTGTGTTTCAACAAGACAGATCATTATGCATATCGACGAGTTCAACAGAAGCACACATATATTCTCCCAATGGATCCAGGAAATCAACCATCCACCTGAATAACGCTATTAAATACAATCTTAACTTAAACAGAAGTCCATCAGATGAGATCCTCATTGCTAACGGTGAGAATAAAGTCTACATCTATGACCCGACTGGATCCACTCTCAAACACACTGCTCCAACAAAACATAACGAGACCAGCCAGGTATCTGCCACCAGGTCGGGTTTGATCGTCACGAGCTGTTGCAGCAATCCAAGCGTGGTGACGGTCTATGACAGGGGTGGGAATGCTGGTAAGTCTCTACAAGCCCCGAGCGATGTCAACCTGTATGCTGCCGTGGATGAGCAGGACAGGGTGTATGTAGCGAGTGTTAATTATCAAAATGGTAACGTGGTGATCAGGCTCTATGAACTTGATGGTCTGAACCTGAAGGAAAGAGTTGAATACAATGTACTTAATCTGACGCTTGGAGATAATTGGTGTTACTTGGTTCCCCTCTCTCCAGACATGCTCGCATTTGCTTCTAACAAGAAGTTGTATTTCATTAAAGTATCATCGTAATCCTTCTCACATTCTATATTACCATTACTGGTGGTGTGTTTACCTCTCTGCCCCACATATACTCTAATACGGGCCTATGTTTCATATTTTATTGTTTGTTATTTAATAACACTTAAGACTTAAAACTTTACAAATGGCAAAGTTGAAGTTAAGAGGTACCTATCAGTTAAAGGGATAGTTGAGTTATGTTGCAGAGGGCGCTTCTCAAAGTATTTTTTGTGAGATAATGAAAAACTGAGTGTCAAATTTGAAAGAACATAATATTTAAATGACAAAATCATCTTTGTTTGATCAAAATCGGTTCAGAGACGGCTGAAATATAACGATAATACTTGTATACCACCATAAATATTAAGTATTTTGAAAAATTTGTAAAAAAACCGTCAAAAAAAGGAAATAACGCCTTTTACATCGTATTTCAGCCAATGCCGATGTTGGCTTTTTTGTTTGCATTTTCGTATTGCTTATAATTACGCACAACCAGCCGGCCCAATGTATTGTTATTTTTAATTAGATAATTAATTAACGGTCACCGTATTTGTTTTAAGTGGAACTGAATTGATATGCTTGTATTGGCTAAATTTCACACATTTTGGGGTCTAAAATTACCTTTATAGCAATTTTAGGTTCTAAAAAGGGCACTAGAAATGTCATAGATAAGAATAAGAGCAATAACCATGCACTTTGAAGGCATTTGCGGTCTGAGAACAGAACTCAACTATCCCTTTAACGACAATTAGGCCTTAGGCCAATCGTTTAACAGTCAGAAGGTCCATATTGCTCCGGTTGTCTCATTTTCGCTCGCTGGGACACACCTGCACCACCTGCACACTGCACCATGCACATTGTATATAGTGCACGGAGAACAACCACCATCACTTCACCAACAGCACATCACCAACAGCACGCAACACAGCACAGCCCTCTCCAGGACAGCGTTCACGCTTTTGGGAGAGTAATTCTTCAAGGTTCAAGGTGGACGTATATAGCAGATGGCAATCGGCGGATTAGCCGACACTTGGTAGTGAATTTGTATGTGAGATTGCTTTGCTAAATATAAAATACAAGAACTTTTTCCATATCTTTAAATTATCATTGATATCTGATAATTAAACAGTTATTAAAATAAACCTACCAAACAACATAATACAATGAAATACTTGACTTAAAGTAGGGGAGTTTGATGTGGTGCACAATTGCACCCCTCTGTAAATAATCGAATAGTCCATGGCGATCATGAATATTCATGTTTTTGCTTACCTCGGCAAAATGCTTGCCTATACTAAATGGAAAAATTACGGTGGGGGGTTGGCTGAAATGGACATAATTAACCGATCAGAACTGATCTATGATAATTCATGCTTGGTATCCTTCGTGTGCTTGACCTATAACCTTACAATCGCGTGGCAAATTGCGTCCAAAGTTCTACTTGGTTCAAATGTGTTATATAGGCAATGGCGAGCTAGCGACCTATTTTGACCAAATTACTGTGGGTGAACTTTCAAAAGTCAATGGGAAATGAGGGTTCCAATGAAAGAGCTAGTGTCAACGTACGTCGGGGTGGATGTGCTTTTCGTTTAAACAAAAATGAATTTTTAACGATTTTTGGGGGAGTAAAAGTCACTAGGCTATCATGTTAGGCTGCTGGACTCTGACGATAGTGGGCGTTGTCCAATGAGACTATTCGGAGTCATATATGTACCTAGTCTAAACATCCTCAATGATGGATGAATTTTATGATATCTTTGTATACGTTTACTATAATTATGTTAAAATTTGTAATTTTACTTTGAAACTTCATGTTATTTCGACAGTTGTCTTACTCACAATAACTACCGTTTCAATTCATTTCAGTTTAGTTGAATTCGACTCAAAAAAGTTCAATCTCTATAGACTATCAATTTTGTGATGAGTAACTTTGAATATCTTCATCTGGATTTTATAGCGGTAGAAAAAGAATGGGGTAAGAGAGGACTATGTTTATCATATGATAAATTGTAAAAATGATGAGGAGATCAAATTATGGACCTACTATGTATAAACCTACATTTGATCATGCTAGTAGACATGTATGGCAAACCCATGGATGAATACTGGAAAAAAAAAACACCAGTTAAATGGTTCCCCATCGTCAGAAAATGACGTACCAGTTGATATGGTTGCGAGCAGGAGCGTCGCCAAAGGGGGGGGGGGGGTGTGGGGGTGCGACACCCCTCCACCTGTCAGGATATTGTCGGTAAAATTGCGCTGCCGTCGGGAAAAAAGAGAAAAGGGGGAGGGGAAAAAGAGAGGGAAAGGGAAAGAAAAGAAAAAAGAAAAGGAAAAGAAAAGAAAGAAAGGAAAAGAAAGGAAAGAAAAGAGAAAGGAAAGAAAGAGAAAAAAGAAAAAGAGGGAGAAGAGGAAAGAAAGGAAAAGAAAGAAAAGGAAGAAAAGAAAAAAAAAGAAAAAAGAGAAAAGGGAAACAAAAGAAACGGGGGTGAAGAAAGGAGAGAGGGGGGAGGTAAGCGCCTGAGACAGGAGGAGTGGGAGTAAAAGAAAGGGGAGGAGGGTTGTGGGTGGAGTCGTCTCGTCAAGGAAGCAAGAAAGACATGGGTAAATATGTTGCTGTTTCTGGTCAGCTGTGTCGGTATTCTTGCTCGATCCTCGTGTACTATATCAATGCAGAAGTTTGAAGTCGGTGAGATGTATATTGTCGGTCGGCCGACAAGTTTTTTCCCCTACGAACTGTGACTTTTTATCCGCTGTGACGACTTCGAGAGTGACTACAACTACAATACTTGTATTTTCTCGAAGTTTCACTTTCCTATAATATCAGCTAAAGAAATCAGAGGTTTAAAATTTTCGGGGAAACTAATTCAAACAAGGATTAAGAGTCAACAACGGTACGACGAATCGTCTACCTTTCTCTATATTTTGATGAAACGCCGAAATTTCCGCGCTTCGCGCGGGTGGGGAAAACTTCATTTAGACGAGTCGAGAAAGGTACAACGAATCGTTTTCTTTCTCTAATAATTTGAGGAAACGTCTAAGCTTCCGCGATTCGCGCAGAGGGGGGAGGGGGGAACTGAATTCAGATAAGGATTAAGAATCGAGAACAGTACAACGAATCGTTTTCCTTTCTCTATATTTTGATGAAACGCAAAAATCCCCGCGTTTCGCGCGGGAGAGGAAAACTTCATTTAGACGAGTCGAGAACGGTTCAACGAATCGTCTTCTTTCTCTCATAATTTAAGGAAACGTCAAAGCTTCCGCGCTTCGCGCAAGAGGGGGGAAACTGAATTCAGATAACAAGAGCTTAATAAGAGTCGAAAACGGTGCAACGAATCGTCTTCTTTCTATAATAATTAAATCAAACGTCTAAGCTTTTCGCGCTGGAAGGGGGAAACTGAATTCAGACAATTAGGGCTTATTAAGAGTCGAAAACGGTATAACGAATCGTCTTCTTACTCTAAAAATTGAATAAAACGTCAAAACTTCCGCGCCTTGCGCGGGAGGGGGAAATTTCATTCAGACAAGGATTAATACTCGAGCACGGTTCAACGAATCGTCTACTTTCTAATAATTTAATGAAATGCCAAAACTTCCGCGCTTCGCGCGGGAGGGGCAGAACTGAATTCAGATAAGGATTAAGAGACGAGAACAGAACACCGAATCGTCTGCTCTTTCTCATAATTTAATGAAACGTCAAAGCTTCCGCGCTTTGCGCGGGAGGGGGAGAAACTGAATTTAGACAAGGACTAAGAGTCGAGCACGGTTCAACGAATCGTCTACTTTCTAATAATTTAATGAAACGCCAAAACTTCCGCGCTTCGCGCGGGAGGGGCAGAACTGAATTTAGATAAGAATTAAGAGTCGAGAACAGAACACCGAATCGTCTGCTTTTTCTCATAATTTAATGAAACGTCAAAGCTTTCGCGCTTTGCGCGGGAGGGGGAGAAACTGAATTTAGACAAGGATTAACATCGAGAACGGTACAGCAAATCGTCTACATTTTATAATAACTTAATGAAACGTCAAAGCTTTCGGGCTTCGCGCGGGAGGGGGGGGGGGAACCTCATTTAGACAAGAATTAACAGTCGAGATCGGTACAATAAATCGTCTTCTTTTCCTATTAATTTAAGGAAACGTCTAGGCTTCCACGCTTCGTGCGGGAGGCCTAACACCGACACCCCCCTAATGAGCGCGCTTCGCTTGCTCACTACCGCCCCTCCCTAAAATAAGATCCTAGCTCCGCACCTGCATTAAAATATACAGCTTTGATGTTGACTAAGTTGACGAAATAATTCGTATATTTATGTCGTCGAGGAAAATGATCGTTTGCGCAATCGCAATTACTATAGATAGTCAATAGGAAAAACAATTTAACTCTTCGACGGAATTGCACGTAATTTAGACTTTGGTACAATTCAGGTGTTTATAAGAGAAAAGAGAGGAAGACCGCGTGAGAAAAAGGGATGCAGGGGAGATAGAGAGAGAGGGAGAGAGAGAACGAAAGATAGATAGACTTTATATCCGACAGAATGATGAAAGAAAATCATTTGTTTATTAAATATTCGTGGACACTTGTTGTAGGGTCAATGCATTATTATTATTTCAAATTAATCATATTTCAGGGCAATACTGGCTATAGTGACACATTCAATTTGATATCCCTCTTTACATTATTAGCTCTTGAGAAAGTCATCATTCAGATTATCATGGTTAAGGCCTTAGTCAAAGCATTTGTTATACAAGAGAGGAAGTGGTGAAATATTTTTTCATCTAAATCATATACTGTAATGACGGTTGTAGCCTCGTAGCAATCTGTACGCAACAACCTTGTCCAGCGATGTGCTGCTAAGAAGACAGAACTGGAGAAGAACATTCAGAATGTTGAAGTACAACGTCATGAAGTATTCACTGCCGTGCAGAAACCACTGAATGATGTCAGTCAAGCCTACAGCATCAAGGCCAAAGAGCTTGAAGAAAATCATCGAAATCTCATCGAGCGAATCGATGTA